TATCAGGATAATGATACGAGGAAGGGGATCTTGTTGGAGCGCAAGGACCTACCGCCTGCGAATCGGACCAGCTTCTCATTTACAGCCATTTCTGTGAGTCGACTGCGACGATGATATGCTGTAGATAAGAGGTCATCTTCATGGCACCGAAGCAAGTAGTGTTACCTGCAATGTCGACCCTACAGCTCCAGAACAGGAACTCGCCAATCCCTGTAGGACACTGCCGTTGGGCCCAATAGTACGACAAACTGATGCACAAATGCAACCTGGAGCGGCACAGCAGGGGGGGGGGGGGGCTCAGAGGGAGCATCTGCCCGTCTTACCAACAGGCAGCTATGATAAGGAAGCTTTGGTGCTAGGAGGCTTCTGTTCTGGTTTAGGAGACACTTCCTCTGTACAGAAGGCTCCATTTCTAGAACAGGTCTCTTTCATGCATCAGATGGCCGCGGTTCCAGATCAGGATGTCCTGTTTTAGGATAACGAGGCCCCTTGGCTATATTTGGACGCCCTCTTTGTGAATCGGAACATTCTGTTCTGGATTAGGAGGCCCCCATGCATCCGGAGGCCTTTTCTGGAACAGGAGGCCCTATTTTCGAGAAGCAAAACTCGTTAGATAATCAGAAGTATTCTGGATATTGCTTGGATAATGTTGCATTCTGATGCAGCGGCACATGTTCTCGACGCCCTCCCCTTGATACGGAACTGCCCAGGAGGTCCCTGTAAGTGAGAGGAGGCCCTATTTTGTCCAGGAGACCCGCTGGAAAATCCTGCCCCAAATCAAAATCCATGGCGGCGCCCCTGAATGCAACAACTAAGTGCCGCTTCCCGAGCTCCCTCACAAAACAGCGCCAACCAAAGGCCAAATCCTGCCGCCGTCAGTTCTCCCGAGACTCTGTTTTTCTTGCACGACACGAGCGTCGGACTAGGGTGCCCTAGGGTGCGTCGGACGCAGGAGCTCTTGCACGACACGAGTGTCGGACTAGGGTGCCCTAGGGTGCGTCGGACGCAGGAGCCGATCTAGCCTGGATTTTTCTGGGGGGGCGGGGGGGGGGGCAACCGTTCGTCGCCATCTGGCTGGTGTGGGATCCGAGGTCCAGTGCATAGTGCCTCTCGCGAGTACCTAGTACTTCTAGGTACTGGGCGGGTCCCACGTGCTGATCAAACACGATGTTTGCGCCTAGCATGACTAAGCCGCATCAACATGTGTTTTGTTTTGATTTTGAAATCGCTGCCAACTTTTTCATGAAGTTTTTTCCGAAACGGAAAGAAATGTTTGATACCGCACCATCAAAGTTAAAACAGACGGTAAGTAGACAAAACTTTTATGAAGTTCTGGGAATGTTTTTTGGGGGGGGAGGGGGGGGGGGGCTAAAACATACTCTCAGTTTTTTGGGGGGCCATGGTCCCGTGACCCCCCCCCCCCCCCACGACCCGCCTATGGTCGGACGAGGACGCGTCGGCAAGGGAAGTCGTCCACACCTCCCGCTGCAGGAATCCTGCAGTGTGGAGGGAAAGCACCGAGCACACGCCGCTGCCGGTGGGGGAGCGCTTCCAGCACCGGCCCTTGCGGCGACGGCGTCGGCGCAGCTGGCGAGGTGTCCCGCGTCGTCCTCGCTCCCTGCGGAGCGGTCTGCCGCCAGGCTGTCCGGTGGACGGGCGCTCGCGGCAGCGGGCAGTACTCTGAGCTGGAAGAGCGTGACCCGCCTTCATCGGCACTGGCCAGGCGTGAGCGGCAGGAACGGGTAGCATGGTGCGAGCGCGTCGCCCTCCCTCTGCATCTGGTGGCCAGCAGCCGTCCGGGCGCTGGGGAGGTGACCAGGCGCCCTGCCCCGTCGGCGGCGTCGGCTGCACGGTCCGTGGTGCGATCGGCGATCCCATGACGCCCTGCCCCGTCGGCGGCGTCGGCTGCACGGTCCGTGGTGCGATCGGCGATCCCATGACGCCCTGCCCTGTCGGCGGCGTCGGCTGTACGGTCCGTGGTGCGGTCGGTGATCCCATGACGCCCTGCCCTGTCGGCGGCGTCGGCTGTACGGTCCGTGGTGCGGTCGGTGATCCCATGACGCCGTCCCCTGCCCTGTCGGCGGCGTCGGCTGTACGGTCCGTGGTGCGATCGGCGATCCCATGACGCCCTGCCCCGTCGGCGGCGTCGGCTGCTCGGTCCACGGCGCGGTCGTGGATCCCATGACGCCGTCCCCTGCCCTGTTGGCGGCGTCGGCTGCTCGGTCCACGGCGCGGTCGTGGATCCCATGAGCCCGTGCTTCTCGTGCAGTGTGCGGGCTCAATTTTCGCGCCCCTTTTCCTTGGGGCCTCACTGCAAGGGCTCATACGACAGAACATGGTGTGGCAATGAGCTCCGAAATAGAAGGGCGGACGGGTGGACGGGTGGACGGGTGGCCGGGTGACCTGGTGGCCGGGTGGCCGGTGTCAGGCGAACCCGGCCGGTATTGGGCTGGACCTCGGGCGTGGGGCGTGACCAAAGGCTGGCAACCCTCCACCATTGCCGCCAGCCTGCAGTTACAAAAATGCGGTGCAAGTTGGCATGCAGGACCGTGACATATATGACGGTGTTGGCATGCAGGACTGTGACATATATGACGGTTGATGAACGGCTGCTTCGAGGCCCGGTAGCTCCAGCCTTTGGTGTACGGAACGCTTGCGCTGTATGCACCCACCTACAGTTTGAAGCGTCTGAACTAGCACCCTTAGAAGTTAGATTTTCCAAATGTAGTGCATAGACCCTCTGACTCGGAGGCTGCCTATACGTACCAGTGCTAAGAATGTCAGTGTTAAGATGTGACCCATGTGCGCGTGCTTTATGTTGAATTCAGGGTCCTCCGAGTTGCAGAAATCATGGCCTAGACTGGAAACATGGCAGGCAGGCATCGTCACACAAGCCCTCCAATCACACTCCAGTTAGGTTCCTGAGTGTCATGGATGCACTTGGGGTGCACGCGACCGTCATGCCATTCACCATTCTATGTGCGTGCGTGCGTGCGCGTGCGTGGGTGCGTGTGTGCGTGCGCGCGCGCGCGCGCTCGTGTGTGTGTGTGTGTGTCATTGGGGCTTTACGACGCACTCAGCTGCTGAGGCTATATGGCGTCGCCTGCCTCTCATCCTGGCAGGAAGGGCGGGCACCACGAGGAATCGAGCCCCGCACCTCGAATTCCCCAGACGCACAGTGCTTAACGCAGACGCGTTAACCACTACATTACCGGCACCACTTATTCACCATTCGGAGACCGGTGGCCGTTCAATCGTCGGTCTCAGTTCGAACTCCCACCAAGGCGACCGCTTTGGTTGGCCACTAGCATGCAGCGAAATGTGCCATGCCACGCGACACGTATCTTAAGCAGGAGTAATGTTGCAGGGCGTATAGATGTATGCATTAGGAGACAGGATGATAGACGTATGCACAAGGAGACCCACACACACACACACACACACACACACACACACACACACATATATATATATATATATATATATATATATATATATATATATATATATATATATATATATATATATATATATGCATTCGTATATAAGTAAGGCGCGGAGCAACCAAGGAAGGGTTCTGATCTCGCACCACAGACGATGTCAACACTGTACGAACTGTCTCGCGATTTTCAACATTTTGTGGTGAGAAGGGAACTCCGTAATGGACGGCGTTAGCCTGGTGTTTGTCATGGCAGGTTGATGGAAAGCTTTATCAAAAAAGCACGAAAAAATTTAAACGTTTTGCCCTCATTGGGATTTCATGTCACAGCTCCACATTTTTTGGCGAGGGGGGGAGAGTTATCTTCAAAGAATTTCAGTATGGTTTTCCTGTTTTAATCAGAACTGCGCGTTGCTATCTGTCTATTCAGCGTTTGGGGTGATGTGGCAACCAGTCAGGTCGTCTCGGGACATTGGCGATTACAGCAGCCCTGCTCCCCCTCCCAAAGAACAGAACCCTGCTGGTAGGGTGTTGAATGGTGTTAGTATGACATTTAACCTTACATGTAGGGACATTGAACCATATTAGTGGAGGTTTTGCCATCTATTAGGAGGGGTATTGAATCCTGTTAGTTGAGGTATCAAAATCTATTGAACATGACATCCTGTTAGTAGGGATATTACCAACTGGCGCAGATCTGCTAACCACACCAACATACTTAAATACATGCCCTCAATTTGTATGCAAGTTCCGGGATTCCGGGAAGGGGTGGAGCGGTAGGCAGGTATATACCTCCATCCATCCAGGGTGTGCTTAATGGTACCACCATATTCTGGACATCACTTCTGGGCCCCACTACGGGCTGTTATCCTCGATTCAGCTGCATCTATATCGGCTTCCGGCCAAACCCCATTTACTTGTGATACCGAAAAGGCTCTTCGCACCCACGGGTCTGCCTTGGGCCGCCACCGCCGCTGCCACCTTGACCCGACCGGCGCTGGGGCCAGCACGGCGTCCGGGTCGGCCCAGCAGCGACCCGTTCGGGCCCCGTCCCGCCGCCAGCCGCGGCGTGTTTACAGAAGGCGGCGGCCGTGGCAGGCTTTTAACGGCGGCGCTGGCGGGCTGCCCGGCTCCGCGTCAGCTCGAGTTCGACCAGCTCCACGGCGCCGTTTGAGACGCGTCCGCCGCCACCGCCGCTGCCGTGACTCGCCTTTTTAATGTTGTGACTTCTGCGGTCTTCGCTGCACCTAAAGGCTGCTCGAAGGCAACGGGGTCTTTGACAAGCTCTGTCATACCATAAAAGGCTGAATAAGTGGGAGGGTTAACGTGGCACCCAAACTGCCGCCAGGCCTATTCCAGCCCACTGCCGCCAGGTCATTGCGACCCCGGTGTAAACACGCCGGCCAGCTCAATACTTGGACGCAGCCGTCTCGCGAAATACTCGCCATCCCTCACTCGCGGTCGGAACGTGACAACCTCGCCACGCAGGCGGCTGGCGCCCAGCGCACTGGACTGGCTGGTGCCGACACGCGCACGCGACCGACACGCTCGCAAACGACCATTCTGGCAGCGGTCGGCACCGAGCTGTTTATTGGCCAGACACGCCGGTGGCGATCGTCACAAGAAACCGATCACCGAAATCGCTGTACTGCCGTCTCCGAGTCCACACGCAGGCGGCCACGGCACCGGAGCGTCCGACCACGCGGCACGCGGTACCCGAGGTCTCACCGACCATCCGCCGGGGGTCGCACCAGCCCGGCGCGGGCAGGCGACCAAGGCGACGCCGCCACCGCGGAGGTGGTCGGGAGGCCTCCAGGTCATCCTCAGTCCCCCGCTTGCGGCGGTGCAGCGGCACACGCATCATGCGCACGCCTCGTCTGCCGACGCGGTCGCGCTCCACGTCGGGCTGGCCCCGTGGCGCGATGCGCCCGTGCTAATGCATGTGATCGTTTGCCAGTTCACAGACAGGCGCGACGGACGCCTGACGCTTGCCAAGAAACCAAACCAATACAGGAGAAACTGAGTTCACGACCACCGCGCCTCAGGCGGCGCGGATAATATCGACCACTAGAACAGGTACAAAAATAAATACAAAAGCGTACAGAGGTGTCAGATTAGTGACTACTTCTTCGCGTGAACGGTGACACGGGGTCGGCACGTGGCGCGGAGGCTGGTCTCCATTTCATGGGGCGCACGGCACATCTGCACGTGGCGCGTACAGCAGCGCACGCAGCCACTCAGCGGCCCCTCCGGGGCGCTCGCTACCCAGACGCTTCAGGCACCCCTCAACACAGTCTGCGGCTCGTTCTAGCCCACCAGCGGCGCACAGACAGTACAAATCGCTTCAGTATTCCTCGGTCATTTGAGACGCCATTCACGCGCTGCCGGAGTGGGGCACGCAGAGCACATTGGCGGCGGTCGGTGCCGCTGGCCGTCCCCAGCGTCAGGAGCCTCGTGGTCTGGGAGCGAACAGGGAGAGTCCGGCCCACAACACCACGGCAGAGGCGGCGACAGGGCGCAACGTCCCACACAGAGCACATTGGCGGCGGTCGGTGCCGCTGGCCGTCCCCAGCGTCAGGAGCCTCGTGGTCTGGGAGCGAACAGGGAGAGTCCGGCCCACAGCACCACGGCAGAGGCGGCGACAGGGCGCAACGTCCCACCTCCCCACCGTCAACCACGTTCACATTGATGCGCACATCATACGCAAAAGATGCCCACATAATGCCTCTCACCAGGTGTCAGTGCGCTCATCACACTCTAGCATCAACAATGCCGGCCATCAGTTTAGCTGAAACTAGCAAGAACGGTTTCTCAATGAGGTTTTGGTTTAAAGGAATGATTCACCTTCACGGGCCACCGCACAAGGACAAAACCATCATCCCCGCCGGAGCATGGTCATGTTAACGCTTTAGTTAGAAACGTCGAAATTTTAGATAGCAGCGCTAAAAGTATCACATCTTTACAGGAACGACGCGGCCTTGTCGAGTCACGCCGCGCGCAGCGTCACGTCCAGTCGATCCACGGCCGGCAGCGGCGGCTAGCGCGGCGCGGCCGACCAACGGCCTAGCCAGCCGTTGGGGACACCTCCCAGCCATGCCACGGCATTTTAAGTAACCCGCCGATTCGCGGAATTCAAGCTCGACAAGAACGCTAGGCCTCAATGCAGTTGTGGTTGTGGATATCTCATTGTGTATAACGAACCAACTATCCGAATTCAAAGCACCAAACTGGTGTGAAACATTCCCTTTGAAACTGAACTGAAAAGCCTTCCTTACGGCCTTCCTCGACAGCAAATCATGCATGCCTCCGGGCCGGCATGACTGCGGCCCGACCAGGACCTGACGCGCCGGCCAGCCGGCGCGTCCGGGACCCGGAGCGCCTCTGTCCGTCCCGCCGGAGGGGAGCACGCCCAGTCGGCCCGCACGATCCGTGCGAACGCATCGACCATGTCGACGCATGGTGCCGCCACCGCCGAACGGCGGGCCACGCCGCCGAGGATTCACTGACTGACTAGCCACTCCAAAGGTTATATACGCCGCTCTTTGGCAAGTGGTAGCTACCTGGCTGTGATCAGCTCGCGTCGCGCGCTGCGCCGACGCCAGTATGCACACGTGCCAGCCCCGGTCACGGCCGTAGGTGACCGGCGACGTTCCGGCAGAGCTGACGGCGGCCCTCGCGACAGGCGCAGACACTACGGACCGGACAGGGCACATCGGCCTCGCAGTCACGTCCAGGCTACAGGCGGCCTGGAAGCGGTTCTGGATACAGTTGTTGCTGCCTACAGCTGGGGCGAGTCGCGATTTTGAGCTCATTGGAGACCTCGCCGGTTCCGTGTGACACCTCGTGCCTTCGACGAATTCCGGGAGTGAAGCGTCTGGAAAACAGAAAGCGAGTGCCATTGGCGAGCCCAGAATCACGACTCAGGAACCGCTATAGATAGACTCGTAAAGCGCGGCGCGGTCGGCCGCGCCGTCTCATGGCCGCTTTCTCTGACACAGGTTGCTCCATAGCCCGTCAGATGGCAGGACTTTCGGCTTCGGGCCCCGGACGCATCTCGGGCGGCGCCGCCGTGTTGTTTCGCGCGTAGGCGCTTCGCACGCCCAACTTGCGCATCCAGGACATGATGCGAGGCAGCGTGATGTTGTACTTCCGGGACGCCTGGACAGAAGAGACAACGCCGTTAGACAACGGGACACTACGCGTGACGGTGTATGAAGTCATCCGCTGACCTGCGGCCCGTTTCTGCCGGCACCCTGGCACCAAAAGTCGGTACTACCTGTCGGCCCAGATATTTGCACTGGCTGAGAAGTGATGCTGGTAAGAGTGACTGCTATGAGCTGGATTCCACCTCAATGAACTACCCGCTGAAAAGAAATGCTGAAATTGCATACGACGCAGAATTAGCAGCGATATCCAGAAGAGCATCCGATTTTACCCATCGTGCCACCGCAAGGAAGGGATATCAGCCTTTGATTAAACATCCAAATGAGGTCACACAACGCACCACGGCGAGACATCACAAAGGTATTTGGACATAAGTACACCAACAAGGCAACATCTATCACCACAGCGCAGCACCGGAGCAGTCGGCGGCATTGGGTGTTGCTGATACGGGGACAATCGCGCAGGAAACAGGTTGCCCGTGCGTGCGTGGAGCAATGTAGTGCCCAATCCGTTCACATTCGCCACGCGCCACTGCTCACGAAGCGCACACCAGAGCCGCGTCGTCAAACGCCCTCCGCAGCGGCGACCCATAACGTCACATGTAAGCGCTTCACAGCAGTTTCTACGCTTTGGGGTGCTGTCGCTAGTGCTTGTCGTAATCACATGTGACGTCAAAGTCTACAAACCAACGAAACATGGCAGAAGCTTTATCATGGAACATCCGCTCAGATAATGCATGTCCCGGATGGACAAGTCGGTCCCGAGCCTAGCAGGCCCGCGCGCTGTCTGTCACGTGCGTCTATGGGAGTCTCGCCAGACAGCTCGCCCCAATCCCCCTCCTGACCGACGGGGGGACGCCGGCCCGCGCGCTGTCTGTCACGTGCATCTACGCGAGTCTCGCCAGACAGCTCGCCCCAATCCCCCTCCTGACCGACGGGGGGACGCCGGCCCGCGCGCTGTCTGTCACGTGCATCTACGCGAGTCTCGCCAGACAGCTCGCCCCAATTCCCCTCCTGACCGACGGCGAGACGCCGGCCCGCGCGCTGTCTGTCACGTGCGTCTATGGGAGTCTCGCCAGACAGCTCGCCCCAATCCCCCTCCTGACCGACAGGGGGACGCCGGCCCGCGCGCTGTCTGTCACGTGCGTCTACGGGAGTCTCGCCAGACAGTTCGCCCCAATCCCCCTCCTGACCGGCGGGGGACGCCGGCCCGGAGCGGCGTGACGAGCAAAGGGAGCGCGCCATGCAGGGGACGGAGAGCACGGCGGACTGGGGCCGGCACGCCACCGACAGGTGAGGGGGGGGGGGGGGCAGCTAGCAGGGACGGGCTCCGCACGCGCCTACGATCACGAGAACAGCACCGGCCGGGGACATAGGTAAAACCGCCCACCGATTCGATGGTTTCTCCCCGACGCATTGCTTGCTTATTTCACAACAGGGGCCAACCCGCCGTACCGCCCGATCGGAAAGTGGAGACAGACTAGGGAGCGGCATGCCATGTACCATTCGGCACTGATTTCAGCCACTACAACCCAGCCGCGTCACGCCATCCTGTTAGCCAATTAGATGGGGAATATTGCCAAATATATTTTGAACATTGGGCGCTCAGGGCAAGGACAGCCCGACGCATCTGCCTCAATAACAGTTTAACCATCCTGGGACTGAAACCACATCCCTGCTCTTTGTGTTTAAGGATTGCGCTCGGGTTCCTTGACAATGGCGCATCTGGTACGCGTGCCGAATTGAAAGGGGCGTCACCCCGACGGCCTCTGCCGCACAAGGAGCAGAAGGGCATGAACCATGAAGGTCATCACGGGCCACGCAGGGTCATTAAGTCATGACGCTCGCTGCACACCACATGCCGCAACACTGATACAAAACAGCAAAATACTTAGGCGCTTACACAAGACACCTGATTCGTGGGACATGACTTGATTATCACGAACTATGCTCGCACCAGCGCCCGATCTGGCTCTGGCGTTCAAAACAACCCACGCACAACGGAACCAAGCCCAAAATGAGGCCCATCTCCTGCCGAAGTGAGCCTTACCTTGGAGGCGGTGATAGTGCCGGCGCCGATCTCGTCCAGAGCGCTCCGCATCTCGACGCTCATGGCGGCACCGCGAGGCTTCCGTTTACCTGCACCGAACAGCGCCCGTCAGCGCGGCAGGTAACCGCAGGCCCCAAGCAGGCAACAGCGAGCCCCCAGCAGGTGACCGCGGGCCCGCAGCAGGCGACTGCGGGCCTCCAGCAGGCGACCGCGAGTCCCCAGCACCCGGGGAAAACCACTGACTACATTCTCTTCGCATGACGGCCTTACCAGGATCAATGAACCAAACGCCGAGCACGAGCTGGAACCAGACGCGACACGGAAGCCCCGCGCCCGTGCCAGGAACACCTCGCGCCAGCACAACGGGAGAGTACACCAAACAGCGCCGCAAAACCAGCCCGTCACAATGAGCCCACGATCAGTGCTCTCAAAATGCCCTCATCCGCCACCCCTGAGGTCAGAGGGCCAGCCCAGCAGCCGATGCATCCGCTTCGACGCCACCCAGTCCGGGGTGCGGCAGGGCTGCCATGCCCCGGCCCACCGCAAGCTCCAGCTGGGCCGGCGCCGCTCACCGGCCATGCCGACGCGTCCGCGCGCCTTCACGCCCGTGCGGCGCATGTTGAGGTACAGCGTCGGGATGGGGATGTCGTACTGGATGGACGCCTCGGCCACGGTCGCCTCGCCGCTCGAGATGCGTTGCAGGGCCGCGCGCACGTGCGGGGAGTCGGACGTGTTGCGTTTGGAGCAGCCTGCGGCACGGGCGAGACATGTGACGGGACGCCGCGACTTCGCCAGCTGGCGGCATGTCCATTCACTCCAGTCCGGCGGTGGCGACAGGTGTCGCGGCCGATGTCGCTTGACAGAACTGAAGCCGGGCTCCGTGCCCACCAAAAGGAGCGTTCGTGCGCGCGCTTCGAGCTGACGACGCTGACGATCGATCCCGTGAGTCAGCGCTGAATCGGTAAGTCTGACGGACCGACACCCCCTCCACGCCTGCGGACCATGACGCTGCCCTGTGACCACGACAGCCCCATCACCCACGAAGAGCGCGCGATCGGGTCAACACTAGAGGCGACATCACGCACCCTGCATCTGAAAGGGTATCTCGGCGGCGGGCGGCACGGGCGGCTCGCAGAGGGGCAGCGGCATGGGCGGCGGCTCGGACGGCGGACTGTCCACGGAGAGCGCCAGCATGCCGCTCACGTCCAGCGGGTCCGGCGGCACCTGGCGGCGGCGCCCACCCGTCAGCTGACGCACACGGCCCGCACGGCTGCGGCCGCCGCACACGCTGCGGGGAAGCACAGCCGTGGGGGAGTGAGTGCTGAGCTGGAGCTGGAGCTGGAGCTGGAGTTCAATGGGAAACGATTTTGATGAAAAACGACATGATTCAAACAGGCATACGAACCTATTAACAGGTTAACATTTCACAGAAACAAGAAACCATCCATCACTAGCAGCACCAACACCACTGTGTGACAATACCACCAAGCTGCACCCGTTCTGCAGCAAGAGGCGACGCAACAGCTCCACGCATGCGAAGTAAGATCCGAACACTCATCCACCGCACAACGCCGCCTCCGGAGCTCCGCCGACTTGACCGGCGCGGACGGCGTACTGAGCCGGGAGCACCGCTTGCTCCTCCCTCCTCAGTGGCGCCGCGGGGGGCGTCCAACCGCACCTGTTGCGGGACGGGCGGCGAGGGCGGCGGTAGCGCCGTCGGCCGCGGCGGGCCCGGACTGTCGCGCGAGTCGGCGCGGCTCGCCACCATCGAGCTGGGACCGTCACCCCACTCGCTGCGCAGCCCCAGTACCGAGCTGGGCGCGTCGGCCAGCTCGGCGCGGCAGCGCGCCAGCGCGCCGGCGCCCTCCGCCCACTCGGGCCGGCCGAGCAGCACCGCCGGCCCGGCCGGCCAGTCGGCGCGGCCGCCGAACGGCGCGCCGGCCGCGCTGGCGGCGGCGCCCCACTCGGCCGGCGCCGCGGAGCCCGGCTGGTCCCGCCAGCGGGCGCGGCTCTCGAGCGCAGCGGCGGCGGCGGTCGCCTGGCGCGAGGGCCGCCGCTCGGACGCGCCTTCTGGCTCCTCGTCCGAGCTGCTCTCGCCGTCAGCCTTGACCAGGCCACGGATCTGCAGCCGCTCTGCCGCCTGCCGGCAGGCGCGTCCGTCACGTCACCGGTCACGACCAGGTCACAGGGCGGCTGGGGCGCACGACGGGTCACGGCCAGGTCGCAGGGGGGGCTGGGGGATACAGAGATTTACAACAGAGCGCCCTTCTATACACGAACGTCTACTTCCGATTCATTATTATCCCATCTGAATTCACGTCATTCTATTTCTTTATTCTATGGTAGTCAGTTGTAGTTAAGTTCTAATTTCAGTTGTTTATCTATTATATCTTTACTTGTTCACTATATCATTTTCATCTTGCAATACACTGTCTCACACATTTGATCCCAATCACATCGGCACAATCATACCATAAACATTTCCACCGCGACTGAAATGACAAATGCCACGCTAGAGCCAGAGCAGCACGCCAGATCTGCCCGGGAGTACGTGCGGTACCTCTGCGACCAAGCCCCGACATCCCCTGGCGGCGGGCGAGGCCGGCGGCGCGGCCCGCGGCCGGCGCCGACGCACCTTCAGCAGCGACTCGAGCCGCGTCTGGTCGATGGTGGCCTCGCCGCAGTACATGAACTCGATCAGGGTGCGCATCTCCGCCTCCGAGATGTCGCTCAGCATCACGATAGGCGTCTCCTTCGCAGGGATCTTCTGCGGGGCGGGCGGCGTGCTGTGAGCGGGGACACACGCCCTCCCCAGGCGAAGCAGTGACGCTGGCTAATGTGTGACTGTGACTGTTCGATATGGTGATGGTCGAGCTGCTGGTGATGGTCAAGTTCATGAAACCGCCCAAATGGGGGAGACATAGTTAAAGTTTTGATTTCACCATCAAACAGATCTGATTGGCTGTGAAGCAGCATTCTAGAAACAAAACAGCACACATTTTTCACAAGCTTCTACACCACAGCTACTACATCAACATGTCACCTTACCTGTAACGTTTTCTCGAAATAGGTGCTGCAAGACGCAAGTACGACGCGGTGGAGCTGAAACACTTCACCGTCACAGGCCACCATGACGTCACTAAAGAGATGGGACTTAAGAGCCTTCAACAGGTACTTGTCCCAGTTTTGTTTATACTTGTTCCATTTTAGTGAGAACTGTTGCGTCGAGCCCATGATGAGACTGACGCTAAAGCAGTGTCACTCCACTGAAAAAGACACAAATTTGTATGAGACTTCAACCTGGCCGAAGCTTCTCAAAAGCAACGTGCTGCCTACTGTCTCATTCCATGATGCAGTAATGGTGCTGCCATGGCATGAATGTTCTGAGAATAGTTAGTACAAGGCAGGTGATGGTAATTTTCAAGTAATTTCAACAGATATGGATGTTATGTTGAAGTCTGCTAGCCCTTCCCATATATCTCACGTCATACTAGTTCAGAAAACACAGGTATCACCAGTGCATGCATTGAACACTGTCATCATTCATGGACCAAATTCCACAAGCAACAACTTTGTGCTGTTGAAAAGCACTTTTTGGAGCAAAACCCTGAAGAGGTGCATGTTAATCTGGCACAACAAGACACTGCAAACACTGTGACAGTAACACTGCAATGCAATCATTTTTCTGAACTCTGAAAATTGTGAATCAGGATAAATATGCAATTCTTAACATTGTTGAATGGAACATATGAAAAAACATACATGGGACAACAAGATGTGTTGACCCTGGATTAAAAAGTACAATACCAGATGCCATTTTCTATGCACCCAACAGTAACTTTGTGCCATAATATACATATCTGGAATAAAATGGCTGAAATTGTTACTGCAAAATATATCCTGGCACTGCATAAGAGTTTTGCAGTGCAGCTATGCATTTTTGTCCACACAACAAGTTGGCACCCTTTTCTGCTCATTGTCTTTAAAACATTCCCACATTTTTTTGTCACATAAACATGGTGAGCCAATGCTCGTTATGTGTGAATAACATGAGCAGTGCATTTTTTCTTCCAGGCTCTTACTGTCTTAAGAGCTCAATATCTCATTTTTAATTGATATTTCAAAACCTCCAAAATAACCAGACACTAAAAGCTCACTATCTTTGCCTACAAAGCACTTTTGACAAGGTACAGGAGCCCCTAAATTGTGGTCACGGGGGCTTAAAGCACCCTAATTAAAGCACCTTCACTGCAAAAATGCTTACCCCAAAGAGGCAAACCAGGCATAAATCACACAGCCTGAAGCTTTATGAATGGTCACCACCAATTTCTGAACACAGAGGACCAATGTTTGAAGAAACTATGATGTTGCTTACATAATTGCAATAAATAATCAAAAGCCAACTAAAATAGTTCCAAAATAATAGAAATTTGACAGTTCAGTGCAAATTGGCCTGCCCTTAAGATACAGCATACATGCTACAGGTTCGGCACACCACCATCACAATTCAAGCACAGTGAATTAACATATTTTTGTGGCCAGGCCCATTAATGCACTTTCATTGGGTTAGTGTTATGTTTTCCCCAGAGCAAGAGTTGGGTCCCCTGTAGCCCTGAAACAAACATTGTGATCAGTGGAAGGTAACTCATTTATTGTAACAAATGGAACAAAAAATTGTTCAGCCAAGACTTCAGGTATGAACTCGCAATGTTATCCAAACATCTTTTAAAAAAATGGAGCTTTGAGGTGACATGAGTATCCCATGAGGAAAAATGACAGATCGGTACCCTCTGAAGCTTGAACTCCAAAATTCGTCCTTATGAAGTAATAAAAAATTAACTAAAAGTGGATAAATTTTTAAACAACATAACGCGGCACCCATTACCCTTAGAAACTTGCCATACCATAAAACGACATTCATATAAGTCTACTGTCAACTATGGCATTAATGAAACCACAAAAATAACACACTCCCTACACGGTTCAGCTTCGGGCTCCCATACTCACGAACATTCCAACACGGCGCTCCCGAAGACGAATACGACGGCTTGCAGACCACCTCGGTGTACCCGTGTCAAGGCTGTGCATAAGTTTTTGATTGTCTACTGATAAAGTACCGCCAAAGCAGGAAGTTAAGCCGATTTTAGCTTGTTGCCGCGAAACAGTCTTCCAGCTACGAATTTGTATAAAAAAAGATGAGAGACGTTGTCCAGAACATACTTTAGATTGTTGGATTCCGAAATCAGGCGGACAAATGTGGAAAAACTGTCGTCAGCATTCGCAAAGGTGTACGAGCTTCGTAGAAACAAATATAGCTAGACGCTCTTGCCTTGAGCCAGGGAGCTTACTCGGTCCAAATATGTAGTTTTATTTTATCACACCTTTTCCTATGTCGATTGCAAAAATGTTCTGAAAAAATGCAAACTTTACAGGCAAACAAACAAGTACCAATGGCCTGATAATATCGAAGAAGAGCCAGGCCGTGGAAAGGCTGAAACGTGACATTTGTTGCACGCTCGCTCTTTAGTTGGCAACCAAAAGATTCGTTGCTGCAGTCGGGGCTTTTTATGGACTTTGAAGTGTGTATGTGTGTGGGGGGGGGGGGATTTTCCAAACGTTGTGACTGATTCCAAATGTGGGTTCATCTTACTAATGACAAGTGTTGACTTTAAAATCCTTAAAAATTAAAAAAATCCTAATTTTTCCATCCTGATGGCAAAACAACAATGTAGCGAATTGGCTGTTGGTGATGTAAAAAGGTGGGGGCACAGAGGGCGCATGTCCCCACCCCTGGCCCCTTAAAAACGACGATTAAGGGCCTAAACGGCTGGCCGAACACGGTGTTCGGGGCCTCGGATCGCAGGGCTGGGCCCTCAAATGTCAGTCAGAGGGCCTCTTGCGCCGATGGGGGGGGGGGACCCATGTGACATGCGAGTCTTCATGTCGGTCAGGGACCACCAACAGCGAGCAGCCACCTCCGCGTCGGTCTGCGCCCTAAGGGCCCATTTCCCATCGAGGGACAATGCCGAGCCCGCAATTTACATTAGTCTGGGCCCCTGCAACAATGAGGGGCCTCCTCTGTCGGTCAGGGGTCAAAACCGCCTAACATGGGCCCTGCATGAGCAGGGATCCCCGAGTCGGACAGGGCTACATTTGCTGAAGAGGGACAGGGACGGACCCGAGTGTCACAAGGGCTCTTGCTTTGGGCGGATTCCTCTGACAATTCAATCATATATGAGGACAGAGGGCGATCAAAGAGTCCACAATTAGACGATGAAAGGGCCTTGTGTCAGGCAAAAGGCCCGAATACCGAAGGGGGACACCGCCCCATTTCAGCCTGGGCCATAAGCTGAACTGGAGTCCCTGTAGCGTTTATTAGACCCGACACCGGTTGGGGATACGTTTACGTTGGTGGAGGCCCTGCGTCGATCCGGGTTTCAAATGCTCCAGTTGGAAGGTTTGCAGAGTCAGGGAGGGTCAGGGGACCGATGCATCACAAACCTTCCTCTTTCAGAGCCTCCGGATCGGTCCTGGGCCCCGGCTCCCGTGTTGTCATAATGACAGACGGTGTGCACGGCTGGGACGGAGGAGCCTTTCAGCTCCTGACAGGGAAACGTAACGGGTACCTACTGTTCTACCCAGTGGGCCCCTGCCCTGGAAAGATAGACGGTCTGCTCAGTCTTTGATAGGGTGGATCAAGACGGGACAACGACTTGTTTTTACATGGACCAGACACGTAATCCTGCGTACATATATTCTTTTTTCGGAATCGACTGGCAAAAAAGTTATATAAGATAGTTTTGGGCATATGCGCTCATGTTTAAACTCAATACCACCAATACCCGGCGTTGCAGTTCCCATCAAACAGAACACTTTTGCTCGCTGCTGCTAACACCAGGTGGCGCGCGCACGGAAGTGACCATGCGTCGTGAAACAATGCCTTCAGAAGTCTTCTTTAATTAGTTCGCACCACTCAAGGGTTAAACTTAGGTTTGTACTTTACCTATGCAGTTTTAGGGTTCAATACGTGTAGGGATTAACATAAAGACACTACAAGTCACAGAGATCAACCATTGCTTCAGGAGATTGTGATGTTTGTGGTGCGCTATTGCATGCCTATCCATTATCAGTCTAAAAACTGCACACCTTCCACACGTGCGGATGATTTACGTATGGACGAACCACGAGTAGGTGACCCTTGCCACCGGCAGTAAATTCGGTTACTGAGGGTGCCGTTGTTAAGATGATTCCACCGACTCCAAAAGGCGAGGTTCGCGCACACTGACCAGTGATTGCGGCAGCTACGCATTTTGAGCCGACGAAAGATTCCGGCGGACCGAAAAGAGATTCCAGCGGGCCGACGAGTGATTCCGGCATAGCTTAGTGACGGTAGAGATTGAAGGCTATGTGGTGACGCTGCGGTGAGCCTTACACCCGGTGGCTCCTGTTTACTGGGACAGTATCCGAGGTTTGCGCGGTGCCGGGCTGTAGTGTTCCGCTCCCAATTGAGGGGTTCGATCGTTACACATCAGCGGCGGGCTGTGTGTAGCGACCGCACTATAGGCCTTCCATAAATATAACAGAGAAACAAGCATGTAGCAGGCGGCGTAAATGTGTGAATGCTAGTTGCGGAAATCCAGTGAAATGACGTTTGCCCCCCAGCATGTCTTGACAAAAACTCATTTTTTGTAAAAGCCTATTTGTCGTCGGTGAGTCAGTGCCTTCACCATCACTGGCAGTCAGTCGCCCCGACTAGCCGGTTTTGATAGAGCATTACGCCAACAATAACCACAATGTAAGAATCAATGCAGTGGGCATGCGGGCCAGCAGCCGCCAGTAACTACGACATTTTAACTAATTCAAACATATGCGATTATTGTTGGTAGAAGTACCTGCCCCAAGCAGCGTTTCTTTTATCAGCCTGATTATTGATGCGTACAATTACCGTCTGCTAAAAGCTAGGGAAGATGAAGAGGCGAGACACCGTTGATAATGGAGTCATCATGTGTGTGTACGTAACTGAAAAAAACACGGACATACAGAAACTTTGCTTGAATTATGAGCTCAGTTACGGCACCTGTTGCTTTTATGCAACTTAGGCCTTGGGAATATCGTGATTGCCGTTCATGTTAATGAGGAATCAGTCGGATGAGCCTGGCTAAATCGCAGAGAAATGAACAGTTTTTGCTCAAAGTTATGCCGACGACAAAATCAAGCTAAAGAAAATAAATACACTTAAGTAATCCACGTATTGTAATGTTGGAAAATAATGTTGAGAAGTAGCTAACATTATGTGGATAAGTATAACATAAATGGTGATGAGTGTGATACCACCCAAAATAAAGAGTTCAAGAAAACAGCAAGTGTAAAATACACTGCGTGCCGAAGGCAAATATGAAAAGACGCGCAGCGTAATGATGGCCAGTATCAGGGTGAGGGGATGGCACCCAAAATCGAAAATGAAAGAGCGCACAAAACAAATATGAAAAATATCCCTTGCATAACCTGGTAAAGTGGGAACAAACAAAAAAACGGACCGCAGAAACGTTTGAAACGTGGATGACGTCCATAATGACACGGCATAGTGGCGATGACAATGTTTATATGAAAACGTTTAAATGGAATGCTTCATATTTGCACGAAGTTTTAAGCTGAAATAGTCATCTTGAAGATAATTTGGTGCAGTTCACAACCCTGTTCTTCTTAAGATCTAAACCCGTCTAGTTATTGAGCTACACGCTCACGGAGATGTGCAGACTATTTCGCGTGGAATATTTCAGTGCCACCCAGGCACCCAGCACAACATAATAACGCCATCTAAATCTCGTCATTCCACTGGCTATGCGACGACCAAGACAACTACAAATCTAATTGTTGAATCGTTAATGTCTGACGTTCCTAAACACCATTTTCCGATACAACGGCTGCCAATTGGCTCTCATCTCAATCAATGTTTTGCAGTACGATGATGCACTCAATCATTGGCGTATTAAAGCGCGTATTCACTTAATAGCAAAATTGTGTTGTCTAGAGCAGACTTTTCCGCTTAAAAGTGTACCAATTGTTATAAGTGCACTTATTTCATTACGTCTGATGCTTGCTTCAATATCTTCAAATGTGGAACATCCCTTTCAAGCATTCCTGCCAAGCGCAACGCGAGCGTTGAAACGGAGACCTTTCCACCAGAGGAGCTCGTATTCACAGTGCGTTGCTGAAGGCGAAAATACTCCACGACGGAAATACTCTAGTACGTTGGCTGACCGGCAGGAAGGCGTGTGCAGAGGCCTCGACAGGGCTCGTTCGACGTTCAACCTGATGCGATCCTGATAGTCATACGGGCCGTGTCCCCAAAAGCTAGTAAAACGCTCAATGCCTAAAGGGACTCTTCCACATCTGAATGAGGTTTGGAGCTTGGATAACCATTGTCAAAATCATTCCTTGAAGTTCACAGTGATACTCTTTTAAGGCTTCAAAATCCTCACGTTTCTGAGCTAAGTGTGCGCGAACTTGTGCAAGTACATTACGTGAATAGGAAAGCTGTGGAACGTTTTACATTCAAAAGCTGTCCCCATCTGGACCAAGTTTGAGTGTCCAGCTCAACATTCTTCCAGACTTAATATGAACTTTTTTCCGTCGAATGATCGCGTTTCCATGATCAGAGCACGGGAAGGGCCCCGAGCAATCAAGGCATCCTCACGACTAACACCACAACGTCGGATGAAAGCTCCCACTTGACATCAAATGCGTCATCAGCGGTTGGCGGACGCGAAGCCGAAAATACAGAATTACTGCCGCCGCCGGTCCCCGGCGCGCTCCGCCGCTTCGGACCGCCGTGACGTCACGCAGCCGTCGGCCGGCGGAATTTCCGACCGCGCCGGCTGTGTATCGGCGACAGGAAAACTCGGCCGGCTCGGCCTGGCGCGGGCAGTGGCATCTGGGGCGACGAGAGTGCGGTAACGAGGTGGCGCCGCCCGACCCGACATTGCAGCGCCATGGTGCGACCTCTGCTCTTGGTGCTGCTCGCCGCGCTGGCCGGCGCGCAAGGTAAGCGCAGAAGCCGGCGCACGGGCTTCACTTCGGCGGCTGCCAATTAAGGTGATGTGCGTTGTAGCGCTAACAGAGGTGACATTTTTCCGACGTGTGTGTTGGAGCAACTGGAATATCGCCCGCAGGTCGAGAGTGACGTAAAACGATGCATATGTGATATTTAATGAATGAGACCCACGCGCATATACTGTACATTTTCAGTGCTGCTTGGATAACAACGTAAATGCCGGTTTTTTAGTGGGGTGTACTTAAAGTTGTGCGAGACGGAATGTGCGTGCTACGAAGGGCATTATGGGCTTCGCATTCTTCAGAATGTAAGGATGAGGATAATAAGCTAAACTTGTCCTTGCCCACTTTTGCAAGCGTCGGCGGCAGCTATCGGAGTTCTGGAATGGATCTGGCCAACATCTCGTTCCCTTGATCATCCCACTGTCACATACCGTGTGTTGACACATCCACGTGCTCTGTGCTGCCTCTGTGATACCAGTGCGGGTGAGGGGCGCAGACTAATGCCGCTCAATCGTTATCCAGTGCACTGGGTCACAGCGGTGGGCCGTGTGGACTCGGCCTTTTGGCGTGCTGTCCTCCCTCCGCCGCTGTAAACAAACGCGAAGTTCCACGGCTGAGAGCTGGCTGTCACATGCAGGAGCACGGGAGATTTGAGCCTGCCAACAGCGCAAACACAATTCGGATGCACAGGAGGTTATGAGTAGGGGCGGATTTGGCTGCGATCGTGTCACGCCTACGTGGCAGAATTGCACAATAAACCAGAGAACAGTTTAAAGCGTGACGTTTTATCACGATGGCAGTCAGCAAACAACGATGCATCGGGTTGGTAAGCGACGTCCACAAACTATTAGGTGTTTTATTAAGACCCCACAATCGGACTTCGATCCCTCCGATTATGCTTCCGAAGATGCTGTGCTGGATCCGCCCTGGACGGCGTAAGAATGCCATATCTGGCGGCTGCATCACAGCTTTGTCAGCAGTTCTAACGGCAACTTACCTATGATGTAGCAAGTGACAACTGGGCGACCTCGAAACTAGTGTACTTATGGGGCACCCCAGATGAAAGAAAGGACGCCCCAGATGTGCACTTCTTCATGGCACAAAAGGTGCCTAACACGAACCACAGCTACAGAAACACAGTTCAGGCTTTGTCCGTGATAGATCTGTATGAATCGGTGGCAGCGGCGTAATCTGAATAAACCAACCTAAGCCAAAACACGACCATGTTCGAGTCAATTTTACTGTGCGAACGCGTTTATACACGGTAAATATTTGATCTCACAGAAGCGCACTAAGCGAAAATCAGAAGCAAAACAACAAACTGACTTGTGAGCTAGAATTGTTTGTCTACTTCCATCAATCGGTACAAGCAAAGCAAAAAGGCAGAAAATAATAAATCAACAATGCTGTTATGTTACGACGCGTGGCCGAAGCAGATAGGAAAGCGTGCAACTGGTCTCCCATTACCGCGTGCAAAAGCAATCGAAATGCACTTCAAAAGCATCATTGTAACTGGATCATTCAAGATCGACGTTAAATGCAAGTGAACACGTGGCCTCAAAGCGCGCACTCCCGGGAAGGCCACATAAACACACACCGCAGCCTGGCCAGTGTCAGGCTCGACTGCCGCCCAGCGTCCGCCCGGCCTGGCCGTGGCCTGCCCCGCGCGCTCGGCGTCGTTTAGAGGCCTCGGCTAGCGTGACCTGTTGTGACCGGCCACAGGCATTGCGCGGGTGCGGCGGTCGCGCTGGAGGCCGTGGTCGCCGTCCGCCATCGCGCAGATGGCAAACGGGCCGGTGCGGTGCCGCAGCTCGACCCTGCAGTGGCGGGATATTTGTTTGTTCTGGCACAGAGGGGATGCCAGGGGTTTCTTGATATGTTCTATGAGCCGACCGAGCGACCGACTTCATAGAACAAGGCAAGGAATGTGCGCTTTTACTTGCGCTGCATGACACGGATCGTAAACCGCCACGTGTCACCAAATCATCACATCCCTTCATGATGCTTGTGTTAGGTGGGCACAATGGAGCGGATTTTTGGTCACATTATTTCACAGTGAGATAGACGAGTGTGCAAGTTGAAGGTTCGGCCTATTGACTCGAGTTACCACCGGTGCACAGTTCTGATAACTCTGCAGTTGGCCATTATATCCAGGGCACCGTATCGCCGGCCTTGGTATGAAACCACAAAGCCGACGTTAAGCCGCTTCTCTACCCTTCTTACGGGCGTCAACACCGGTGGTTGGGGGCCAGTTATCGGGTGAGCCCCGTAATCGGTCCCTGGCAGCGAAGTCACGTCCCTCCCAACGCTACACGCAGTCGGTTGTCCCAGTCTTTCACAATATGCCGTAGCGTTTTGCTGGGAGCACGGCGTGTTGTTATGGTGTTGTTTCTCTCTTTCTGGTACGGACGTGCGGCGTTCTCCCTGAGAAATACTTCGCTTCAACATATATTGCACCCATACAGACACCGTTGCTCTCCTATAGACTACGTTGTTGGTTGTGCACGAATACCGTCTTCTCTGACGTGTTGCGGTACAGAAACATGGCGGTACGCCGCGGAAGCGCGCCGGTCCACCACAGTGGCGTGTCGCCGGTCCCGGCGAAACGCCAACACTTTCCGCACCGTCCGTGGTGCCTCGTTCCCGTGCTGCCGTAGTCTTACCCGTTAGCGCATGTAATATCGACCTTTGTGAATACGATATGGTGTAGTGCCGATGTCTCTCAGTAGCAGGTGCGCTATTGAGGCGGTGGTTGACAAGTCGTGCTCGGCTGGGATGGTAGAACTGTTTCCTTTCTCTTTTTTCGCTCGGAACAATATATACTCCTAAGGTCATGCGCGAAATTTGGAGGAAGCAATATATATATATATATATATATATATATATATATATATATATATATATATATATATACATATATTCGGTATACGTAGCAAGCACATGCGACGATTCCCTACAGATACATGTCGCTCGATTCTCACCCTTATATTTCTGTTTGATAAATGTGCCATTCCGTTACAAAGGCATGCCGTTCTGCCACAGACACATGTTTCTCTGCTACAGGAACATATTCCGCTACAGAAACATGCTACAGAAACGTTCTGCTTCAACCTTCCTCTCTCTCTCTCGCCCCAGAGGTATATGTTGTTCCACTACTGAAACGAACCGTCCCGCTAATGAGACATATGTTACAAAACACCCCTATCGTTTTGCTACAGACACGTGCCTCTGTACCAAACACATGCCTCTTCGCCACAGACACGCACCGTTCTGCTACAGACATGCCGTTCCGTGTGCCGTTCCACTTTCGATACGCGCCGTTCCGAGCCTTCCGTGGCCCCCGATCGCCGGTCGGGGCTGGCAGCAGGTCGCAGCCACCGCGCTTCTGTAAACAGAGCGCCGTCAGTCGGTCGGAACCAGAAAGGCCACCCACCAGAGGTGTGCGTTTGTATACGCGCGGGCGAAATATACGCCTGTGTGTGTGTGCGTGCAGATGGAACACGAACGGCCGGCAGTGCGGGGTCTGGGGGTCAGGCCGGGGCCGGGGTCAGCTTCGGAGACCTTCCGCCAGGTGGCTGGATCATTATGTGTGTGTGTGGGGGGGGGGGGGGGGCAGCCACAACTTCACGGCTGCCGTGACTCATAGGCACTGGAATTGTAGCGTGATGGGGCTGTGGGCGCCGCAACCCCACATCTGGGAAAATTTGTTCCTCGGCTGTTGTCTGGAAGTGCACAGAAAAACGAGCCAAAATACCCCTGGTCCGCCTCCCCGAAGCAGAACGGATATACCAGCCGCTATATCCTGCGGCTGGGATACCCAGTCGCTATATCCAGCCGCTACACCCAGGCCATCACACCGTGTTCCCAACAGGCCTTGTGGCTGTGACCTGATGACAACTTTGACCTGCCCGCAAAAGGGCGGACCAGTGCAACTGGACGAATACGACTAGAGTACATCCAGAGGGGACAACTTAGGCTTCACGGTGAACCTGACCTGCCGACAGATGACCAAACCGTGATCGCGGTAAAAGCTACCACCTGGGGTAGTCCTAACCTTCCGGTAGACGACTAGATCGCGTTTGCTCTGACCTCACGGCGCTGCTGACCTGCCGGCAGATGACCGGATCCTGTTCCCGGGGGCGGTGCAGGCGCGCTCGCAGTCGCGCGTGAGCAGCGCCCGGTGCCGGGACGTGACGGGCGCCACGTGCGTGCCGCTGCACCGCTGCCCTCAGATGATGCGGCTGCTCACCACGTCCGACCCTAACGACATACGCACTCTACGTGCCAACACGTGCAGGTGGGTTCGACGGGCGCGTCCACGGCCAGGTCGCGACCGGGGTCAGCGTGGCACGTGCGCCGCATCTGAGCAGTGGCCGCTGGTTGCGTCTTCATCGAATTATCGGAGCTGCAGAGGATTTTTCTGACAATTGGGCTATTGGCTTGCTCTTGTGGCGACATTGAGCGGGTAGGTAATTCAACGATGTGATTAAGCTGCCTGTTTGTGCCGTCTGCAACTAGCCATAACGTACAGCAATACATGAGTTTGCCATTCTGCACATGTAGCTTTCATAAAATGTGATATACATCTGGCGCTGTCTTGAAAATGTCTATGACTGACGTCTCAAACAGTTTTAATAAAGCTTCGCTAGCTTCCCTGCCTTGAACATTTAAGACTTCTCCTGCATGACTTCCAAGCATCCAAGCATGACTTCTCCGCGACAGTGCCTCGACACTCCTGGCCTGGGCTGAGGCCGACGTCCTCGGCTGAGCAGACGCATGGGCTTCAGCGGAGCACCGGTGCGGACCGCACCAAGCGCGCGACGCGAACCGCGCCCGCGGAGAGGGCAGAGAGGGCGGTGCTCGGTGGGCGGGCGGAGCAGCCTGGGAATCCCGCCGTCATCGCCACGCAGAGCTGGACGCCGCGAGGGAGGGGGGGGGGGGGGGGTGTAGACGGCCGATGGAATGCATCGCGGAACGGAAATCCCGGGGAGAAAGGACGCAGTTACGGCTGCCCGGGACCCAGCGTTAAGCGCTGCCCCTCATTGCTGAAGGCCAGCCTCACGTGTTGATCCGCGCAGTCGCTGACCTGTACTACGGCCACGTCTGCGTTCGCCAGGCCATGGATGCCGGGATTGGGTCTTTGCGGTAATAGGACGAGACAAAAATAGCTCGTGGAGTACGTTGCGGGTGGTTCCGAGAAATCCGGGCCAAATGACGCATCCCTGCTTAGCATGGCTCTCTGTGCCAGATAAAAAAGCCGCCACAGACAAAGCGATACTTGACTCAGGCTGATGCACTTCCGGTGGGCGACGGAGTATCGATTTACAATCCACGTCATGTGACCAACCGACTGGATCCTTTCCACTGAGTCTGCCAGTGAACCTGAGCGTCTGTCAGTCCATGTTGCAATGGGGCAAGGCAGCTCTTGCCACCGCTTCCCCTCCTCCCCCGGTCAGTTGCTGACCTTGGGGTCTCGCCACGGCTGAGGGCGGGAAGCGTGCATGAGTCAGACCTCCGCGGGGGAAGCGACGCTGCACCGCACGGACTACTCTCACATGTTTTCTCACAGTGATCAAGGGGCATATGTAGCCGGGGATCGAGCGGGCTCCTAGCCACGCTCCTTTTGGAATGGTCGTGTACCGCAGCGCGGCCGACCCCATGTACCCCGGGTCAGCAGGCCGGGACAAAAGAAGACCCCTGGTGTACCCGTGTGCCCCTGGATAGCGGGCCCGCTCTAAAGATCACCCTGCCTGCGGCCAGCACCGCCCTTGCGCGGCGCCCGGAGCCGGCACAGAGAAAAAAAATCCGGAGCCGGATAGAGCTGTGCTCTGAGTCAACCCTCCTGCGAAATCAAGTAACGGCGCGAAGAGACGGCACGCCTTGAGCGGAGTGGCTGCAGCCTGAATAGCGCGACGACACCTCAGCCACGGACTTGGTACGGAGTCACTATCCGGAAGATCAGCAGCTTCCGGCCACAGACGTGGGACGGAGCCACTATCCGGAAGATCAGCGCCTTCCTGCGAGCTGTGCAGCAGTGCACGGTGCAACAATGAATTACAGGGCAAGCGTTCACACATCCGGACGCAGCAACCGGAACTCGCGTAGCGAGTAACCGAAACTCGCATGACGCGGCCAACCGGACTTTTCATCCGTGACGAGTAACGGAGGAAAGTCATCGCGGCAGGCGATGGCCTGCCCTTCTCAGACATGCATGACGCGCCGCCGTGCCCGGCGCGAAACCCCGACCGCCGTCTGCGTTCGACCGCTATCACCCGACCGCTGTCTGCGTTCGACGCTGACCTCCACGCTCTCCGCCGACAGGATCGACGGAGAACAGCCGTACGTGTGCTGCACCAAGCCGACCGCGGCGGGGGCCGGACGGACCACGGAGACCGCCTCCAGGCCGAGCGACCCGGCCGGCCCGGCGTCCACGCTAACACCGTCGCAGCGGACGGATCCACCAGCGGCGCGGCCTGCGGCGAGCCCCCGCGAGGAGGTGGCGCAGGCTCCGAGCGACGCGCCTCAGGTGCAGGGCGAGTTACCTCAGGGCTCAAGTGAACTACCTCAGACCACCACCGATCACGTGCTGCTGGCCAAATCGCTGAGCCCGCCCGCGTTGTCGCCCGAGAACTCTCCGTTGAAGCCGTCGATGGTGAAGCCCATGACCTCGCGCCACGTGCCGGCCGCCGCGGCGCCCGCGGACGAGGGCCTGTCCACGATCGGGCCGACGGACGAGCCGGCGGAGGACTACTTGGACGAAGCAGACAGCGCCGAGTGCGGCTATGGTCGCCTAAGCACACGCATCTTCGGCGGCACGGAGGTGCCGAAAGGCACCTGGCCCTGGATCGCAGTCCTCGGCTACGGCTTCGGTACGTATTCGGCTGCGGCCTCAATGCTCGCTTGCGGTGTGCGTTGGTCGCCGGCTGCGGGGACCGGCGTCGTGGGGGATGGGAAGGGAGCAGCCACCAGGGACGGCGCGAAACATGGATCCGAGTGTTTCTCTGTCGAGGCGGTGGGAATGGCCTGACGACATCGTGCCTTAATGGACGTCTTGCGGTAGTCTGTTAAATCCCCGTACATCAGATACCTTTAACAGACTACTTGCGGTAAGAGATTAAGCTTCAGATCTCAGGAACTAGAGTTTGCCCTCTTCCTCGAGGCTCTTCTGATGTTCAGAAGGACTGCCTGACGCGTCGCCGATCCATCTGAGCGAAATAAGCTCCAAACATACGAAAAACGCCAGCGGGCTGATCATGCTTTCCTGGGGCTTTAATGGTCACTACGTACGGGACATGAGAACTCTTTATGGATTGCATTGTTATGATCTAGTCCAAAGCGTGCTAACAATCATAAATTCAATCCCTCCACCCGCCTGCATATTTAGGGAATCCTCGATTCGGCCCGGTCGGGTAAACCACAGTAAAAATAGTTCTCGGCAACCGAACTGATTTTTCCAATCAGGCCTGCAACGGTGCTTAGAAGCAATAGCATCAGAACGCAGAGAATTGTTATTAAAACAACCGATTATGCTTGGAAAGAGCCGCGCCTGGTATGGCCAGTGCTTGGTGTTAGGGGCCGCGTCAACCGCATGGCAATGCTGTGCTCTTCCGAAAATCTTCAGCTTATTTCTGTATTGCGAACCCGTCGATGTTTTAGCCGCTTGTCCCAACGCTGATAGACATCCATCCTGTGCCGTGAAACGATTATAAGCAACAAGCTGTCAATACTGTGGGACGGCAGCGCATGCTGAAAAGGCGAGCACGTAAACGACATTACAAATTGGCTTACACCGAATCGAGAGAAGCCCTCTTGTCACATAACAGCGTCAATCCGCTTTAAAGCAGCTGCATGACGTGGGCGCGTGCCCGACGGTAAGCCCTCCTCCCACACCTGCCACGCTGTGTCACGTGCTGGTAAAAGGGGTGCATGACGTAGGTTTGCTCTAACCACAACCAGCAGCGGCTGCCGCTGTGGGAAAATTCCGCCTCGTTAGCGCGCGGCTGTAATGTCTTAAGTGGGTGTGTTTGCTCGTTATATCTCCTCCGCCACATCCTGTGAGTACCTTGACGGGACTCAAGGTCGACCGCTGATGCACTACGGAGCTTTGCCCACCAAAATGGTCTCTGATTATGTCTTCTATAGAACGAGATAAGCAATCGTGCTTATCAAAAACAGTCCCTCAGCTCCACAACTTCCGCACATCAGGTTATTTTCACTTTGCCGCGATCATTTTCGTCCTAACGTTTCGTCCACGTTTCGGACTCATGACGATACTTACATGGTGAACGCGTCGTCACCGTGTATTACTTGTCTAACATAGGGATTATACAAAGGCCCAACATTGCAAAATCATCATAGCGTAAAGAGATATCTCTTCGCAAAAAGAAGGCACCACATGATGATTCGGAAGAGCGTACGGAAGCTTTCTCCTCATTTCACTGAAATGTGATGTTTCGGTAGGCGCGCCAGATGGTGCTGCCCTGTTGTCGGCTTTGCCGAGCTGACGGCCCTAGCATGCTGTCATTGCTTATGATCCTGACCTGACTGGCTATCCACGTGAAGGTTTTTGTAATATCTTAGTTCCTTGAATATAAATGCTAGTTGTGAAAGTATAAGGTACAATGGCCTGAATAAACACATTCAGGTTAAAACGAAGACGGAGGTCAGTGTCGAATGACTATACAATTTGCCCTTGACCCGAACTGCATAACGCAGCCTTTCAATTCCTGATTGAACCAGAAACAGCACCTCTTTCCTGCTCTGAATAATGTAATTCGTAATTGAAATTATTGTAATTCTGCAATGAGTAGCATAGTAATCTCGCAATCGATGCCGCTAGTTGCCAAGCGCAGCAGGCGCGCCGTACACCTGTTCATTTTCCATACGCGCGCCATTTTGGCCGAAGCTGCTGCGCGTCACGCGGCCAGCTTGCAGCAGGCAGCACATGTGCCTGGCTTGCGCCACGAATTACACTGAAACGTGGGACGAACGGTGTCGCGCCTCCATCAAGGCTGGTCTGAGGCGTTTCGTTGCGGAACAAAACTCAACGCTGGTCGATGGCGAGTGGCACTCCATTCGGAACACACGCAGCTGAGCGGCACTCCATTCGGAACACACGCAGCTGAGCGGCACTCTACTCGGAACACACGCAGCTGAGCGGCACTCTGCTCGGAACACACGCAGCTGAGCGGCACTATACTCGGAACACACGCAGCTGAGCGGCACTCTACTCAGAACACACGCAGCTGAGCGGCACTCTACTCGGAACACACGCAGCTGAGCGGCACTCTACTCGGAACACACGCAGCTGAGCGGCACTCTACTCGGAACACACGCAGCTGAGCGGCACTCCATGCAGAACACACGCAGTTCCGCCCACTCGTGTGTGCATGCCGAGATGATTAATGATAGCGATCTGCTGCGGGCGTCATCCCTGGTTCACGGCGGCGAAGTGTTTCATGCGTATTATTTTTACATCGAATTAGTTACCTTCAATCGTTTTTCACCGACGTCAGCACGTTATGAAACAGTTTAGGGAACAGGCATCTGCCAAGAACCCTCCAGTTTCCACTCATCATTCTTTTTTTAACAGATTGCGTGCCGTGTACAGGTTTTCCGACCGGCACAGACTGATGGAAATCCAATGCAAACGACAGAAAAACCGAGGTCTTGGAAAGGGAGGTCGGTAAGCCCTACCCGAAGTGACGTGAAAGCCCTAGTGCCTGGCTGGGGCCGGTAGAAAAATATACTGATGTGGTCAAATGTGCTGTTGGCCTCCACCTCTTACCATGACTTGCTCTGAAGTGGGAAACACCACGTTTTCCAACCAACATCATTGCCTCAAGCATGCAGTACTCCAATGCAGTATCTCTCCACTGTACGCAAGAGCTGCCAGCGAGCAACGCCACACTGTTCCCTCCATCTCACCCCCGGCCCAGAGCACCATCAACCCATCCGTCAGTGTCGCATACGGTCATGCTATAACCCGGCTCTCGTGTACTTAACGTACCCTATTGGTCGGCATATGCCACATCCCAGAGGCGGATCCTGGATCCCAAAGTATTGTTCGCCGACTGTTATCAGGCTATTGATCGGGGTACCGTTTTTCAGGCGGATGTCTGTTACATACCTAACGAAGGATAGCCATAGATCCTATGGGATGCGGCCGCGTCTGTTACAGTTATGCAGTGTTGTATGGGCACACACTACACAGCACGGCTGTACGGCTACACGAAACGCCCTCAGCCCTATTTTCTTGGATATAGGGCTTGCCATGAGCCCCGTGCCACAACACGTGCTGCCTCGCACGGCCCGTGACGTGCCCCCTCCCTCTGCAACGGCGACTCTCTGCCCCCCCCCCCCCCCCGCTCTTGCACCGGCGACTCTCCGAGCGGTCGGGGAATGGCCGCGCACTTGACGGCTTCAACATCGCGCTAAGCAACCTCGTATGGAGAAAGTGATTCAAAAGACCGACTTTTGCGCTCGATAATTTCCAGAAGGCTGCATCTCTCCCTGACTGGTGTGATCTCAGAGCCCACCCAAGGCAGCAGAACCCATCCACCCATGACATCACTGGCATAATCCAGCCGAGAGCACAGTTGTGGTTCACTTCTGGGCAGCGCGGCCGACATCACACAATGGGAGGTTAGACTCGGGAGGATTCACCAGAACCTGGTGAGCATACAGGATGCAAGGGCGCAGCGCCAGCATGACGCCACCTGCCAATCATCAGTGGGAAGTTGCACGACTAATTTGTTGCTTGCTTACCGGTATCTCAACCTTCAGAGCTTTTCAGGGCTGTTTGTATCTTTGGAGCTGTTATGCAACCAGGTGATTCAGCAAAGTCGGTGAGACGAATGCCGGGTTATCCAACAACACCGGCGAGACAGTGTGCCTGCTGACTTGCTCCACCAGCTGCTAAACGCTGGATGCAGCTGGAATATTTGACATGACGCATATCTGATATTTTCTGTGCGATAGCCCACACTGTTTAAATTAGGTCTGGAGCTGGATTATGCTGAGGTCAGACACCGGCTCCCTAGACTTAACTTCGTTGGTTTGCCCACCAACATCCGGTCTTCTTCGCGGAATGAGGGATAGCCGCGCTTAGCGTGAGGATGGCTTGGCTGGAAACTCGTACCGCAGAACAGGACTCGTTTTTAATATTTTTCGTTAACAGCATGAACGTAATATTTTCTCAAATTACTTCAATGGGAAATTTTTTGTAGGGATACACACCTACCTTATGAATTGTTGTCTCTTGCTTGGTTAATATTTGGGAAACAAATATTTGTTAATATTTGGTCAAAGTAACCCTCCCCACCCGAATGAGTCGCATTCAACCGGCCACCCGGGCACGGGTTCATGCAATCGCATCGATCACACCCCGCCCACCGCGTCCTTCTTACAGCGCTGGAGTGCACATCCCGCTCGTCTTTACCGATCAGGACAACCATGTCAGGAGCCACATTTTTGGACGCTAGCGAAGTACACACCACAATGTTGCTCGAAGTCCATCGTTGTGATAGACTTCGACAGCTAAGTCGGCCACCCCACGTAGTGGATTCTATTTGTTTAGAATGGTACACAAAACGCGCAATTCCTTTGCCTATTTTGAGGCTTTTTCGTCGCAACCGTTAATTGCTGGTGCGCTCCGCCACAAAACGGCGTAAAGATCGTACATTAACACCTTGAACTCTCAGATTTCGCAGAAAGGTGTCTAACTTTGCCAATATTCAAGAGAAATCCAACCACACCGACTTTACACACTCGTTTTCCGTAATACCTGTCGGTACAGGTGGACGAAGTTTGCGCTCAGTTGCAGCCCGCTTTTTAATGAGGACGATGAGGTGAGCTCTTCAGTTATCCCAATGTATTAAGTATATTTTCCAGCAACATATTGGATGTTGTGATGATCGAACATATTAAAATATATCAGATGTTTTGTTATAAACGAAATACCTCCAAATTATGCAGTGCTTGCATGGCCCGGAACCTGCCGTAACTGACACCCGAACGTGCCGTAACTGATCCGCGCCGACAGACCCGAGGAGCCCGAGACCTGCCGTGACTGACGCCTGTCTCGTGTTGACAGACCCGATTAGCCCGGAACCTACCGTGGCTGACACTCGTTCCGTGTCGACGGAGCCGAGGAGCCCGAGACCTGCTGTGACTGACGCCTGTCCCCTCTTGACGGACCCGATTAGCCCGGAATCTGCGTGGCTGACGCCTGTCCCGTGTCGACAGACCCGATTAGCCAGGAACCTGTCGTGGCTGGCGCCTGTCCCGTGTCTACAGAGCCGAAAAGTCCGAGACCTGCCGTGACTGACGCCTGTCCCGTGTTGACAGACCCAAGGAGCCCGAGACCTGCCCTCACTGACGCCTGTCCCGTGTCGACAGGCCCAAGGAGCCCGAGACCTGCCCTCACTGACGCCTGTCCCGTGTCGACAGGCCCAAGGAGCCCGAGACCTGCCCTCACTGACGCCTGTCCCGTGTCGACAGGACCCAAGGAGCCCGAGACCTGCCCTCACTGACGCCTGTCCCGTGTCGACAGGCCCAAGGAGCCCGAGACCTGCCCTCACTGACGCCTGTCCCGTGTCGACAGGCCCAAGGAGCCCGAGACCTGCCCTCACTGACGCCTGTCCCGTGTCGACAGGCCCAAGGAGCCCGAGACCTGCCCTCACTGACGCCTGTCCCGTGTCGACAGGCCCAAGGAGCCCGAGACCTGCCCTCACTGACGCCTGTCCCGTGTCGACAGGCCCAAGGAGCCCGGGACCTGCCCTCACTGACGCCTGTCCCGTGTCGGCAGACCCGCGGATGCCGGATGAGGTATTCTGGGCGTGCGGCGCCGCACTGATCGGACCTCGCCACGTGGTGACCGCCGCCCACTGCGTCATGGAGGAGACGCCGGCCGGCAGGAACATCGTCAGGGATCTGTGAGTAGGAGGCGGCAGGGGCGGGGCTAATCCAGGGACCTGTGAGTCGGAGGGGGCAGGGGCGGGGCTAATCCAGGGACCTGTGAGTGGTAGAGCGGGGGCGGGGCTAATCCAGGGACCTGTGAGTGGTAGAGCGGGGGCGGGGCTAATCCAGGGACCTGTGAGTGGGAGAGCAGCGGCGGGGTCACTCCAGGGACCTGTGAGTGGTAGAGCGGGGGTGGGGTTACTCTAGGGACCTGTGAGTGGTAGAGCAGGAGTGGGGTTACTCCAGGGACCTGTGAGTGGGAGAGCAGGGATGGGGCTACTCCAGGGACCTGTGAGTGGGAGAGCGGGGGCGGGGTTACTCCAGGGACCTGTGAGTGGGAGAGCGGGGGCGGGGTTACTCCAGGGACCTGTGAGTCGGAGAGCGGGGGTGGGGCTACTCCAGGGACCTGTGAGTGGGAGAGCGGGGGCGGGGTTACTCCAGGGACCTGTGGCTAGGTTAGACGCTTAGGTGTCGTATCGGTACCAGTCCGGAGCTTCACGGCAGTCGTTCTGGAGGTGTGGGAGACGATGGGCGGTAACACGCTCCAATTTGAGCAGCGAGACAAAATGACGCATCATTTAAACATCTTCCGAGCTAAACAGCTCTCAGGTAATGTAAACTGGCTCGTGCCGCTGCCTGCATTGCACAGCCACTCGACTGTTCCTTACAAGCGGGTCTGACTTAAGTCACCGGTAGGCCACGCGGGCTCAAGGCGGGCTTTTTCACGCTACTCCACGCTAGCCACGGTTATCTCACTCATCTTGGGTCACATTAGCAATGGGGTGCCTATTCCCTGGGCCCTCGCACCCTCCAACCACCCTCGTGACGAGCTAGCGAGAAAGTCACTGTACGGTCGTTACGACTAATCACGCTCAGCACTCCCCCCGCGGACACGGAAACTCCCAGCATCACAGCATCAGTGGTGCTGGAACGGCTGATTCAGCTTCCCCCGTCACTGCGACCTCCGCACAACCGGCGCCTCTTCATGGAATTGTGACATACTGTGGGTCGATCGCAGAGGCCGCTCTTTATTTGGGGTCAGATAGGTCGCCCAAACCGGTTTTCTGCCATGACGATGCGACCAGGTATCAGCGACTACCAGGTAACATCAATCATCAATAGCTGGTAGCCTTCACGCGCACTGCTCAGGCAGGCTTGCACAAGGACACGATGTTTATTATGTACAGTGTTACTCACATGACATAATGCATGGAACGAGGTGTTATATTAGCCCAGTATCTGTTGTCAGTATGCTAATTTAAATTCGTGTTGCGGCACAGTTGACAGATACCTGGTCACGCACGCGCCGGGATCACGGAGCTAGCAGGTCGGCATCAGTTCCAAACGTTGCGGCACAGTTGACAGATACCTGGTCACGCATGCGCCGGGATCACGGAGCTGGCAGGTCGGCATCAGTTCCAACCACGCCATCCCTGTTTGAGCCACCCGCACACAACTACGTTTGGAGCACTTTGGCCCAACGCCATGCCTCCACAAAACATATCCATGTGCGGCTATGGACGGGGTTAAGACCATGGGATTCGCTACTGGCCAAAGACGTCGGTCATGTGCAACACTGAAGCTATGAACTACGCGCAAACGGCTCAGTAATAACAGGGGAAAACCAGTTACGGAAGACTTGAAAATACGTTTAGTCCGGTCCAGCTTTGGTCCAGGATGGATCGTGGTCAGCGCAGAAAAGTTCTTGGAATTCGCGGAGGGCAACTCTGCAGACTTCTGCTGGTTCTTCTGGTTACGAAGAAGCGGGTGAAATTCCATCGATTATGACCGTATAAATAAGCATTTACCAGCACGTCCGGACATCAAGAAACGAATGCTGCGGTCGGGAAACCCCCCAACTGGTTCTGAGAGAACTCGGGGCCTTGCGGAGAACTTGTCAAACCGGTCGGCGCGAGCTGACACCCACTCCGACGGAACCGTACCGAGAGCTGTCTCTTCAACTTCAGTCAGTTTAGGCAAACCGACAGCAACCACCCCTTAAGCAGTGCTTGACACTACACGACGGGCACGTTCGGCCGAGGGAAAATTATTCAACGAATGGTTATCTCTCCGATAATCATCCACGGAGATTCTCCGTTTATACTCGGCCGGTCCGGAAATTATCCCCCAGATTAGTCTCCCGTGCGTCATCCACAGCCAACGGTCATAGCTATGCATAGCGAAAACAGATTCTCCTTCTTGACCATGCTTTGAAAACCCTCCATGATTCTCCCCCGCTACGGAAAGTTATCTTGAATAATTTCCCGTGACGGCAGTGCCGAACGCCATTCCGGAAAATTTTCCAACATTCCGGATAATTTTCCAAGATTATCTGCCGGCCAAACGCGCCCTACATTACTGCACTACCACTGCACGCCGGACTGGCCCCAGAGATTGAGAAGGGCACGCGACTTGATGCAAGGGACATGTCACGTGACCAAGACGAAGGGGGCACGGGACCATGGAACCAAAAGGTTTGCACTGGATATTGGACGATTTCAAAGGAATTCGGTCCATTCACAGAAGTTGGGGAGGGGGGGGGGGAATTGTCCTCTGCCCTCCTGCTCAAGACATTCTGGCTCCGTGCCTGCCGGACACGGGTGTCCCCCGCCCAGGGAGGCGACGAGCGGGAAACTCTGGCACGCGCCTCCGCACGTCTGAGCGCGGTTCCGTTTCAGGAAGAAGGTGCGCCTCGGCGAGCATGACCTGTTCGACGACTCGGACGGCCCTGTGGTGGACGCCGTGCCCCTGCGCATTGTCGTGCACGAAAACTACACCGGACGACCCAAGTACAGCAACGACATAGCGCTCATCGAGTTGGACCGCACCATCAACTACACGGGTAAGCGGGTCCGGCCGACTGCGGAGGTGTGGTACGCTCCACAACGCGCCTCGGTGAGGCAGCTCGGGAGATGGCATTCATTAAGCTGGATTGTAGTTATGTGTTTGGCGTGTTGTTGGGAACCGCATTGTTGAGAACGGGTTGGGACAACGCTAGATTTCTTTAAGGACAGTGAGGTGGGGGGGGGGGGGAGGGGGGGAGGGTGAAAGACCATCGAAAGGCAATCTTTTTCCGACTTTCTAGTAGTTGGTACAAACTCCACTCATAACTGGCATTCGAAATAGCCACATACCTGTCGTGATATAACACTGTACTTACTGAACTGCACCGCTAAATTCACCAGCAGCCTTAAAGCTCGAACTTGCACCTGCCTATACAACCGGGATTTTGTCGCCATACATATACATACATACAGGAATATCACACATTCAAAGGAAACACACACACAGACAAACACACACACACACACAGACACACACACACACACACACACACACACACACACACACACACACACACACACACACACACACACACACGGCGCGCACACACACACACACACACACACAGGAAATATGCCGCACCCAGCACACACTAAATACTGGGTGTGGTTGCATTCTACGCAAGACAACGACATGCATATATCGTCTTCATATATCTGGCCGGCTTATCGCACCTGAACCAGCCCTGGGTGGTGAGCACGATCGGCACATACCTCGGAGACTAGGCATACAGACCGCTGGCGCCACCTCTCTTCCCCGCCATCGCGGACCACCACTGCGTGCTCCAAGCCAACGGCCACCGCGCCTCCGCCCGCAGAGAACATATCGCCAGTGTGCCTGCCGGGCGTGCTGCGGCCGCCGATGGTGATCGCGGAGGTCACGGACGAGGCCGGCAACGCCACCGCGGAGCTGGCCAGCGCCAACCTCATCGTCTCTGGGTGGGGCAGCGATGGTACGTGGCCGGCGGGCGCGCCCGGCGCCCAGAGCCGGGGCAGCGGCACCGGTCCGCGTCGCCACCCGGTCGGCTGGGAGCTGAGCTGGACTCCTCGGCGCGCATCGCGCACGCGCGGATACCCCTGAACGCGTGGTGGAAACGATGGTTTGGTATTTGCACGCCGGGCGCCGTTCATGTCGATAGCCATGCCACAATACGTACTTCAGATTCTCCCTCAGAGCTGGTCACGCGTCCTCGCGCAGATCCGCGATCAATGCAGCGACCCGTCAGGCTATCGTGCCTGTAGTGCACAACGTGTGAGAGGTGGCATGTCTGACGTTACCGTGAGGCGGCGCCCGGCCGCCGCGGCCAGCGCGCGCTAATCGGGCCCTGCCGCGGCCGCAGGTGTGAAACACGGCACCGACCGGCTGATGGAGGTCTCCGTCCAGCCCGTGGAGGGCTTTCTCTGCAGGCGCCACTTCGCCAGGTACGACACGACACCCTCGTCCAGAGCCCGACATAATTCTAAACCAATGCGCCGGCGTCACCCCGTCGCCGATCACGAGCGGCCCAAGAGTCGCTGACTCACGCCGCCGAATGCCAAGAACGAGCTCTTTCGCCAAAGCCGGACAATAGGCGATGATGGGCCTTCACGGTGATGGCCGTTAGGAAACCCTGCGACCCGAGCAACCATGCCATGCAGGGCCCCGCGAGCTGGCCTGGGTGCAAAAGCGCCACCTGGCTCCCGTTAGAAGGGCATGAACGGCCCTTGGCGGGAACAACCTCGCGACTTCATCAGAAACCCTCCTTTGGGTCTCTGGTACCATCGCTATACATCCGACGTGCCGATGCTACTGACCACATCGTAGACATCAGTTTGCGATCTTTCCAAGTTTCACAATATTTTCTACGCAGCCATGCTTGGCAGTGTTGCATTTACCGCGCGTCTCATGGATCGGAATATCGGAGTGTTTCCTAACGCCGCGGCTCCTGATACAGGGCTGCTTCGCTCTGCTCAATACTTACTGCTTACTTCGCTGATACTGCCTTCGTTCTAAGCAGACCGGTTCCCCCGCACATCTGGTCCACAGTGCTTACAGTACATCTAGCAGTACATCAGTGCATCTAGTCTACAGTGCTACAGACACAACTTCGCTGGTCTCCCTATTGCGGGCAGCGTGCAACACCCTTGGCGCCTCCTGTGCCACCAGGTTCGGTATTCCCGTGGATGAGCAGCTCCAGCTGTGTGCTGGCGGCAGAGGCGTCGACAGCTGCAGTGGCGACTCAGGCGGGCCTCTGGTGCAGGTAAGCCCCTACCAGCTCAGGCGGGCCTCTGATACAAGTAAGCCCTACTAGCTCGGGGGACTTCTGGTGCAGGTAATCCCACTAACTTGGGGAAACCTCTGGTGCGGTTAAGCCCCTACTGGCTCAGTCGGACCTCTGATGCAGGTGAGCCCCTACTAGCCCATTCGGACCTCTAGTGCAAGTAAGCTCCTACTAGCCCAGTCGGACCTCTAGTGCAAGTGAGTCCCCTACTAGCCCAGTCGGACCTCTAGTGCAAGTAAGCCCCTACTAGCTCGGTCGGACCTCTAGTGCAGGTAAGCCCCTACTAGCTCGGTCGGACCTCTAGTGCAGGTAAGCCCCTACTAGCTCAGTCGGACCTCTGGTGCTAAGCCTAGAACGACGCGGGTGAGCTTAAAGTACAGTTAGTTTCATGACTTCATTCTCTCTCATAATGATTATGCCACTTCTGGTTCAAGCAAATAATCAATGACTACCGCACATTTCGTGTGTGCAGGGCCCAGCTGCAGACTTTTGCATTTCACTTGGTAACTCGGCTGCTTCAACAGCCTCACGTCGTGTCTTCGTTGGATGGCTGTTAAACATCGTCCTACCTCGCGGTGTTTCCATCGCGCCACCCCCGTGTCGCCGCGCGCCCGAAGACCCAACCGTGACCGTGTGCTGCAGGAGACGGGCGGGGGCCAGTACGAGCTGGTGGGCGTGGTCAGCCTGGGCGGGGTCATCTGTGGCGGCAAGATTCCCGGCCTGTACACGCGCGTGCAGGCCTACACCGACTGGATCAGCCGGACCATCGCCCAATGAGCGACCGAGCACCGACTGCCAAGGCCGGAACCGCGCCGGCGCCGAGGCCGTGCCCAGAGCCGCAGCCGCGAGGTCCGGCGCCGGATCTGAATGTAGTGCATGTGGCTGCGGCGCGAAGGCCGCGCGCGTGCAGCAGTCACGCTCAGGACCAACGCCGGAGCGCCCGCGTGGGCGGGCGAGACATTGCTGACGCACCGGGGCTCGACGGTGACCTGTTGTGAGGGCCCTGTGTGGCGAGGGCGGGTGTCCTGGAGCCGTGGTGATAATATACGCTGACGATGAATGCCATAAACAACCGTTGCCATTTCATTTTAAAGACGCAAAAATTAAACGCAAAACGCAGAAAAAGAACAGGGACGCGGAATCTGCACGGATACCGAGCACGCAAGGCGCACCCAAGTTCACGGCATTTTATTCAGTCAAAAGCCACGCTCATTCTGCAGTTCATTTCAGTGGCGTGCACTCAGCATTCACAAAAGCACCTTTTCACGGAAGCGATTGTCTTCTGTTGACAACTCAGGGTCCGGGGTTTTCCATGCGACCCAGCAACACAAAAATGCGATGTAAAAAGCGGCGCTTTTCTTGGGACGACAAGCCTTCAAACAGCGCTGCAAACACCAGGACAAGGAATACGGCGCACTCGCTCGCCACGCCTGTATAAAGGCCCGACCACACCCCCTCAGCTCCGAGACCAACACCGCAGCGCCCTCCCGGCCGCTCCCCTCCCACCGTTCAACGAGTCTGCGTCACCCCCTGTCCTCGCAGTGTGCCGCCCACCAGCGCTGGGGACCGGCGCGAGTGCCAGCCGCGCACGAGTCGGCGTGTCAGAGTGGCGGCGCCGGGCGCAGATGGCGCTCCGTAAAGAACACGTGGCGCGCGCCCTGGCCGCCGAACAGAGCGGCCACTGACGGCGTGTCGCGCGCCGCCGCGTTCTCGTCGTCCGGCTTCTCCCTGGAGCAGAGCACTCGAGCGTCACCAGGAGGGATGTGGTGGGGTAGGTGGGATGGCACGGGGGGGGGGGGGGGCATGGGATGCAGGCGCCGCGAGGGAAGACATGGCGGGGGAGACAAACAGACGGGTAGCGTGCCGGCTAGCGTGCTGCAGCGCATCTGCTCAGCGATCAAAGAGCGGCACAGCCCTGTCTTCACGACCCCATTCAAAGAAAATTGCGGCTGCAGATCCAGTGAAAAGAAATTGGATCAGAATGTGACCGACAGCCAAGAACTGACTGCAATAAAATACAAAGCATGACCACAAATCCATTGAATCCTATCATGCACACATCTCCTGCTGCACCTTACCACACAATCGTCCATCCGCACAAACATATCCAGATTTATCCCACTTACTATTACACAATTTTACCACCATGTTCCAAATCACACCACTCAGATGACAGGACGGCCGTGCGACGGGCACAGACGCCACGCCACTGCTCTGTGAGCCGACGCCCTCGAGCGGACCACGAGACGGACCGCAGACGGAGGTCACGCCGCCGGCTACCAAGACCAGCCAGGGACCGAGACCGCCGTCACTGACCACTGCACGCCGACGGCCGACGTGTCCAGGATGGTCTGGCAGGTGGACCAGCTGAAGCGCACGAGACTGGGAAAGCCGAACACCGGGTCCAGGCTGGACGCCAGGAACCGCTTCGTCTGCGGGTCTGGCGACGGCGGCCGCACGAGCCGGGGTCAGCGGCCTCACGCGTTAGTGTCCGAGCTTCACAGGGGGTTGTAATGATGTGGTCGGCAGCCTGGTGACTTTAGCGGCCCCAGGGCCGGCGGGGAGATCGCTGGCGTTATGAACGTTTCATGGGCTACTTGAGCTTTTCATGCATGTGTGTGGGTATGCTATTTTTATACTGTCTCTGTACTCTCTGTATTATTAACAGCATGACTGAGCATTAAGAAACACGCTGCGATCAACAACGCAGGGCTTAGTGTCGGCATGCTTACGCTAGCCCATTCAAGGAGGGACATAGCGTAGTAGTACTGTGAGGTGGCGCCAAATGCAGATATACAGCACATGAAACTTACAATAACGCATCTGCAATTGTCACAAGTCTATGGTGTTGCTTTAGACATAGTTCGTTCCTAATTTACATGTCCATTCTCAACTTCTACACATGAAGACCGAGGGCTTCGGGGTTTTGCGGTCCCGTTAATGCCCAATGAGGCTGTAGGGCTCGCCATTGCCCACCCCGGCACCACACGGTTTTAACCCATTTCGATCGGGCTGAAAGCCTCCCAATTAGACCGCACTGTGCCGGACTCGAGATTTCGAGTCCGGACGTCCAAACCGTGCAAGCCCTCGCTCCGCTGGTAGCGTTTCCCTCACCGGCGGGGTAGCCGCTGCCCAGCGCAGCCACGTCCACCTCCATCTTCTCGGGGCAGGTCCAGTGGGCCAGCGCGCGGTCGCGCACCACCTTGGCGCAGATGCTGGCCGCCGACACGGTTGGGAAGAGCGCGTCGGCCTTCTTGCTGACGGTGATCTTCAGGCCGGGGAAACGCGCCTCCAGCTTGGCCTGCGGGCCGCGGAAGCCGTCTGAGATGAGGGCCCGGGTGCCGGGGCGCGGGACGGCGGCCGACGCGGCGCCACGACGCGCGTGCGCCGACGTCTGTTGAACCTCGTCACCGCTGTCGACACTGGTGCAGAGCATGCCCACGCGCGCCCGTTGCCGGCTTGCTTTGACGTGTCTTCATCCAGGCAGCATGCACGTGTATGACGAACAGCCGACGCTCTCACGCAGTGTCTATGTGTGCGTATGTGGGGGGGGGGGGGGGGGGGGGAGGCGGTGCGACTCAGCGAGCGACTGATGGGGACGCGACACGGCCGGACACCGGCTGGCAGGTCAGCACAGCCGCGCACGAGCGGCAGTGACGACCTCTCCCAGCGGGACCATCGGCGGAGCGGAGAAGGCGCCGCCAGCGCGCGACAGACAACGTAGCGTAACCAGACACGCAGGCGTGGAGCGAGGACATCCGTGAAGCACCGGCTTCACACGACGCCTCAGATGCTTGTCGTCCCCCCTCAGTAGAGCTGCACCCGTCCGCCGACGGCGCGTCGGACGGCCTGCCGGTGCCCGACGGACGGCCTGACTGTACGCTCACCTGGTACTTCTCGGGCGGCCCGACCGTGTCCACGTACACCTCGGTGACATTGACGCCCGCCTCTCGACAGCGGGCGATGAGCGCGATGGCCGCGTCGTGCGACATCCAGTTGAGGTTGTATTTGGACCTGCGCCGGCGTGCCGAGTCAGTGCAGCCAGTCCTCACTAACGTGCCGTTACAGCTGATGCGGTTTGACATAGTCATCTCGACGAGACCTGACAACGTATGAGCCACTGACACGGAAAAAATGCATGCCCATGTCATGACTTGAAAAAAGTAAATGCACGTTCATCTCGTTTAAGACTTTCACAAGCTTCGATGATATTGTGATATCCACGGTGAATTAATGACGGTTGTAATGAAAAAGTGGGCTACAACCTGGTACAAGGGTTCTAAGACAAAGCGTCGAAGGGCGATTAACCGAATGTTATCTCACCAGATGTGAAAAACTCGCAGGCCTTTTGCCGCCTTCTTAAAGGTGGGCGGCTAAGGGGCAAAACAGCGATTAACGAAACGCAAATAAAGACGGAACGCTAGTTAGCTACGCGCCAATTAGCCGAAATGTTCATAAGATGAATGCCAAGATGCGAAAACAGCCTTTAGGAGAATGTCAATTATTCGAATGGAAATTCACTGACTGGCCAATTAACGACCTGAATGTGGATTTAACGATTAGAAATCACTGAAGTGATACGCCGGCAGGCCGTCGAGGGCAGCCAATGGGCCACGCTAAGAATTGATGGGGATGGGATGGGTTGGTGGGACAACACATACTGCTAAGGACGTGGAGTAATTCGGTTCGGTTTGACATGTTTAGTTCTAAATATGGTTGGATGGGCCAATAGCCCATTAGCCCACCAGAACGATGGCCCACCCCTTTAACATCGATGAATGTTACAGGTAACATCTGTTAATGTCCACTATAACCCATCCGACGGTGTTTATGGGCTATTCAACCCCGTTTTTCGGTATTCTCGTAGCGTGCTTGGCTTTGCCGCAACAAGAGGAAAAACTGTCGAACCTGTCCAAAGTCTGATTCACCAAAGCTCGGTCATAACTATTGGATCCAGGCGACAAGAGCATCTCAATGGCATCCTTCTCATGGCTTCAGCTTGCATAGTTCTCAAGGTATCAAGGGGAGAAGACTGCTGGAATCTCACATCGTGGGGTGACAGTGAAAAAAGGCCTACAGAAGCTCTGTCCACTGCCCATTAACATTTTGATGCATAAGCATTCAACCAAAATACATTCAGTCATTGCTACTTGTTTCATAACACAATGCATTTCAGTACATAATGTTTGATCAAGGAACATTTCAGCTGATGAATATTTGATGAGAGCATTTCAGTACATTAATGCTGTAACACCAGAACATCTCAGCAATCAGCATTCCACTCCAGGGCATTTTGGCAAATTGGCATTCAACCAAAATATCAGAAAATTAGCATTCAGTAAATACTGCCTTTCAACTTTGACTCTACAGGAAAACTGACACACTGACTGTTGCTCACCTTTTGAACATGTTCCGTGAGATAAAGCTGGGAGAGAGGATTTCCACCTCCCAACCGAGGAAGTCACCACTATCATTGAGCAAGATGAGAAGCTTCTCCCTCGCCTCCAGACTCAGAGTCTTAGAGTCTGCACACTTCAGGGCTTTCAGTTCAGCCAGCTTACTGACTGGGCAGTATGCACAGCCATACACCATTGGTCCTGGGGAATATATCTAGATTAAGAGCATGCCTTGGCATCAATGAATGCATTGGTTAATATGCACAAGGTAGACACAGGGTACTCAAATAATTAAGGATAGTGTATCATGTTACCAAAATAGCAAACTGTATCCAAACATCACCACAAAGGCATATTTTTAGCCCATGTTCCCTGGAAACACAACACCTACTCAATACAGTTTCAACTACATTCATCACTTCTTAGGGGGTGTAGTTTCTTACTGAGTTGGGGGAGGGCTTCCCTGCCCACATTGGTTAGAAAGTGGGAAAAATCCAGGGATAAGCATGTTTCTTGGCATATTTTAGGTGCACTTTGGTCTTTTTTTAACTGTTCAGCAGTCCAACCCCAACACATTCTGAGAAACTACACTCCTGTTTGAAACTACACCCATCACATCTGCTTACCCAGCACTGGTCCTCTGCCTGCCTCATCAATGCCCAGCATGCAGGGCTCAGATTTACAAATATCTGGGACAGCTGAAGAAATGATGTGTGTTGCAGTGTTCTTGCCATCAGAAAATTCCTTTATTTTGGCATCCAAATCCATCTTAACACATTTAGGTGTATGCTGTAACTGAAAAACAATGGTTATGATATAGCAGAAAAACAATGCTGGATCCAGTCATTATCATCAATGAACATATATGTTACTGACATATATGTTCTGGCTGACATATATCTTACAACTAACATATATGTTACCAATAAAACAGCTTCTTCACAAATCAGAGTAAGTCTCTATGCAGGTTAACACCTGAACAGTTAATATAGCTGCTGTGTAAGCAACCTAAAAACAAATTTGCTCAAATTTGTATTTACTCTCAGGTACAAACACATAGAAAGTATGAATTTATTGGGCCCTATAGGTGCTGTAAGGTTAGCCAGAAGCTTACACAATGGCAGGAACCACACAAGGACACAAATCCTTAAAAAACATTAAAATTCCTTTTTTATGAAAACCAACATTCCTAACCTTGCTAAGAGGATTGGTTTGAAACACCATGTCCCAATCATCAGCTGGTGGGCATGCAAAACACTCTGCTCCATGGTGTTTGAAGTAGATTAAATGATTTTAAGAAGCTGATGCAAAAATAAGCTTTACATTGCCATAATATATATGTATATATATATATATATATATATATATATATATATATATATACTAAATACTAAACCACCATCACCAACACTAGCTTATACCTCCTCCCTAAGCAATGCAATTGGCAAGATGCACAGGATGTTGTTGGGGAGGCACATTGAAGAACACCACACTGTGTGACCCCAGTGATCTCCCTTAAGAGGGTCACACCCTTCTGATGAAGAAATCAACATGCATACCTACATCTGAATCCTGCCATAAACACAAGAAACACCCCAAATATTCCCCTACCAGGAACCAAAAATCAACATCAGGGCAAGACTACACAAAATCAAAATATTTCTGGCAGAATTCCTCCAGAACTACAGGGAGATCACATAATTAAGCATACCAACATATTGTGTGGGTACGGCCAAATTTGATAACAATCAACAGCACACATTTGATGGTCGAGTACTTTGTGGCGCCCCTCCCGTCTCAATACGGTCATAAACCTACATGATCTTGTCCGCATAACAAATTACCCACACCGAACTATTCTGCAGCATCTCTACCCTTCAATTGCTCCTCCCGTGTCATGTCATTGGGGCTTTACGACGCACTCAACTGCTGAGGCTATATAGCGTCGCCTGCCTCCCACCCCAACAGGAAGGGCGGGCACCGCAGCATTTGCTGCTCCCATCCGCAATAACTTACGACGCAAGTTGCACAAGCGAAACTTTGTCACAAAAGACAAATAACTACCAGTATGCCCGGCTGAAAATATTCAAAATAAACCATGCATATGCTTTAATGCCACCTTGCTGAAGCCCCGCCACCACCGCTACCGCATATATCCGGCCATCGTGTGTTTCGCGCCAGTTTTAAAACGCGCCAAACTACGTGACATTGTCCTACCATATCGATATACTTCCAGAAGGAAAGGATTTCTTTCACGGAAGCCAGGGATTCCCCATCACACAGGTGCCATCCATTTTCCGGCTGGCCTTGCCTAAGGTTCATCAATTCATCGCTCGAACACGCGCGTAAACGTGGAGGAGCGTTCCGCACTTAAAACACAAGGTATAAGCGTGCTATTGCATTGCGAAATTGATCAACACTAGACTTTTTGCCTCCCAGGCTCGAGCTTTTGTATCGCTTTTGATGGGGCATTGCCGCTCCTAGCGCTTGCTTCACCCCCTCAATATTTTACCAATATTGCAAAATATTTGGAAACACCAGAACTTTTGCCAAATTTTTGCCAAAATCCCCAATAGGCCTCGGAGCCTCACTCATGTCCACCACCTCTCCAGCTTACCGCAGGTAGGCTAGCACTTGGCGGCGACGGCCTTTGGTTTTTAACAGGCATGATATGGTATATGTCATGGTACATTGTAAAGCTGCACAGGCGGCACATGCCTTTCCCGATAACATTGAGCGCCAAACTGGACGCCCCAGCCGCCTAGACATCCCGCGCGCGATTAAACTGGCAACAAGCATTGCCAGACAGGTAACGATGAGGTTACCACGCACCGCGCTGAAGTATTGTTGACAACTTTCTCTTCGACACGCATTTGGCTCCTATGGACCGGTTTTATTTCCACATGATCCGTGCTAGCCTGCTCCCGACGTTCGATACGCAGCGGCGTGCCAAGAAGTTCCAACGCACCGGGTAAGTGCGCGCACCCTCTCCACGGCTCGGCGCGTGTGGTGCCCCCCACTCCCCCCCCCCCCCCCCGACAGCGTCAGCGACGGCGCCAGGTGTGCGGGCTGATGAAGGACAGCCGAACATGCCCAGGAACGGCACCGAACGTCGCAGTCAGTTTTTTAGACCTGTATCATGAGGTCCATGAGAGACAACGTTCCACAGCACACATCGCACACGCCTCCATGCATTTCACGTCTAGGCTTGCAAAAACCCATGTTTGAACGTTCCTAGTTTAGAAAAGGAACGACGTCTCCCAGAATGGTCCTAAAAAGCCAACGATCCGGGAAATAATGGATCTTTATTTGCCGCGAGTCGTCGTCATATGCCAACGACGGGCAGAGCACAGCGCCCTGCACCGTTACGTCCCCTCCAGATTCCCCAACACTGTGCCATGTTCATCACAGATTCCTCTCTGTTTTCAGCTTGTTTGGCTCCCGTTCGGAGCCAGTGATGCGGTCGAAACGCTTCCTCTTCAGCTGCTTCTTTTGCCTGTAAATGTCCGCAACAAGTCAGTCATACCCTCTGGTCTGCAGTACCCATAGGACGTGACGGAGGCATAGCAAATGATGCTGCAAATCAAAGCTGCACTATTCATTATTAAACAAAATCCTTCGCCTCTACACCTTAAGCATACCCTGAATCAACTGCCGAACGTATCCTTACAGCCAAGCATCACGTCACTCCTCGAAACCCCGCCGCAGCTCCACCATCACACACTGAAGCAGCGTTCGCCCCCCCCCCCCCCTCCCGCCTCATCCCTCGGCGCTCACGTGGTGCGGACGCGCGGCTCGATGACGTTGCGCCGCTGCAGCGACTTGAAGCGCTCCTGCAGCAGGTCGCCCTCGGTGCGCACGTTACGTAGTGAGCCGGGCAGCTCGTCGCTCAGGCTGACCTCTAGCGGCGCCGCCTCGTAGCGGTGCCGGCCCAGCGTCAGCGGCTGCTCGGCGCGCGCGCTGCGGCGCACGGCGCGGCGCTGCTGGCGCTCCGCCGTGCGTGCCGCCTGCTCACGCAGCTCGCGCGCCAGCGTGCGCACCCTGCGACGGCGGAGGGGCAGCGGGGCTGAGGTCGGTGGCGTGCGTGGGGACACAGACGCGGCGGGCTCGAGCGGCGTCGCACGTGGCGTGATGGAACATCAAGACTGCAGCGCCTATGACCCGGTCGAAAGCAAGGTTACATTGTCAGATTTTGCACCACATCACGTGATGAGCAACGAGGCAGCATCGCCATGAATCAAGCGACTGGTTTTATGATTCAAACGAGAAAAAAACTACGCCTCCAGGGTGACTACTTTGCCGTTCGACCACCCCACATCGAACATGCCAACGAGCCAGGAGGTCCAACGTCACAACTGACCTCGTGCACTTCCACACAGGTGGCGTTACAACCGCGCGGAGGTCGTGCGTCCTCCTTCCGCTGCTATCCCCCTCCCCCGCTCACCTGAACACCTCGTTTTCCGTGCGCCGTGTGTCAATGGCGGCCAGCCGGTGTCGCTCGGTCACCTTCCTCTCCCGCATCTTGCGCCGCTGTTGCTTCGTCTTCGGCTTGGGCACCCTCCGCACCAGCGGACCCGTGGCCGACTTCTCGTCGTCGCCCTTCTCGTCGTGGTCGTCCTGCAGGCCTCCCGACATCTCTTTCACCCAGTCCGACTGCGAACACGGGCAGCCGAGCTGAAGTTGCGGGCTCAGTGTGGCGTTGATTTAAGTCCATTCGGGGCTTCCTGCGCTGACAAGGGGCCTTGCGGGCAACCCTGCCACCAGTCTCATTACAAAGCCGAGGTGGACAGTCGGATCCGAGTGACATAATGTGCTCATTCCATTCAGAAAAACAACAACATTCACCGCAACAGCAAATGTCTGGGCCGAATCCTCAGACCCCAATGCACACGTATGTCGAATGGCAATGTGCAACGCAAAGTCATACCGCGACGTCGGTTATTTGTGAAAATGTGCACACCCACACACCAACACTCCCACAGAGAGAGCTGAATTATTAATGTGGACATGGCGCTGCAAAATGCTGTCCGTAATGTCCCTAAAAGTGGCTAGAACGCTGGGCGAGCATCAACAGACGGCCCCATGCATTACATTCAATGGCGGGGGCGGGGTGGGGATTAAGGACTTGTTAGTCCCTTCAGAGTGACCCCCCTCATCCCCTCAGAGAGGCCAGCTGGTGGCCCCATCAGATCCGCCAGTGCACCGAAGAGATGGTATAGTTTGATGGCAACAAACAACATGTATACCACACCGCAGTCGTAAAGACGAGTTTTATTCTATGGATCAATAATTGAAAATGGGAATGTTACGCGATCCACCAACAGTCCCTGGTCGCAAAAAAAGCTCATCAAATTCCTTGAGCCGCCACAGCGCTAGCTTTCCAGCACTGTAGCAGATCAACATACCACGGGCACGCCCACTGCGAAGCAGGCACTCTGCAGTGATATATACTTCTCGAAGGAGTTAATGCGCTATCAACGCCATGAACGACGGGAGCCATGCAAATGACCAGGAACACTGCCAAATGACAGCAACAGCGTCTGAAACCCAATCATCCCTTCCCCTCCACCAGTCTCGGCACCACCAATCAGACAACACACCCCAGGGGCTGACGGCCGGTGGCCTGGGGCGGCGACCGAGGGTCGGCCTGGGATCAGGACGCGCGTACCTCGGTCGGCCGCACCCCAGGGGCTGACGGCCGGTGGCCTGGGGGGGGGGGGGGGGAATCGTGAGCCGGCCTGGTATCAGGACGCACGTAACTTGGTCGGCCGCACCCCAGAGGCTGACGGCCGGTGACCTGGGGCGGCGACCGAGGGCTGGGCTGGTATCAGGACGCACGTACCTCGGTCGGCCGCACCGACGGGAACTTGGCCGTGGTCTGCCGCTCCCAGCGCTGAAAGTCGGCCTCTTTACGGTGCTCCACCTGGACGGCCTTCTCCAGCAGCGCCGCGTGGTCGCCCGCCTCCGGGTGGTACGACTGGCCTGCGGGCGGCGCAGGGGATGAGGAGGGGGTCACTCCAAGGGAGCAGACAGGGTACAGGCGCGCCGGCTGCCGGCTCAACTCCGCCCAAACACCGGGCGCTGCCGACGTAATAGCGATGCTCACCATGATCTGAACCATGCAGCTATTTATCAAGTTGTGGAGGATGCTCAGGAGAAGGTCTTGAGATAACAACTGATTTCAGCAGAATACAATACACCTTGAGTGATTTTGACCGCGGCGCGGTACCTAGCCAAAGCTTTCCTCTCAATCACACAGCGGGTTGCTTTGTGCCCTACCCACAGCCATAACTGACAGGGGGACGGGACGCACGTTTATCACACAATTCACACGCCTGCCACGCGTTCTCTCGCCCTCTTGGCTACCGGCGGTGGTCATTTTGCAGCTGCCAAAACCATCGCGTGCCGGCACCAGCCTCCGTCCACCCGTCGCCTGCTCTCCCCGCCGTCCACCACCGCACCCCAGCCTCACCAGCATGCGGCGTCTCGACGGCTGGCAGCAGCGACGTCTTGACGCGCATGTAGAGCGGCCGGCGCACGCGCCCGTCCATGCGCAGCCGGCGCAGGTGCGTCGCGCCCACCTCCGTCCAGTCGTCCACGTCAGCTGACGGCGAGCAGGCAGCCAATCAGGACGGAAAGACAAACGAATAAGCGGCCAATCAGGGCGCAGAGATGAGCAGCGAACACGAAGGGCAATCGAGCAGAGGTCAAGCTGCTTCAAACAGGTGTCGTTAATGCCACAGGGGGTCGAGCAGCAATATTAGTAAAACCAAACTTACAAGTCAGAGCCTAAAAGTGCCTGAAATAAAAAAAAATTGTGCAGTCAGGCCCTTTGCCAATGCTGCTGATATTGCAACAAAACGAAAAAAATACTCGAGACGCTACATGTTCTAACGACTGGCGATGACTAAAAAAGCTGGACATAATTCTCAGAAAGCTGATAACCAGAATACTTACAATCTTGGTCGTCAGCCCACGGGTCTTTAGGAAGTTGTTTTTTCTCTGTAGCTTCTTTCTTCTGAACTGCATCATGTATGTGAAGAGCATTAATTGCATTTTTAGTCTTCTTTTTCTTGGTCTTAGCTTTCACAAAGGCAGGCCGCTTATCTTTAATAACGCGCCTGAAAGCGCACGCACAAGGTTAAAGCACCAACACAAAGTTTTCTTCAGCGCCTAATGTTCGAGAAACGGTACAATGCAGCGTCAGATTGGCTCCTGGATGTTCTGCTTATTACCGGCACCTAGCCAAAGTAACTCACCTCTACCATGAATCCATTTCCGCAATGGGGGCACCGTCGTAAACTGTTCAAATCATGGCCATCGGCTCGAACGTCCCCTGGCCTTTAATCCAGTTACCATCACCACAGATGGCGCGAAGAATCGTGAGCGAGTGTACACAGCAACAAACGACAGGGCCTGGATCGCCTCAAACTCAAAATTATTGGACTCCACTTTAACCAAGCTGGGTAACCCTTTCCTGCGCCATTCAGAGACCATGGATTAATGTCCTGTATCAACATTCCCCTCGCTGGGATATCAGAAGCTACTTGACGGATCCTGTCGTCATTTCAAGGTGGTCTCAAGGTGATCCCAGTGATCTCAGATGGATCATCATGTTCTCTTCCACATGCCAAAGTATTAAGTTTGATGTTACGGAACATAAATAGGCGCGCAAACACTACACATGTTATCACTACACATATTATCTTTTCAACCCCTTCACTCACGTCTTTACAGGCACTTTGGCTCCGGGAAGACCTTTCAAATTCTGGAAACATCTCAAATTATCTTGGTCCACTTTCGGTTTTCTGGGTCGTCGCTGCTGCAGAGACACGTCGGGTTTAAGGACCTCTGGCTTGCTGTCGACGATGAACATGTCACTGCTCTCTTTATCCGCCACCAAGCCACTGAAACACAAACATCCGCCACCTTATTCCACGAGACTCCAATCCCCAACTAAGATGACAACTTTCCGAAAACTTGACATTCGGCCCAATCTAACATGGGCATTGATTGGAATGAAATGACGAAAAATGGCTGTTCACTCCTGCAACTTGCGAGACCTTGGCTGATTGAGCATGACACTTCAACTCACCCAAACCGCTCCTGAAGGCGAACATCATCTAGGTATTCTTCAACCTCAGAAATGTTCACTTGTTTCTTCCATGATTTCTTCTTGTGCCTTGGCATACGGCCTTTACTTTTCGCCCCCATGATTGCTGTTGAAAAGCTGTAACAAGTAACAAAATTATATTTGGTTTCCCCATCTTCCCATTACCTCTCAAGAAACCATATGAAGCACAGATGAGCAAGACATGAGTGACATCAGTCAATTGTCACCATGTGATTGACATAAAAAACTACACAAATTAAGCCCAACACTTTTGGTAACCCCCCCATTTCATTTGAAAATTGTATTGGAAGTTCTGCCCTTCATGGGAGTCAACAGCCAGCATACAACAATGCTGCCTCCACAACCAGTCCACGAATAGCATTGCCCAAAACTACTTGGCTATGAGTGTGGCTGGGCAGTGCATATTTCAGTGCACGTCAGTAGATTCAATTTACAGGATTTTGGTGATCATGACCAAATAATTCTAAAAAACAACCTTTGAAGTGAATATTAGCAGGATTAGGAGTATACATGCCAGTGAAGTTTTAATTGCCCAATTTCTCTCAGCAAAAGCTACAGTGTCTTGTATTCCTGATCATTCAATAGAAAGCGGCATAAGTTACTCACATGCTGTTTACTGGTGCACCAATGGGTTGGGTGGCTGTGAAATCTGTAGTTTGTTGGTAGCAGTACCTGGCACATACAACTACACCATGTAGATAGCTCCAAAGCCACATCTGCTCCAGTTTCTGAGATCTAGTAGTTTTTGTCAAAATGGGAAGACCATTCATTTTTGTTTGAAAGTGCATGGTGATCTACTGCACCATAAATCAAATGTGTCCAGTATGATTGTTTGTGTTTTTCCAATGAAATCTGTCAGCTTAACAATGCTATAACACTGGGACAGTTTGGACCCATATCAGCCTATTCCATTAAGGTTTTGCTATTTACACATTTCTATGTAATAGCAAGGACATGGGCAATGGCAGTCAATGTGATCCTGTGATATTGCAGATATGACTGCTTGATCAAAGGGCTTGCATGTGAATGAATGATAGTTGGTACAGCACAGCATTCTAAAATGTGCTTCTTGTTGCTGAAGATTTTATATGAAACATATGACAGGAGTGACAAACCTAAGCTTGTAGGAAGTGTGACAGCAAGGTAAAAGGATGCTTGTGTTGAAGTTTTTCTATGGTCAAGTGCAGCTCCCTCAGTCTGGACCTGGCTAAAAATGGCAAGTGATAGATTTACAGCTACTCTTTATATAAATTACCCTTTACAAGAGAACAGATTTAGCATTAACTGGTCATAAACATAGTGACCATGACATGCTGGGTCTCAATGGCTGAGCAACTGTCCATAAATATGCAATGCATGAAATGTAACACAACTGAGTTGGTAGGAGTTGATGGGCATAGCCAAAGTACAACAATGGAGGATATGGAGCTATTGGACACCACAGAGTTACAATTTGGTGCAGTTGCAAATCAAGCTAAGGCCTTTTAACACGAATTAAATCCTTAAATCTAGATGCTGTTGGCCTCTTCCCATGGCAATAACCTTGCATGCTATTGGTTTTGTACCTTAACCTCCATAAAGAGTTAAATAGATGTTACTTTTTGAGCCAATGCACTTAACAGAAAGCTGCTAATTTTAGGGCCAAAACATTGAACAGAGCATCACCAGGGTAATGCAGGTTATTTCAGTATAATCAGCACATGACCAGAGGGGATGGTCAGTAAATGACCCAAAATTCATGGACAGCCCTCATTGCGATGGTCCCAAATAGGTGGTACTCCTTACCTTATGGTGATCGGGAATTATAAAAGGTTTTTATAAATGGCAACAAAACTATTGCTGATGTTCAAATTTTTCGGTATCAGACAGTTCGACAAAATCTAAATCAAACCCACATCGGTGCAACTGGCACATACATACCGCTTTACCGTATTTTGGCAGAGACCCATATGACACACAACCCCAATGGTGGCAACAAGATACGATGGGTACACACGCATGTAACTGTCGCAGACGCGGCTGAAACGCAGCACGAGGAAATAAGCCAGCGCAGCCAAATCTTTCGTGGCTGGAATACATGTGCTTCAGTGGATGTTTATGTTTTGCTTTTACTTGAAAAACGCAACGAACACGCGATTGGCACAGTCATACCAATCACAAATTTGTATTATTGGAAGAAACAAAAGCATATGCAGTAATAGTTTCTGCGGAGCTCAAGTGGAGCATTTGGAGTCGATGGCCGCCGCTTCCCGTGTCAGGCAAAATTGAGCCATGGCCCGAGTTGCATGAAAAAAAACCAGGATAACTGCTGTAATCCCCACCAAATCCGAGGGGTCCTGCCACTGCTTACTTGGACATAGGTCACTGAATTAATTCATGGCTGGAGTTTCATATCAAGGCGAAGGCAGGGCTCGTCTTTAGATCCGCATTTTTTATTCCCACTGTAGATGGCTGCTGACAGGAAGCTGGCGATCGGCGTGATGCGTTTACACTGAGTTTACCTCGTAAGACAAACCCTGGCTGTGTCCCTGGCTTCAAATTTCCTTGGGAACCAGTCAATCCACCACATCAAATCCGTCGTTCAGACTTCTGACACCGAAGTGAAGAGTGCCCCCCCCCCCCCCTCCGAAAAAAACCGAAGACCATTTTCCCGGCAATTGCCCTTGGGTGACCAACTAAATTTCACGAACATCTGACCAGGCCTCAGGTCTCATCGCTGGACGGGGAGGGCAGTGCGTATTCCATAGCACTTGAATTGACGCTGGCATAATCACAGGAAGCCAGCCGCATTCGCATGCATGGAACGCATCACAGATGGCATGACGCGGGACAGCAGGGCCATTCAGTTTCCTAAAGACGATGCTTCACTGACCCTAACCGTCCACACTCGAAAGATCTTTCGCAGGCTTGAACTCGTCATCGTTCTGATAGTGCGCAATGTAGTTTATATATATATATATATATATATATATATATATATATATATATATATATTCAGGTTCAATAAACCAGCTGGACTCCGAAACGACTCCTTCTCGCCGAGAGGGTGGCGTGCTGCGTATTGGGGTGCAAACGTTCATGCTGCATGTAGCTGAAATCTGTTATTTACATATATATATATATATATATATATATATATATATATATATATATGAATATAACAGTCATACCAATGACCATATATGTATATGGTCACCACTCGGCACCAGATCTTCGGTCGTGACGCGGTACATGGACTGCCGATAGTTTTGTTAGAAATAAACATGGTCTTTTCCATAGAAAAAAACGGAATAGGAGCAAGACGCAAAACAATGGAAATGCTTTATGCCAGAGTACGCAAGCTGCTTAATGCATTCATCCAACGTGAAACATTCCGCCCAAGATATTGTTTGATGCCCACCGGAACACGCTCACACTGTAGACATAATTTATTGTAAAGAAGCCATACACATAACCGGGCAAACTCGCAGGTCAGAGGGTTTTCAAGAACTCATTATAGGTGGCGACAGGCACTTTGGCGACATCCCGGCAGAACTGTTCGTCCGTGGAGCCCACCAGGCTGTCGAGGCTGACGAAGCCCGGACGGCTCCTGTCGTACTGGTCTCTGCCCAGCATGTTGAGCATCAGATGCCGCTGCCGCACGCGCCACTGTGCGAAACGTCAGCACATTGGGCGACTCGGCGATCAGACGGTGCGGAAGGCCCATCACATTGTGCAGGAACTGAAGCCGCTCTTGCACAGTGGAGCGGGCCAACGTCCACACCTTGGGCTTCCCCAGCAGGATCAGCCTCATCTCGGCAGAACTGAAGCCGAACTCCTCCTTTATGGTGAACCGCATATCCTGTGAGGGCAAGGCCAATCAGCTGACAGGAACATACACATAGAACGATAATGCTAGGCGAACAAGCAGGGAGGAACACCGCATATTTTCCAGGAATGGTTTTGGGATCCATCCCCGCAAACCGTGGCTGGTTGCCAAGACCCTGACCCAACCTGCCACGTACTTATTCCAGCTGAAAGGACATTTTTGCCATTCATATGTGCTGTCGCACTCGTCACTATCTTCGGCGACGCCAAAGAAAGGTGGCAGAAGTTGCCCTGTTGTTCTCATCAGCTGACAAGTCGAGCCCCGAGCAGTGCGACACAAGCGTGATCCCCCGCACCTCAGGACCCGTGCTGTCGACCGGCTGGTCACGGCCGAGTGGCCGGGACCTGCACTGCCGCGGTGGTTGTGTTGGTCCGGTGTGAAACTTCGGTGCCGGCATCAAGGTGATGCCGGCCCGGAGTGACAAAAAGGGAAACGCGTCCAGAGACGGACGGATCAGGGCAGAACGAGCACCACGTCGTTGTCAGGCTGCACAATGCATATATATATATATATATATATATATATATATATATATATATATAATATCTGGAGCGGTAACGCCACTTTGAGGCCTGTTGGTTAATCTGCCATCAGCAAACAGATGGTGGTACCGACAGCGGTCGCTTATCTACAGTTCGGATACCGGCAACGCTGTCAACCACAAACATAGTAAAAACAACCCTTCAACACACAGTTATAACCACGCACCATATGGTGAGTCCTTATAACTGTTATGCATGTTAATCACCACAGTTATAACCACACGCCACACGCAACCACGCATGCTGGAGCCACCTATCGGTGACCCACTAGTCGCAGCGTACGCCTTGCGCCGCTTCTTTGCCATGCAATGTTACAACACGGCCAAACAATGCCAGCCTAATTCCTTCGCTTAGTCGCAAATCCGCCGCCATAGACGGTATCACGCAGCCGCGGTCATTGGAGCCAAACGAGCATCCAGCGCCGTCCAGTCCGAGCATCCAGCGCCGCGCAAGTCCATGACAAGAGCGAATATATATATATATATATATATATATATATATATATATAGTTCTCTCTCTCTCTCTCCCTCTCCCTCTCCCTCTCCCTCTCCCTCTCCCTCTCCCTCTCCCTCTCCCTCTCCCTCTCCCTCTCCCTCTCCCTCTCCCTCTCCCTCTCCCTCTCCCTCTCCCTCTCCCTCTCCCTCTCCCTCTCCCTCTCCCTCTCCCTCTCCCTCTCCCTCTCCCTCTCCCTCTCCCTCTCCCTCTCCCTCTCCCTCTCCCTCTCCCTCTCCCTCTCCCTTCTCCCTCTCCTCTCTCTCTCTCTCTCTCTCTCTCTCTCTCTCTCTCTCTCTCTCTCTCTCTCTCTCTCTCTCTCTCTCTCCCTGGCCGAACGGCCACATCACCGGCCGCCAGAGCAGCACCTTGATGTCGCGCAGGCGGCTGGTGATGACGCCCGGACTCTTGGCCGCCAGCTGGCGCACCTCGCTCGCTTCCAGCCGGAATAGCTGGGCGAAGAAGCCGAGGCGCCGGTCGATACGGCTCGTGCTGAACAGCAGCCAGAACGGGTCCCGCGTAATGACGGAGGCCACCTGCTGGCGGCTGAAGCGTTTCGCCTCCAGGTAGTTGACCCGCACCTGGTGATGCGTGTGGGCATGGGCATGACGTTGGACAACTGGTGCTTTCACATTCCATTCATACGCAATATGAATGGAGGGTTAACACGACAATTCACTAAAGCATGGGACTTGGCTAGGGCACTTGTACATGTCTGTCTGCGCGCGTTTTGCGTTGCGCCCTGCACGCGCTGGCGGTGGGCCGCTTAAATATGACGTTTTGACACGATACACGTGCGCACGAGACATTTTGCGAGGACAAGTTGCGTGCGCGTACGGCTGATGGGCACCGTATGACACGCCTGTTGCTCTCACGTGCGCGCTGCAAGACAGTACGCCACTTAGTCTATTGGCCTGCGTGACGTTAAGGTGACACGCAGAGCTGGACTGAGAGGGTGAGCAGCCGTTGCAAACCTGCGGCCACGTCTCGAGTGGCAGGCGCCGGAGCGACGCCAAACCAAGTGCCACTTGCCACGTTTACAGGGCCGGTCCCGAAAAGTTCATTGATTTTGGACAGTTTATTTTCTATAACAGACCTCGGTAGTCTACCAAATGGAGCCATGAATCTAACATGAAAAGGATGCGGATTACGGCTGCATTTCGGTGGGGAAGCCTGGATTGTTGGTCCTTCAAAACCGTGGCCAAACATGAAAGCTCTCATGGGTCACAGCAAAATTTACATCGCCATGTGCCCCGATTTACCTAACACATTTTCCGCATTATCGTTGGACATGTTTTGGCCTAATCTGGCAATAGATTAATTACATGAAAACTACGCCAATCTCACATTCTCGCGACATCCGAGTTATCAGCGATCGACCGCTCAGTCTCCGACGTCAAACTCGACGCCAAGCATCGGAAAACACGCGCTGTGTACCGCCTGGCGGCCGGCGGCACTTGTTCAAGTCCCGGTTCAGTCATCGTTCGCGGCAAAAATTGCGACAAGTGACCATCTCCAATCCTCTGCTCGAAGCGTTGTAAAGGAAGCTGCACACATTGAGTGAAAAATTACTGGCGAATGGTGCAGATGGCTACAGGAAAGCATGAACATAAATTGTTTTAAAGGGATGTGTTTTTAAATGGCGGCAGTGTTTACTGCCCGATTTTGAATAAACTGTACAGGATTTGCTCCATGTTGGTAAACCACAAATCTGGCCTGCAGCTGCAATTCGCTCCTCCCTTTTCAACGCTCATGCCTATCTGTACTTCTCGTTGTAAGTGATAAATAACCAAGCAGTTTTAGTGTCATAAAACCCAACTAAACAACAAAATCCCTGTACCTGAGCAATCATCACAGCCTTCCACCGGTTACGAACCACACGACATGAGTCGGTGTACGGGAACCACACCGGTCGCTAAGCGTGCGAATCATGATGCATGCAGAATGCACATGTTAACTCAAAATTCTGTCGTTTGGCGACGCAAGCACACTGTTAATGCCTACGCACTTGCGCACGTGGCCGCGACAATCATTTGTCACCAAACGTCACATTCGCATGTAGTCATCAACTACTTCAACGAGCGAAGTAAACCGACAACATTGCGCGCCCCAATGCCAGACGCCGCTGCCGCCCGCCAGCCCACCTGGAGGTCATCGAGGCGCTCCTTGAAGATGAGCGGGTTGCGCGAGATGAAGGGCCCAAGCTGGTCGTCAGGCACGCCAGCGCCGTGCAGCCACCGTACGCACGGCCACACCTGGCGCTCGAAGTCGAGCCCCACCACGAACTGGGCAATGCCCGGCCGTCTGTCCCAGCCGGACACGTCGACGCCGAGCGCCACCAGCCGGCGCAGGTCGGCCGAGGCCAGCACCAGCGGCGCCAAGTTGTGGCTCCGATTGGGCAGCGGCTCGGCGGCGGTCGGCGCCGGGGTCACATCGGCGCGGGCGTCCACCATGGGGAGGTCAGCGTCCGCCACATCAGGGTCCAAAAGGGCTGTGCCGGGAGGAGAGTTGGCCGCACCAATGTCGAGGCTGGATGTGCTGGTGATGGAACTGGCAGGGTCTGACCTGGGGTCAGCTACAGCAGATGTGGGCTCTGCCTCACATGATGCTGGGTATACTGGATCATGCACCTTTGTCATAGGCACTAGATGCCTTGTCAGGTGATTTACCACTGTCACCAGGAACATCAGAGGGAGCAGAGATTACATCTGATGGCCGCAGCGATGAAGTTGTCCCATGGAGATACTGAGACCGCAGCACAGACAGAACTCTGTAGCTCCACAGAACAGGTGCATGTGGTGTCACAAGTCGTGCATGGTGCTGCATCAGGACACTCATCCCTCTGATCAATGCAGCAGTAGGCTTCCACATGACTGGAACAAAAGAAAAAAAATCATGTGCTCAGCACCAAAATAAAGATCCTACAGCTTGACATGACCAGGCTGCAAGAAGGCACAGACAAACCCATCCAATATGTCAGCCTAGCACCAATGTCAGATTTTCAGTACATCAGTTGAATCAACCAACAGCTTCAGAGCATTCAATAATTGTACAGATTATCAAATTACATTTCATAAATATTACATGGCATTTCATCATTGTTGAACAGCATTTTATGTTGTTCTTTCATTCAGACCAGTTGTTTCTGTGGTAGGAAGTAACCAACGTGCCGCCTAAGTAGACGTCACTTACTTTTCAGGTAGCGAAACAATGGGTTCCAATCACACGATTGTCCTAAAAACTTGACGACATGCCATCGCAAGAATATTGCTTTGGAAAATACCGCTGTTTATACCGTAAGTCTTTTCATATACTGTCATATATTTATAATAACAGCGCTCCTCTCCAGCCCCCAACCTCACCACCAGTGCTGTTCACAGTTGCGGCATATCTTCTCAAGTAGGTGTAGCACAGTCATACACTAGCCAGCTGATCATGACGTCATTACCGATTGAATTGGGTCTCTGCATTTTTTTCCGCATGGTGTCTACGACGTCAATAGGACACCAAGCAAACGGAGAAGACGCTCCAATGCCAGCCAAAGGCTCTGCGCAATGATAAGGGCCCCTGAGTCGATAAGAGTCGATATATCTGTCAGACATCACCAGTAACACACAGTCTGCTCCGTGATGGTATATGCCTGAGGGCCCATTTTGCAAGCAGGGACAAGGCCGGAGCCAGCGATTTACATTGGTCAGGGCCCCACGACGCCTGAAGGGGGCCCTGTGCTGACAAGGGGCCCAAACTCAGCCAGAGGCAGTGTTAGAGGAGGCCTGAAGAGCCGGGGGGGGGGGGGGGGGGGGCACCGGATCCGACGATCAAGGGCTTGAGTGGAGGCTCTAAGAGTACGGAGAGTTGGTCCGGGTCTTAGGGTGTCTTCGACCGAAGGAAAATTGCTCAAGGAATAATTATCTCCCCGATAATTATCCACGGAGATCCTCCATTTTCGTTCGGCCGGTCCGGAAATGATCCACTGGATTCATCTCCGATGGCCATGCACAGCCAACGGGTACGCACCGCGAAAAAGGATTCTTCGTCTTGACCATCCCCCGCAATTTTTTTCCGGGTTGTTCCCTCGGTACGAAAATGATCTCGGATAACCTTCCGTGTTGGCAGTGTCGAACGCCATTCGCGAACATTTTCCAACATCCCGAATAATTTTCATGATTATCTGCCAACTGAACCCGCCCACATTGGGGGGGGGGGGGGGCGGATCCGTCCTGCGGGAAGGACCGTTAAATGACAGTCAGAGGGCCTTTTGCGCCGGTCAGGGACACGCTATGTAGATATGGGTCTATATGTTGGTCAGGCACCGCCGGTACCGCACAGTCCGCTCCGTATCCATATCGGTCTAAGGGCTTCACCTCCCATCCAGCGTCCAAGCTGAAGCGAGTGAATTGCACCTGTTTGGGGCGCGCATCTGCCAGGGACCCACAGCGCTTAACAGACGGCCCTGTGCTCCCAAGGGTCCCCAGCTGACCAAGTCAGGGCTCAGTGAGGCTCGAGAGGGGCCCGAGGGCCCAATGGAACCAACTATCGAATGCCCGGTTTGAGGACATAAGGACCTGAAGCACTGGATGTAGGTCACTTAAAGAGTCACAGCTCGTGAGGTCGTAGGAAATATCAGTCCAAGGTCCTCTTGTACCTTTTGAGGATCCCTCCTACAATGCGATTGCCCTGACAAAACATTGTGCGTCGAGACAGGACAGGTCGACCAGTGAGCATGAACACCGAACAGGTGGCTCCCTGTCATTCCGAACTCTATGTGCCCATTTCCCAAGCAGGAGCAAGATTGGAGCCCGCAAGTTGCATTGACCTGGGTCTCTGAAAAAGTAACTGGGCCCCTGCGTCAGTCAAGGGCCAACAGCGCATAATAACGGGTTGTGTCTCTGCCCCTAGTGGCCCCTAGTTGGTTACAGGCTTTGTTTAAAGAGGACCGAAGAGGTGCTGGAAGGTCCCTCGGGAGTTGAGATTAATGGTTCGATCGGACTTGGGCCCGGCCTTCACACGCAGTGCCGTGACCTGAAATGTCCCAGAGGGCTCCTATTAAGGCCATCATAGGGTTCTCTATCCTCTTTATATAAGGTCTCGGCACGAAGCGAAAAAGTCGGCTCCAGGCCCGTCGGAGCCCTTGAGACCCATTTCCCAAGCAGGAACGAGGCCGGGGCCTGCGATTTGCAATTACGTCGTCACGTCACGTGATCACAAAGCCTGGTCTGTGGCATCATGCGCCTGCTCACGATGCACGATGATGCCATATCCATATCGGTGTTTGCCTGGCTGCCATATCCACGCACGCCTGCGTTTCTAGCGCAGCTGTGACGATGCACAACTTGGCTGGAGAGGCAGACGTCGCAGTCTGGTGCGCGCGTGGGGATGGGGCGCGGGCTGCAAATTGTTTAGGAAGATTGTTCAGTATGGTGCATTAACCGCACAGGTCAAAGACGAACTGAGAATCGTCTTGTTGCGTGGTTATAAGAGGTGTCTCGAGGCCAGGCTGCAGACACTGTGCGGTACACTACGCAACGTCGGTGGGTGAGCCTCGCGCTCGTGCGCCGAGCAAATTGTACGGAAGCTTCACATGTTCTCATGAAAGTGCTTTCAGATGATTAAATTACCATTATCTTAACATTTGAACTTACCCTCGTACCATTATGATTCCTTGAAACATTGGCTTATGCACATAAATTACTCCAACCATGTACTAAACTCCAAGTGCAAGGAATTCAATGTGCCCAGTCTGACATTTTTGCCGTGGTGTCGCTGTGCTACACTGAAATGCTTAGGGCTTAATGTATGGTCACCACCAATTGCAGCACAAAGCCCATGTTTCTGGGAATTACAAGGTAAAGATCATTGCAGACTAAGATGTGAAAATATGAACACAAAAAAGTTATGCATAATTCAGTGTCATTTGACCAGGTACCAAGTTAAACACACATGTAGGATATGCAGAGCACCTATGTTGTGTGGGTGTGTGGGTGTCATGCACATTTGACTGGTCTTGTGCAGACTGGTGAGGGGTGTTAGAGGCTCTCTGGGCTGATATGGCTAAAATGTGAGCTGGAGGGCAAATGTGTGCAGAGCCAGGCAGCTAATATTACCATATTCCTATTTTTGAATTCTGAGACTACTGATGTGATGGGTTTCCTTTTGATGATGGGATGGGGACAAGTCACCCCACCCCTTATCTGCCTTCTGTCTTACTGAGATGTAAAGGTCAGATGGGCATTGGTGAAGAAACTAGATCATGCATACATACTTATATACTCATACATAAGTAAGTGTAAGAGCAAAAAATGATGAGAAAGGATGGATAGATACAATAATTATATATATATATATTTATATATGCATATATAAACAAGTTTTACAGAGTGGTGTGGTATATGTATACTTTGTCAGTCTCTTATGATTTGGTGTTTGTCAAACTTTTCTGGTAGGTTCTTTGTTAATCTCTTTGGATTAAAGATGTGGTCTTAAAGTTGATGTATGTCATATTCATGCTCTGAAGTGCCAACTTAGTAACATGTTACTCCTGTTCCAGACAAAACCATGTCAGCTGAAGAGTTTCCAAAAGGATTAGCTGTAAAGTTGGGTGAGATGGACAAAAGCCTCAAGAGTCTGGAAACAACTCTAGACCCAATTCTTTCAATACCTTTAGAAGAATCATACCAATCAGTAAGTAAAGACTTAAGTTAAACATCTTGAGAGCATTCATCAGTTGCTTACTAATGGCTGTCTTCTGCCTCCACCTGCCAGTTATATGTGTTCCCTCTCTGGCCATGTCACTGTGAGTGCCAGTCCCCAGAAAACCATGGATCAGTGCCTGGATCTTGTAGTGAACCAGCTTCCGGACACTGCGCGAGGCTGGTTGCACGTGGCTGCCTCCACCTCGCAGACTGTGCGGCTCATGGTGCGCAGCATGTGGCGTTTGGCGACCGACGACGAGCGACCAGCATGGCTGGATGACGTAAAGACTGCCTATTTGAGCACCTGTTGGCAGTGAGGCAGTCGTCATGCAAGCTGTCAGAGGCTTGCACAGCCGACTCGCTGACATGGTGACCAGTGCCTATCCAGAACTGCTTGATCCCGTCGCAGTATTCCGAGATTCCTGACTCGTATGGATTAAGCACCTGGAAATCAGGATGCTGATATTATGGATGCCACAAAACACATTACATAGCGCCTGTTATATCGCCGAACGGTTCTTAAACGAAGCACGCGTATGGTGCAGTGGGGTTAATTCTGGGAAGTCTTCATTCGTCTTTATTTTTGGATGCAATACGTGCGCGACTAGTCGTGCCGCGTTTCGTGTTACCCGACAACGCACCTTCTGCGTTGTCTGTCGGCCGCCAATTAAGTCCGATGAGGTGTTAACGATGCCCGTGGACCTGCTTCAGATGTCGCCGCTTGACCGGGCCAGGTATGACCTGGTGTCAGCCTACGCCGTCAACTCTCTGTTCTGGGGTGAGAAAGCTGTGAGGCATCAGCCAGTGTCTGCGCTTTCAAGGCTCGCGCGTTATGAACCACTAACTCCCGCACTATGCGCTCAAACAATGCACCGCACGCGAACGGTTCGGTGCTTGTCCATCTTCTTCCGTGTGGACTGGCCACGCGTATCTCACTGAGCCCACTGCCAATACATAACCATTTTCGCTATGGTTCTTGTCAGCACGAAGAGCCACTGATCCAGTGACCCTTCCAGAAGACGGGAGCCATTTCATCCATAAAGGTTTTGAGCTTTAACTGCAGGAGGCTTGCCATGTGTTGACAGTGCCCGCAATGCACGTCTTTTTTGACGGACCGCTTCGTTGGTTGTTTCCTGCATGATGAACATGATGCCACGCCTGGCTCCGTCACGCAAGATTATCGACGCGATAGTTGTCAGCCCCACGTCTGCGTCCGCGCTCCTCGGCACATTATTTTTGCCAGACTCTGTTGTCACTCGATGGCGAGCCTTCCGTCCAGCCGTTTGAAGCTGACGCCTGCCGCTCTCGCAGTGTACCTGCGCACCAGGGGGGAGGACGCGAGGGAGCACGGGATCAAGGGCGAACTGGACCGCCTGAAGACGTCCATGCTGCGCGTCAAGGACGTCGTGGACAGGGCGAAGGCGATGCGGGTCGACCAGCCGGCCGCCAAGAGGATGGTCTCCAAGAGTCTGTGGCAGGCAAAGGACAGGACCCGCCCGACGCCCGGTGAGCCGCGTTCGTTTACTCACTAGCGTCACGGAGCCGCGAGCAAGATCGCATTCCATTACTCGCCGGGATAATATGCCGAATCTTGTTCTGTTGCTCGCTGACAGTTCCAAGCGGGTGCGTATTGAAACGTCGAGAGCTCATAACGTCCATTGGTCAAAATGTCCAAAATCGCAGCATCCAGCGTTCATAACAGCCAGAAACCGTCCAGCATCACTGGAAAGAGGAGAATCAGAAAGTCCAAGCGCACAGCACCCAGAACCGCAGCATTCAGAGCTCAAAAGATCCAGCGTTCATAAAGTCCAGGGTGCGTGAGGTACAGGGGATGGGATACCGTACCACTTCCTCGCAACCCTTAACCTAATGGTTCGTCTACTGCCCGGCGGAGGGCTACCGTAGCCGCTTTCGCCCGTCTCAGCCGACGGGTGGCGTCATGCGGTGCAGTGACACCCAGTTAAACCACTGTGCATGGGCATGGACAACGTTTTGTTTATGCGCGCAAACTTTGCCACGTCAGCATGCCCTTGGCAGCAGGCGCATGAAAGAATTCAAGGCAGTGGCTCCACGGTAATCGTGGAAGACACTTGTCGGGATGCCTGAGGTTTTTGTATTGCGGGCTATGGGTAAAATTATCCGCGGTATTTGGTTCCATTATTTACTGTATGCGTTGGTGATGTTTCACAGCTCATTTTTTAAAGGAACCGATGGTTGATGAGCAAGGTTGACTGATTTCATGACTGCTCCAGGTAGGCGCGCATGTAGATCTGGAGCTCCTGGCACGCTAACCCATATTGTTAGTGATTTTGTTTGTCTGTTTCCCTTCCTCCTCCAACTGCAAATTCCTTCGCACGCTCCTGCAAACAGGACTTATTCCGAACTCTACATATCTTTACTTTCAAGGAGGTGGTGGGGCGGGGGGGGGGGGGGGCGGGCGGGGGTGGGATTGCTTACGTCAGATTTTGAAGTTCCGAGGTCATGACCTTCGGCTCAGATAAGATCTAACGAGGTCAACGTCCGGGTGGGTCTTCAAAGCGCCCCCAGAACCTTAGATACCTGTTCTAGGCAAAAGGTCACATGCTCCGTTCAGGTCATTGGCCTTGTGTGACTTGTCGAAGGTCATGATGACCAAAATAATACAAGACTGTTTCGAGCTATGCACTTGAATAAGCGACAGAAATTACGCTAGGCAGTATGTTCCTACAAACAAAATGTTGGCCTGGGTCATTTCAGGTCAGTGACCTGTTCTGACCTTTGAGAAGTTCATGGAAATGTTATGATCCATATTCAGCGTATATGTGCGTACTAGGCAGCAGGGTGGCGGCGGGTTCTGCCATTTTATTGATTTTTTCCCGCCATTTCAGGTGGAGGCAGGTTTCTCTGGTGGATGTATCGGTTTAGATAACAGCATGCTGTGCGTGTGTGTTTTTTCTCACGTATTTTAGTGCCCGTAGTATCTTGTCGAGTTGTGAACGGAGTCATGTAACGGGAGATGTATGTAACCCAGAGTAAGAGTGCAAATGCGTGAATTTATATCGTGTTATGCTCAGAAATATGTGGTTGTTAGTAAACAAGTACCGTTCTCTTGCTGTCTTACACATCAAGCTATTGCTGCCTTAGATATCGCCAGTGATGTTTCGTGAAAAGATAATCCCTATTTCTGCGATAATTGCGGAAGATAGATAATTGCGGCTATGCCCCCGTCCCTCAGGGTAAGGGGACAACAAAATATCACGGTGAAGGGGCAGCGAAATCCTGATTTCGGATCCACATAACCTTTATTTTGGAAAGCCCCGAAATTTCAAGGGCACCTTAAATGACCACAAATATATTTTCGATAGGCGCCAAAATCCGGGAACACCATAACTGACCCCAAACCTTCATTCTCCAAGGGCACTTAATTTCAGGGATACAGCATTATCGTGCCTCCCACCCTGACAAGATCCTGGATTGGCTCCTTTGGCTAGGGGGCACCAAAATGGTCAGTTTGGGCTGCCATAACTTTCATTTCGCGGCAACATAACCTTTATTTTAAAGAGACCCTTTATCTTAATGGGTGATTCAAATTCCCCAAAGCGTTGGTTTTACATTTTTGCTGCACATTATGAACGCTGGATTTGCGGTCTTGGACAATATGACCACTGTACGCTGCAGTCTTAGACGTTTTGACGGCTCCCCTTCCAAGCTGGCTAGTCTTGCACTGTTCATCCAAGTTACAAGTTACCTAGTTAAGACTGATCGTGTGCTTGTGATCGTAGACGGAGCGTATAATGAGAAATGCTTTCCTTGTACTCCATCGTTCATTCACGTTGCTGTCCTTAAAGGGGGTGCATCTTCTGTTGCTCACTCGCATTACGGAACCGTGACCTGGAGACTGGTGCGCTGTTGCTCAGTGCATCGCTGATGTTAGTGAATCGTAGCTGGCAAGAATTTTGAAACCATACCTTCTTCCTCAATATATAGATTTCAGCTTCCTAGCTTGGGACATGATGGATCTTCTGTATGGATAGATCTATGCATCTTAGCTTTGTTGCCTTGAATCAGCTATGAGCGGCATTTAGACTTTGGATTCGGTCCGAAGAGCAACATGGCAGATAAGGATCAGGTTATTACCAAAGACATTGCCCAAGACCTTACCATATTTGACTTGCAGGTGACGGAAAGCGGCAGACGGGGGACAAACCCGAACCTTCAGCGAAGAGAAAGAAAAACGCCAGCCAGGCCAAGAAGTGACAAGCCGTTTGTATCCCGTTCACTGCGCAGTAATACACATCATCACCACATCAATGTATTGGAGTTGGTACACTTGAACACTATCTCAGCAGGAGGGCTGCACTAGTGACGTCAACCACGCCCGCTGCGCCACAAGACGAACGCAGCATCGTCCCAGCCACCCGCCGCCGACTCTATCACCGACTAGCCTTCATCGCGGCCATCGCGCTCTCGTTGGCTATCATCTGATGCTCCTGGAATCGCTGCGATATCCTGTTGCTGGCCTTCAGGAACTTCTCGAGGCACGAGATCGCGCATGTCTCCTGAATAACGAACAGCATGGGTCAGGTCAACGGTCATGTCGCCGGTCATCATCAAACGCAGGCACAGCATCGCTCAGGCGCGTGGACGGCCATACGGCAGCGACTTCCGCCGTTCGTGCACTATAGGCACTCGCGCCGAGCAGTGCAGGCAGATGCCATCAGTATCGGCCGTCAGTAGATGAAAGGAACCCAGTCGCCACTCGATGCCACAAAACCTGATGTTCATATGGACATTTTGGTATTTGATGATTGCAGTAAGTGCCTATGGGCGCGTCGACTGCATGACCACTCGGCGCCCCCTCGAAAACTGAACTGGATGCCATTCAGTCCGTAATGGGTCCGTGAACTGTTTACATATTACTCAAGAATGTCCAAATACTTGATGTTAGCAACTGACATCTTCGTTTTACCTGTTCCCGAAGAGACGCGAACGTTGACTAGTATCTGCTTAGAAATGTCAGAAACTTTCTGAAAAATGCAACAAAACTGAGACGCTCGAGCATTCAAAAGGCCCGTTCATTTTTTTTCTCGAAACGTTTCGCTCCTTCGAAACTTAGCTCTATGAAAATGGATAATATTAACATTAGTAATACACAAATCTGACCACATGAAACGGTCTTACTAGCAACTCGGTTTTCAGCGAATCCACCCATAGTGCAATTCGCGTCTGTATTACGTGGGTGTGCAGTCCGGCCCTGAAGCTAGCTTTGATCGGCGCCCACCTCTTTTCCTCGCACGTCCCTCGTTGTGAAGTCCCAAACGCAGTCTGTGAAACACATCTCTGAGATCTTGTTAAAATGCATGAAGAAATCCCGTATCTGAAAAACGGAAATACATCAGTTGTCTTCTTAGCACCGCGAGCACACGGCGGAAACATAAGCCCATACAAAATAACAGACCGGACGTCCGAAAATAAGCATCAGATGGCTTAAGCCAGTGACATTAGTGCGACCCCCTATGACTTTTGAAGACGGTGCCACCTTTCTGGCCGCTCAGATCACAGTGACATTTCATTTCGCTGAGTTTTGGAATCTTGTTCGACTGACCCGCAACTTAACGCTTCAAATTCTGGTCCATGGACTCGCCCCCACGGTTTGCACCGCGAAAATGTGGACGTGAGCGTTTCGCAGTCACCAAAATAGCTCGCAAACAAATTACTTCCAATTCGCCCGCAAAGCCGTTAGTCATGGTCATTTATACAGCAGGCTGAGATACGTTAATGGTGATGGTAAGCCCTTTTGAAGGTCACGCCAGGCCGAATCTGGGAGAGTACTAAGACATGCTAGCAAACATTCTACGGTATAATTATGCCATCGTCATCGTCCATGAAGATTTGTGAAATGGCCGCAGCTGCCGATGCGCTGGTCAAGCACCACAAACGCTAAGATGTCAAGTATAACCGTTGAACCTAGAAAAATCAAAAGCCTCAGGTGGTCTTGCATCACCCCTTGGGGCATGCCTTCGCGTGGACCGGCTCTGCTTTCGGGAAAAGTTCAAATGAAAATAAAGATGCATCTTCACTTATTTTGGCCCTTCCTGAAAGATCAGACATTAGAGAGAACCAGGTGTGCTTAGTTAAGCTAGGTGATCACGTTGGCGACTGAAGCCCTGCATGCTGTTATGGTGAAATTTTTATTTAGTGAATTGTGTCTGGAGACAACACAAGTGTAGAACCTCCTCACTGTGTATGGTTTGGGAAAATTATGTCAACTGTTGGTTACAACAGTGACTGCATCCTATTTCAAGTTGCTGTAGTGCATCAGATGTATAAACAGCAGGGTGGTTGTATCTGCATAATGCTGTGCAAATGAGCAAACCAGGAAAAGACAGCCCCCATTAAGAAAGAGGAACAGCCAGCCAGCACAAGGTCAGGACAGAGAAACCGTGAGTCGTCTCCACATCCTACCTTGGTGATTTGTTCTGCTTCCTCTTGCGGGGAGGCTGCGATGCCTGTCCCAGCTGCTCCTCCCATCAGCCCAGCCATGTCAAGTTTGCTGCAATGAGAGAAATTTTAGGCTGCCACAAAAGTGTACTAGAGCTGATGCTTCATGATCCAAAATGGCTTCTAGCAGATTTAGGTCTCCTGAATCCTCAAGCCCACAAAATACATATCAAAATTCTTAAAATCAGCTTTTCAATCCTAAAAGTTACTGTAAACCATGCACACTAACAACTAAGTCTGAAACAAAATGTTTTCAAACATCTGCTAGGTTCATTCCTTAAATAAGCTGAAAAGTTTCATGCTTCATCTAACCTAACATCTAACCATGCATTCATCTAACATCTAACATTGCTGGTTTCATTCTGTTACCATCACATTTTTCTGGTTTGCTGAGTGAATGAAAGTGAACTGAAACTCAAGTAATCATGGGCTTTACCATAGGTTATTGGCAGGAACACCAAATATGCTCAGGATCATCTTAAGTAACAGCCCAATGAAGATTTAGATGCAGCCACAACATGGCCTCACTATTTGGACCTCTGTTCTAACAAGGGTGAATGCAAATCTTTGCAACTGGATACAATGCCCATGTAAGTCATATGATGGGGATGCACAGCTAACATATTGGGGCTGTGGGCAGGATCTGGGTGTTTGCACAGACAACCAGATTAGGTGAGGTTAGATTTGGTGGACAGGTGAGGTTGGGTTAAATTGTTTTTTTCCACACATCTTTGAAATGCTGTATCTTTGGAATAATTACATTTCAACTATGTTGTGGCAATGACACTGGCATGTTAAGAGTTTTGTGTCTCTGGAGCACTCAGATACTTGCTACTGCAAATATTAAGTTTGTAGGTAAGAGTAGATGTACCCGTCCTGTTTCATAATTACCGATAATTGCTACCTTACAGAAGACGATTCATGCCCAATGCTCTTTTGTAACATAAGGTACAGATGTCAACCTACACCACACACGAATATCCAACGCAAAAAACAGCAAATAAGAAGCACGCGATATAAACTTCCCACCTGACAACCACGAACACGAGGACCGGGTCAATAACTCGGCGAAGAGAAACATTGCATAGCGAGAATGTACTATTTACGCCAGTATGTCACAGACTCGTACTAACTGCCGCGTTCGAAATAGCGATAAAGTTGTCCCCAGAATGCGTTTTTCCCACACACCATTCACGACGAAGTGAATCAAGTGCGCGTGAAGCTGTCGTTTTCAGGAAAGAAATGAAAATGTCGACGAAATGCAATGTTTTGGATTTATTTAAAATTTGGGTTTTGGTTGTTTTTTGTTTGAATTTACATTACGTCATCTTGACATGTTCTGGAAGAACGCACTCATTGCTTTTGAAACTACGAGCGATATTTTTGTAGTAAAAAATAACTGATCTGAAGGTCTTTGTGATTTTATTTTTGCCCCACCCAGTGCATGCTACTCAGGGTGATGAATATTTAGTTTCTTTGTCTTAGAGACTTTATATGACGCCATTAAAGATCTGAGAACGGCAACAAATAACGGACATTATTACCAAAGATATTATACTTCCTTGGGTTCCTTGTTCCTTGTGAGGTGACGTGACCAGCCTTGGCCGTGACACCGCCTACTTCGGGTCTGGTCGGGTATGTAAAACCCGCTCCGGCCCTGCTCATTGCAGTCTGGTTCATTGGTTGGTCTCATTGTTTGGCGTTTGGATTTTCCGTGTTACATTGAATTGTGCGGGGGACGGCGCGGGTGGTTTGGTGGCCAGCAACCTGTCGAGGGCTCCATAGGCGGAGTGTAAGTATTGGTCAATTACGTGTGATCTGGTCGGAGTTCAGGGATGTTGTCATTCGTGTCTCGGCCCCCCCCCCCCCAGCCGTTTAGTTATTTTGCGTATGCGGCTTGCCTCGTAAAAAATAATCACAATAATTCAAGGTATTCATGTGAGCTATTCAGAACTTAATCAGGCTCATTTGCAGCAACAAATGGGAGGTATTTTGGGGGATTTCATATGAGGCTGAGAATCAAATGGGTTGTAAGTCAAGGTGCCTGCCTAGATGTCACTACTTAAATCTGTCCACTGTAACAGATGTTCGCATAACATCAGAAACCATGCACCAAACTTTGAGTGTTTAGATTGGTGTTGCACATTATTGCAGTGAAAATGTTCCTGGGATGCTGCTGTTACATCAAGCATTGTTTTCTGTGATGTGTATTTTATTTTAGTTTGGGCTGCATGATGTGAACAATGTATCTAGATGCCCAGATGCATGGAAATGTCGCAAGCACTTGTATCAACCATGGCATCTGCAAGACATACCTGGTTGTTAGCCCAGTCATGAAAAGTTCATCCAGTGCATTAGATGCTCAAGTAGCATGAACAGGCAGAACCTGACATATTTACAGGCCAAACTCAGCTCAAACTAAATTGTGCTTAATGTAGGAGTAATTTTTACATGCAAATAAGTATTTCCATCCTGAAAACCTTTTTATCTCAAGTTATGACTATCATAATATGATTCATTGGAACCTTGTCTTTATTCTTGTCAATATTTTCAGTGGTCATGCATTTAGTTGGGGGTACTTAAATTTGCTGCATACAACCAGTTAAATGTTTGGTCTAGTTTTTTCATTACTTTTGGCATGTTTTGTGTGGTGTATTTTTGCTGAGTCTGGATGTTAACCAATCCAAGAAGCATGTTATATCCACAAATGGAACTCACCTGAAGATTACAGAGTCCAGTTCATGACCAAATATTGAAAGCTCGGAAACTTCCAGCATCATCTAACATCTTTTGTCATCATTTGGAATGGCCTGGCATCTGCCGAGCTACAAGATCAACAAAAGTGATGATTTTTCAAATATTTTTCTTGTTAAATGAAAACTTTTGTTTGTAATCAAAGCTATCTGCCTATTTTAGGAAAGCACAATGATAATATTTTTGGGCCAACCCATCACCTGTAGCTCACAACACCTGGTGCTGGTAGGATTCAGAGCAGGTGTCCACACCTGGTGTGATTCAGAGTTAAGTGCAGATTGAACTATCCTGTTGAATTATTTTGTCATGTCAGTAATAGAACTGACACATAATCTAGTATTGATGCCTCCATTTGTCTGCTTTGTCTTCCAAACAAGCAAAAAGGTCTCCTTCCTTTATTGGTTGAGTTGTCATTAACCCTTTGTGGATGGATAGACATAGATCCATATGCTGACAGTAAAGTTGCTCTTCACAGAGACCTTGATGTTGATCCTATGCATTTTAAAACATCATTGGACCTTAGATTGTTTGTAGTGTTTCCTTGTCCAGGACCTGCTGAATAACACTTCACATATCCTCAACCAGGTTCAGGTCTAGCATGCTTCTGGAAAATATCTTTTGGCCAGGGATGAGGTCCCTTCTCTTGGCATAATGTCTTGGGCTGGGCAGAGTGTTGAGTTGGGAAGTCCTCTTGATGGAGATGCACTTTGATCTGCCATCCAACAACTGTGGCTCTAGAACATAGCTGATCCTGGATGTTCTGTTTAACCTGGGTCAGAGTTCTCAAGGTCAGTCTTCACACTGTGTGCAGCACAAATGGCTATGGTTTGTGGGGCCATGTGCAGCATATTCAGAGCCTGTTTGAACAGTGTCCCCACACCACCAGTTGCTGGAAGTAAATCACTCATCATGTCCCAGGCTAGTCTGGTGGATGTTGAACCCAGTGGTGTTGCTTGACTGACTGGAAAAATTTGACTTGTGACTCATGACTGGAAAGAGGCTGTATTAATATGGTAGCAGACCAGTCCTTGTGCTCTGAACATGAGGCCCTAAGGCTCTATTTGCTAGTTAATTTTGCTCTGACATGCATGTGGAGGCCTCATTCTTAGGATATCATCCCCATGGTGTGTCAACCTATCAGAGATGGGGAGACCCTGGCTGGCAAATCTTGGTGTGGTTGTGGTCACAGTGAAACTTTTCTTACTGCAAACTTTATTTAGAGCAATTGTCATCACTGCAGGCATGATCAGACAAAATTCTTACCTAGACCCATCTGTAACACTCCTTTTAGTCAAAGCTTACTTCCACCAACACTACAAATCGGACAGCTTGATGCTGGGACCTCCCAGGCTGCACCATTCTGTAGCACAACTGCCGATGCCAAGGTCTTGGATTTTGCCTGCATTTTTCAGCACCCATTTTTCCTGTGGATGTCCTGTCCTAAATGGGTCCTATTCTGCCAGAATTTGACCTTAGGTCACCCTGCGACCTCATTTGTGCTCGGGAGAATGACAAGAAATATCATTGCATTCAGGGCGTCAATGGAGGTACGCGAAACCCGGGTGCAGGTAGTGTGCATTGCGCGGGTAATATCCAAACTTTTCCCGAACTCTGCAGAGTGTCAGCCACTGATGGCGTCGCAGGCATACGTGTCTAAAAGCCTTGCTTCTATGAGTGATCATATGGATGTATTTCAGGCCGTGGGTCCCTGTTTGGAGGGCACTGGGGGAGTTTTTTAATGTATTATCATGCTCATGAAGTATGAGGTCAGAGCTGGGCATCATTATTTATGCTGTCTGAAGGCAAAGCGGCCTAAGATCATGTTTTCCTAAATGGAGTTATTTACATCATTTCATGCAGGTTGGATTACTTGTTATGTACTTTTATCTTGTGATTTAATGCAAAAACCACAAAAAATTACATTTGTAACATGCTCAGTTTTCTCAAAGCATGTATGCACGTTCTATTCGCCGAAAAACGCCTCCAAGCAATTTAGCCTGATCGTGCTCAGGCCTTTTTGCCTTTGCATGACAGATTTCGTATAAAGCATGGATATCAGGCAACACCATCTTTCCTTTTGCTCGAGGCAAATGTTTTGTGCCCGTGGAAAATAGGCAGTCAGCGCACCTTATACATAGTGCATGTTATACTTGCGTTTGGTAACTTTGCATTCGTGAGTTGCTCTCTAAGCATTCAAGGACTAGCATGATTGCAATCACGTTTGACTTCTATTGAATGGATGCAGAACCTCACTGTATTGGAAAACATAATGTTGGAATTTCCGGCTTTGGAGCTCGGACAACAGCAACAACAAATAACAGTCGCCAAGAGTCACACAATCATAATTCATAGGTGGATGCTACATGGAAGGTAATTTTTCAATATGGGAGACAAGACAGGTAAGGACTCTTACTTTTAAATGGGACGCATACACCGGACCATCAGCAGAATGACTTTTCAGTGCTCATGATTTATTCACGTAATGAATGCGCGTTGACATTGTAGTTGGCTTTGCACGGGCACAAAACATTCCGAACCAATGCAGTGATATAGGACGCCCAAACCAGCATCCGCAGCGGCGGTGAGTCTGGTAGGATTCGCAGCGTGTCTGGCTCGAGACTGGGCGCTACTGCGCCGTAGGTGGGACTCAGTAGATCGGCCCGCGGCGTCGGGTCCGCCGGCGGCCCGCGTCCGACGCCGGCCGCGCTCAGGCCGGCCGTCGGACCGACCTGAGCCGGGAGACGGACGAGCTCGGGCGCCAGTCCCAGCCCGCCCAACCGTCGGCATCCGCTGACCCAGGCCGGCCCTATCTCAGGTCAGCTGGCGATTGGCTCCGGGGACGTCGCCACGGACGGGGGTGGGAGGAGGGGAGGAAGTTCGTGCGTGCCTCCTTCCCCGATGTCAGCTGCAATTTAATTGTTTTGCTGATCCAGCATCCAACGATCGCTTTGTTCTCTTGTATCGAAAGCACAGGCTTGCCCTCTCACCCAGAACGGCAGTTGGTCGCTCTGGGGGAGAGGGGAAGGGGACTCTGGCAGACAGACCCCGGTGACGCTCTTGGTTGGACCAGTCCTACCACCTCCGGCGACCATTCACCGCGTCGCCAACAGCCTTATTGTGGGAGCTTGCAGCGCTGACCGTGTGCTGTGCACTTTATGGTAAGATTGCCTGTCTGTTCTGGCTAATGCGAGGCAACGCTGAAGCATCCGTCTGGAATGGTTTCGGGGAAATGCCCGCCTCTTGTGTGCTGGGAGGTCCAGAAGCCCATGAACAGTCAGCAGCAGCCATCCAAGACGTAGCAGCTGGCGTGGTTGTCTGTCAAGGACATCGAGATGGCCTCCTGTAGGACCGCTGCAGTGACCGTGTCCAGACCTAGCGGCCTGTTCTTCCAGGCGTCCTTTGGACACTGTGTTTTCAGCACCCGTCCCCGTGTTGGAGAGGGGCGGCAAAGTTTGCTTAGTCCGCGGCTCGCTGTTGCTGTACCGCTAGCGAGTCACGCTCCCCAAAGGCTGGCATGGCCCCCCGCTCTTGACGGAACACTCCCGCGGGAGGCACGGCAGCTGGCGAGTCAGAGTCCGCGGACGACTCGTCGGCCTACCGCCTCACGCCGGCGGGAGCCCAGCGGCCAACAGGCGCCCAGCCGCGGCGCGGCGGGGCAGCTGACCGCCGCCGGGACCGGAACGGAGCACGGCCCCGCTCGGCAGCATTCCGATGGTGACACGGCTCGTCGGTCGCCGCCGCGGCCCGGCTGGAAAGGTCAACCGACCAGCGGCGACGCCGCGGCCGACCCCGGCGTCCACAACAGGTCGACGCCTGTAGCAGCGCGCCTCGCGGCCTGCCTCTGGCCCGTAGAACCCGCCGCCGGCGGCCGCCAGCCCCTGACCGGTAGCGTGTTTTCCGCGTGCGCCCCGTATCGCCGCGCCATCGGCGCCCGTTTTCCGTTGATTGGCCGCCGCCCGGGCGGCCGGTGGCGCTGGCCGGCCTCCAGGCGGGTGTGCGCCTTTGTTCTGGGCCGGCCGCCGCCGCCGTCGGTGTCGACCGTATTGATTGGGCAGCGGCGGCAGCGGCGGCGGCGGAGCTAGCCGGCGTCGGCGTCGGAGGCACGCACCTGACGGTGCTGCCAGTCGCCGTGCGCGCCACGGCCCCAGCGCTGCCGCCGCCCCCGCCGGCCGCCCGCACCCGCCGCCCCGCCGCCCCGCTGCCGGCGCTAGCCCAGGTCAGGTCAGGTCAGGCCGGTCCGGCGGGTCGCGGCGCACGACGCGTCCCGACTGTCGGACTGTGGGTGTGGGCTGTGTGGGGCACCTCCCCGGCGGAGATCTGGAGTGGGCTGCTTGGGTTGCCGTCAGACCCGGGCCACCGGAACAGGCGGCCTGGCTCCCGCTGTCCATTGGCCTCTGAGTTGGCTGGGCTCCGGTGTCGGCTGGCTGGCGGAGGCCGCTCGGGAATTGGTACGCGGAGGCCAGTGAACCACGGGGTTTGAACTTCCAAGCGAGCGCAACGTGGTTTGGGCTGACTGTCGAACTTGTCCCGCCTTGCGCGGTTTAGTCGCATTGCATGTGGTTTCGGCTTCGACCCTGGGTGATGTGATATCGGTGTTTGGGGTGGCGGTGGTCCTCGCATTCTCGCAGCACAGCAAGAGGTGCTATTCTTGTAACAAGGAGTGCTATTTTCGGGGGGAATGCTTGCTCAAGGCAAATATTGGCCTTGCCTCAGAGTGGCTTGTGGTGTAAACAAATACAACTTTGTGCAGTTGCCTGATAATAACATGTGCTGGACAAGTGGGACAAGGTAGCCTTTCTTGACACGACTGATTGCTTTATTGCGCGCACTGGGGTACTTGTCGGAAATGCATCACGGCGGTGCGGTTGGCCATATGAGCAAGCCACAGATGGCTGCTCTCAGGTAAACACGAAGCATGATCAAACGCATTTTGAAGCTGTTTGATAGGTCATACTGCAAGTTCAGCACTTTGGGACGGTTTAGTGCCCGGAGTAAAACAAGAGCATGTTTATTGACAGTGGGCGTCCGTCTTGGCCCGCGTGAAATCCGCAAGCCGGTGACTACAGAAGTGATCCGTGCTGAGGCGCGAACGTCTGGGAAGGAAAGAAGAGGTAGCAGTACCGCGCTCACCGGCACAGCCGAGTGCCGCGAGGCCTTGGATAGTCATCACCGTCCGGACGCGGTCCGTCCGAGCCGCGGCTGACGTCATCCCCCGAACGTGCAGGGCCGGCGCCGACGCTGGGAGTCGGCGGCGCCGTCCGAGACCGGCGCTCGGGTGGTCCGTGCGGGGCCGGCGCCGGCGCTGGGGGTCGGCAGTGCCGTCCGATCCTCGGCTGACGCCATCCCCCAGCCGTGCAGGGCCGGCGCCGGCGCTGGGGGTCGGCAGTGCCGTCCGAGACCGGCGCTCGGGCGGTCCGTGCGGGGCCGGCGCCGGCGCCGGGGGTCGGCGGCGCCGTCCGATACCGGCGCTCGGGCCGTGCGTGCAAGGCCGGCGCCGGCGCTGGGGGTCGGCGGCGCCGTCCGAGACCGGCGCCCGGGCGGTCCGTGAAGGACGGCGCAGGCGGCAGGGCGATGCGGCGCTTCAGCCGCACGTGAGCCGTCGCCGTTGATGCGCGCCACATGTATGCACGACGGGCATTCGCGGTCGGGTGAAGGCCGCTGTTGTTTTGGGCGGCAGCCATCGGCCCGTGGCGCGTGTGTTGAAGGGGCTGGACACTTCCGGGCGCAAGGTGCGACGATGGGGAAGACGAAACAGGCGGTGAGTCAGGCGCGGAAGAGAACACTCAGCACACGGAGCCAGGTGGTCGTCGCGTGACGCACTTGACAGCCGTCTCCCCGCCTGCGGAGGTCGCCAACGCTCGTGCCGAGCCTGATTAGTGGATTCGGTCAAGTGCGAAATTGATCGCGTCGTTATTAGTGCTCATGCTGGGCAGATCGATGGGCATGCCAGCTGTCCGAATCGTCATAAGGGCTGCTTAATACTGTATCGGCATTCTGCCAGCGAGACCGCGACGATGCTAGAATTAATCGCGGACTCGAGCTTCGCATCACGCGAGCCCCGCGTCACGGGCGGTGCCGATGAGTTCCGCAGCCGAGGTGAAACGGTTTGCCCGCGCCAATATTGACCTGCGCAGACTGGGCACTCAGTTGCGGACCTGTTTGAGCATTGTTTAGCAATGATTGGCTCATCTGAACTGAGGGGTGAGGTAGGACCCTGGCCGGTAAGAAAAGCCTTTGTTTCCACTTCTCTCTCTTCGGCTGGATTTGGTAGCGCATGCGTACTGTCAGTAAACACAAGCGGAACTATTAGGCCAGCAGCTGAGAGACGCGTGATGAGGTTCTTAGCGCTCAGGCCTGACGCCAGTATGCAATCCTGCTGCGCAGTCTCGCCCTAAGAAGTCTCTGTAAGAGGACGACAACTGATTATGATGTGATAAATAAGAGAATGTATGATGCATTATTGAAATATGGTTTAAAGAGGGTTTGAGAAGGTCAGACCCCCTGTTATGGACAAAGTTATGCATATGTATATATATATATATATATATATATATATATATATATATATATACACATATATGTATATATGTATATGTATCTGTCGTCCAAAGGCAAAACCGGATATGTTTCTTTTGGCCAATTTGCGTTTTTTGTGTCTTTTGATTGATCTTCCCTAAATGAATGCAGTTAATTGAACGATTAGTTAAAAATTTTACAACCTTTTAGCTAAAGAAGGAGGTAAAAGTTTGTGAAAATTTCAACTAATGATTGAAATAAATGAATTCAGCTTGAGAAACAAATTAAGTGCCATCAGATACTCAAAATGGCAAAAAATGTGCGTATGGGATTTTGCTTTTGGACGGCTACATACATACATATATGACACGACGTGGGAGCGTCGAATTACTTCCATCCGCGCACGATGTTTGTGATGTTTTGTTGTACCAGTATCTCCCTCTGACAGCCGCGATAGGTTGTCTAACAAGTCTGGTGTACTGAAACTGCCGCAGAGGCGTGTTTTGACTTGCGATCGTGTGCTGTTATGTGGTGCAGGCTGCGTGAGCGTACTCTGATGTAAAATTGCATTCACGGCGAAGAAACTGCAGTGTTGTTTACAATTATTACCTCTTGATGGTAGCTTGTGCTTCTTTTTGTTATTTAATTAGAACGTGAGTCGTTCTTGTGACGGCGTCCTCTTGGCCCCCTAATTGCTCCCCACTCTACCCCCTGGCCGTGTCCACCGTCGGCGGCTCCTGGCGGTGTCCGAGTCTGATGTGCCCTCTGTCCAGGGATGTCGTGACGGTGACTCCCTGCCTGTGCTTTTCTGCCTGTACCCTGTGCCTGTGACACTCGCGCTATTCTTCTCTGATTACGCCCCCCCCCCCCCCCCCTCCCCGGCCGGGGACTTCCGACCATCTGACTCTGGCCCCCTGCCGGCAGTCCCGGGACAGTGTCTGACCCTCTGATCTTCGAACCGTGAGCTGCCGGCAGCCCCGGGGCAGTGTCTGACCCTCTGACCTTGACCCTCTGCCGGCAGCCCCGGGGCAGTGTCTGACCCTCTGACCGTGACCCTCTGCCGGCAGCCCCGGGGCAGTGTCTGACCCTCTGACCGTGACCCTCTGCCGGCAGCCCCGCGGCAGTGTCTGACCCTCTGACCTTGACCCTCTGCTGGCAGCTGCGGGCCGAGTCGCGTCGCCTGGTGAAGACCGCTGCCGCCGTCGCGCCACCCGCACCCCACCCCAACCGCCGTCATGGCTGCGGAGGCCGAACCGCCGCGCTCCGAGCTTGAGACGCTCCAGATCCGGACCAACCAGGCCACGGATGAGGTGAGCAGACGGCGGACGCGCCCCGCGGGAGCTGCCGCAGCCGGCTCGGATCGGACGGAGGGCGCGCCCCGCGGGAGCTGCCGCAGCCGGTACGGATCGGACGGAGGGCGCGCCCCGCGGGAGCTGCCGCAGCCGGCACGGATCGGACGGAGGGCGCGCCCCGCGGGAGCTGCCGCAGCCGGCACGGATCGGACGGAGGGCACGCTCCGGTCTCGGAGGCTGTCGCTGTCCCCCACACCCCGTGTTGGGGGGCAGTGTGCAGAGCTGCAAGACGGCAGAGCCGACAGTGAAGTGGCCGTGTGTGGGGGAAGCGAGAGATTGCAGCGTATTTCTGTCGGGCCGGGCGCCGCAGTGTGTTTTCAGTGGCCACTCCGGGCGTAGGCGGGCTGGTAAAATATGGGGTAGTTTGGGTGTTTGAACAGGTGGGGTAACTTGTGAGGTAATGACAGATGGCTCGGGTCTGGGAGCCAGCCCACCGACCCGAAGCTGTCGTCTACGCCTGGAAAGACTGCGAGGCTGGCTGCCTGCGTCGAAGGGCTAGACGTCGCTTGGATGCTGCAGGTAGTGTAATTTGTGGGGAAGCACAGACTGTGGGTGCAGGTTTCGCGTGTGGGACCTTTACACTGCAACGGGGCAATCTCGAATCATCGCCATCATCGTCGCTGGGCGGAGTTTTCTGGGTTTAGGGATACTATAAGCATCCAAGAAGAGAAGGAGCATTCCGGCTCGTATGTATAGCAACTTAGTGCGTGCCGCTGGTTTCCCTGCTTCTGTAAGTAATTGTGTGATGCTAGATTATGATTATTTTGTGATAAATGACATTCAACGAACCATAAACACCGCGAGCATTATGACAATTAACATGGAACACGAGATTGCTAATCCTGGCGACAGATTGGAAAACCATAAAGTCGACCACTCATTATAGTGCTCAAGTGAGATCAGATCAAATTCCTTCCGTTGAATGTATTACGGACGCCTGTGGTACCAAATCAACGCGCCTGTGTACGTTGAGCACGGCGCAATGAAAGGCCCGCACATTGGTCGTTAGCTTCACAGAGCATGTTGTGTGGAGCAGTGTAGAACGTGGCAAAACCAGGCAGGGCAAAAATCTCCCCGCTCCGTACCTCACAACGGCACACAATAGCCGCCGAGTCGGGCGTATGCTGCGGCAGTCAATAGCGCGGTCTGCGTTTATTTATAAATCGACCATTTGCCGTTTGGTCCATACTACCGATTTGGTTGGCGGCCGTCTCCCATGCATTATTGATGCTCACTCCATCACAAAGAAGCCATGCTGTCGATCGGCACACACCAGGAAGTACGCACCTTTTTTGGAGGATTCATGCTTCCGGTCATTGAGTGGGGGTATTTTTTGTCATACATGTTTAACTACCTGTAATCAAGTACTTAATGGGGCTTTGATGGGCGTCGCTTCCAGAACTGCCGCCTGTCCGTCCTCTGCCAATCTAATCACGCTCCCTATGACGTCACACTCGATCGCCGTTTATGACCCGGCGGCTGGATTGAGCCATCCACTTCAAGCGCGATTAACTCATCGTTCAGCTCGGCGACCGCTGCAGTGACCGCACGCCGCCTACTGAGACGCGGCCGGTGGTCCGGGCGGCCGGGCTAGTTCTGCTCCTGTGCCGGGGCCGCCGACGCTGACATCGGAGGAGCCGCCTGCCCACCGCGGGCCCCCGGCAGCGGCGCCCGCCGGGGCTGTGGAGGTCCCGGCCCGCCGGCGTCCGGTCCGCGTCAGCAGGGCACCACCCGCCGACGCATGCCCCGCCCCGTCCGCTCACGGGGGCCCCGGTTCCGTCCACGGGATTAGCCGTCGGTGGGTAGGCTGGACCGGCATCATTGCAGAAGCCTGCAGCGTGGCGTAGGTCCGTTAATGGTGCTCTTTTCGGGGCGTGGAGGCGGCAAAGGCGTGGACCGATGGCGCCTGGCGCGTGCATTGATCTCTCGCCTCCTTGACTGCCCTTTCCCACGGGTTTTCTCGCTCCCTCTGGCGCTGCTGCCCACTTCTTTTCCGTCGTCCCTCTGCATTCTCAGCTCCGCTCTCTCCACACGCCACCCGTCCGCTCGCTGACGCGGTGTACCGCGTCAGGGCGGCCGGCGCCGCCTCCCCCCCCCCCCCCGAGGCAGGTCAGCGCGGTGGTGGCGCCGCCGTCGCCGCGGCGGGAGCGACTTATCCGCTACGCCGGGGGTTCCCGGCCGGCCGGCGCTGAGCGTGGGGCGCCGATAATCGAAGCGGCCGTCCCCAGCGCTGATGAGCCAGCGGGCGCGCCGCTTCCGCCGCCTCACTCGTGTTGGCCTAGGCGGAAGTCGGTCTCGGTTTGAGGCTCACTGGCGCTGGCCTAGGCGGAAGTCGGTCTCGGTTTGAGGCTCACTGGCGCTGGCCGAAGCGGGAGTCGGTCTCGGTTTGAGGCTCACTGGCGCTGGACGAAGCGGAAGTCGGTCTCGGCTTGAGGCTCATTGGCGCTGGCCGAAGCGGGAGTCGGTCTCGGTTGGGGGCTTGCTCGTGCTGGCCGAAGCGGGAGTTGCGAGACGGACGGGGTTGGGTCTCGGTCAGCGGTTCGCTCGCGCCGGCCGAGACGACAGCCGGGGTCGGCGGAGAGTTCGCTCACGCTGGCTATGTCTGGCCGCGGTCTTGAACGGGGAACGCGTTCGGTATCGGCCGGTGTCGCCGGCTGGGCGCCGCGCGTCGTTCTAGGGCCGTGTGCTTGCCCAGCACAGGCCAACTGTCTGCGGACAGTCTGCTCTGGCTGGTCGCCCCACCGCGCTTAGCCCGAGCCACATGCCGGCCGGGCTTTTGTAAACGTTCACTTTCTGTCACTGCTTCCGGTCCGGAGCTATCCTCCATTGTCTGGACAAGTCTGGGCTCGGGGCTTCTGGGTTTCCTGTTGCGGTTGGTTGGGGATCAGCTCGCGGCTTTGAGTCGCCTGACATTGTCTGGCCGAAGCCCATTCCGCGGTGTTTTGCGGGCACCCTCATCTGTTTGATCAGGTGCAAATCTCATGGCTGCTAGGTTTCTTTCCGCTTTCCTGTGTATTCAAGCTCTTATCTTATACTCTAACCTTCGCCTTTTACTTATCGAGTTAATGCCTGACTCCGGTTCACACCGACAAACCTTTCTAACAGCGTGGGCGCAGTCGAGTGGAACAGCTCCTGGCAGGCGATCATGACTGGATCTGTGCAGCCGGTTACAACCGGTTTTGAGCGGATGGCTGCTGCCGGTAACCGGTGCACCCGGTGATTGTACTCAATGACAGGTGCATGTCATGAGGTACTTCGTTGGTCAGCCATGCAAAGGATAAGACTCTGAACATGTAAGCAACGTGTGATATGTTGCTGGTATCTTATGTGCATTTTCTGACGATTTGGAATGAATATCACAAAGGCGACATCTAGTTGCATTATCAACTTTTTCTTGTCTGTATTTCCGCGGTGTGCGCAACTTCCGTCAGCTCGCATCGAAATAGAAATTGAATTAGATAAAATAATGCCTGTTATCTGTATGGATGCTACTACATATATTTTTGAACTGCAGCAGAATGCTCCCATGCCTCTTAGTGGTGGTGGCCAGATTTCAACTGATTCTAGCACTCCGGTGATTCATCGAGCGGAACAAGCAGAGGTCATCAGGCGCAGCCTCAGGTACCCTCCGCTGCATCCACGCCATGCATTTCTGGCCACGCTTTGTGATATCGCTGTGCTATTGATCGGGCGATTGAAAATGAAATGATTAGTATGACGACAGATGTTTGCAAAAAGGCGTCCGTTTTGTCTTTCTAGGCTTTGCCAGTTTATGTCCTTTTTGTAATGGTTAAAACTAGTGCAAACCAGAAAGTTACAGCAGACAGTTTCAGTGGCCATAAATTGCACGCTTCCAAAGCCTCAAGAACCGAATAGGTGATTTTGATTGCCAACAAAACCTTGAATATTTGTGTGTTCCTCGTGGTTGTTTATTACATAGCATGCTGACGTTAGGGAACAATCAAGTACATACACTTTCGTCTCTTCCAGTCAGAAGCCTCTAGCACAAAACAGTATTATACTATTTCCATCGGGTGACACAATCTTCATTTCTGTAGAAGGGGGCGGCGCCAGCACATCAACTGGAGCCGTTGGTAGTGATGCCAAATACGCTGCGGCCACGTCCGTGCTCGAGCGCTCCGCCAAATGGCCAGTTTCCGCGGACTCGCATCGGACCATTGCTATCTGTTGCGTGCTGACGGTAATGTGATGTGAGGGTGGGCTTCCATGTTTTCCAGCTGGACGTGTGGGCAGGGGCGCGAGCGCCGGCCGCCTGCGCCCTGTCGGGAATATACCGAACATGGCCACCGGTCTGATCACGGCATCGATCCTCGGGCGGGCCCGCCGGCGGGGCTGCAGGCGGGACCCGGGGCGGCGCCCCGCCGCGTGGCTTTGCTAGCTGCCGGGAGGGCGCCCTGAGCGCAGCGCGACGCGGGGACAGCTGGCAGACGCCGCAGGCGACCGTGGGGTGCAGGGCAGGAGGTGCGACGGGGTCGGGGTTAGAAGCTGGCCTTGCAGCGCGGCTGCGATGCGGACGCAGTGAGCAGACTCGGCTCTTGCTCTTCAGTCATGCCATGCTGGCTTGTTAAGGAAGCGTGCCTGGTGAGGAATGGGAAAGGGTGCGGCGTAAGTACGACTGCTGTGCTCGGATGCCACCCTGATCCCTTGCCTCCGCTTCTGACGCTACTCGGGCCCCATACCGCTTCAATGCAGAGGTCTCCTTCTGAATTCGTGCACGGCTTCTGTTCGGTTTGATTTCCTGAGCGGTCGATGGCGAGGCGGCAGCCACGCGATGCCGTGCTATGCGGGCTCTTACTTCTGCCAACAGCGGCAGCAACACAAATGACGCAATGTGTTATGAACATAATAACGCTGCACCAAAGCCAAGGTCAAACCTGTCCTGCGTAAGTCGGTCCGCCGGGGGGGGGGGGGAGGGGGGGGGAGGGGGAGGGGGCGATTAGTCACGCCAATCGACCCAACTTTGCCGAGAGCACGCCTGCTCCCAACACCTCAGCTGGGAAGGCGAGGCGAAGGCGCCGGCGACGGTGTGTGGAACACCCAGGAAATGGTCACGTGACTGACCCGTCTGCATTCGCGTAACCAACCTAGACGACGCGCCGAGGACATAGCAACGAGATAACCGGTCTCACTCGCATAACTCTGTAGGTTCCCTCGCCCTCGCGGACACGAACCCTTCCAGTTATGTGACGCAAAGCTCCTTAAGATAACCGGTCGTATGGGGAGAGCTCCGTGTTTTCCCCGCCAGCTGCACGGGGCGGCTTGCAGTTGTCACACGGGATGAGGTCAGGGTCAGCCACCGGTAGTGTCTGCCCCTCCTCAGACGCCACCGGTGACCGTACGTTCCCGTCACGCCGCGCTCGGTCGGGCGTGCACGCGGCTCACTGCCGCAACAAGTCCGGCCGCCGCCTGTTGTGCGGCCGCCGTGGCATTGTTCCAGCGTGATGCGCCGAGCTGGGCCGCAGGACAGCGGGCGGCGGGCGGCGGGGCAGCAGCGGCCGGCGGGCGCGGCCGGCCGGTCCGCGCCATCGACCGTGCCGCCGGCGAGGAGTCCGACATCGAGCGTTGGCTGCCGCCCCCGCCCGCGACCGGCGAGCCCGCCGCCGGGGCACGGCCACGCGGCGGACGGCGGCCGCGGACACAGCGGACACAGCTCCAGATGGTGCCAGCGACCGTCCACACGACGGGTGACGCTGCAGAAGGCGTCAGGGAGCAGGCGTCAGGGAACAGGCGTCAGGGAGCAGGCGTCAAGGAGGAGGCGTTAGGTCACACCCACCGGCTCCTCGGGGATGGGACCTGGAAATCGGACCGTTGCAGAGGACACCGCTGACCTTTGGTGATCCGGGATGTGCGTGGCGCGGGAGCGCGGCTGGCGGTGATATCCCCTGCCATGCCAGCTATAGGCCGGTGGCACGTGGAGAAGCTTACGGGGCTTGCGGACGTGATGGAGCGCTGATGGGGTTTAAACGCCGGCGTGGGCCGAATGGCCTTACGGGAAGCGCGAGCGCTGGATGGCGAGTGCAGGGTGGTGGGAAGTAGTACCCAGGGGCGACCGGTTAGTCATGCTACCGGGGCTGAACAGGTCAGACGGTGCGAAGGCCAGCGGGGCTCGTAGGTCCCGGAGACCGTCGCCAGCCGTGAACTGCTGCAGGCTGTAGAGGGCCCCGAGTAGTGGGAACCAGGATCGGTGCTGGGGAAAACTGCGGCTGGCCTTTCACCCGCCTCTGTGTCCTGCTGGCGTCCTTTGTTAGGTCATTTAGTTGAACTCAGTCGGGTGTTGTTGCTATTCGTCGTCGATGACATTCTAGCGGGTGAGTGATTTGCTTGCAGAACCAACGTAAATTATTACCTCGACGATCTAACTAAGATTGCACGTAAGCGCTGGCCACCAACAACGTTCGCGTAAGGCGTCAGCATGTACCTCTTATCATGGCTGCACTTGTTGCAGAGCTGCGTACTGTTGCTCGCTGACCGCCGCGCCTGTCGCCTGACCCGGCGACGCCTCTCGTTGCCGTCGCCGTTGTGACGCGCCGCTGACCACCGTGTAACGCGTGCCGCCCCCGTTCCAGTCGCTGGAGAGCACGCGGCGCATGCTCTCACTCTGCGAGGAGGTAAGCTGGCTGGGCTGTACCGCCGCCCCGCCCGCCAGCGGCCGCGCGGCCGGCGGGAGGCGAGCGCGACGTCGGGTGTGACCCGGACCGTGTGCGTGCAATGAACCGTATGATGTTGCATGTGATGTTGCGTGTGATTTTGCGTGAACGGTGTGTGTGTGCGGTGCAGTGCCCGGCAGCGCCGCCGCCGTCGGCGAGCGCCGGCTGACCCGGAGCTCCGAGGACCGCCCGCCGGCGGCCGCGGCGCCGCCCAGGCCGCGCTGTCCTCCCCGACGATGACGCGGAGGACCGGTTGCCGGCGGCCGCGGCGCTGCCCAGGCCGCGCTGTCCTCCCCGACGATGGCGCGGAGGACCGGTTGCCGGCGGCCGCGGCGCTGCCCAGGCCGCGCTGTCCTCCCCGACGATAACGCTTCCGGCGGGGCCGCTCTGACCGGTCAGCGGGCTTCGATCGGCGGGGGTGACGGGGGCGGGTGCTGACGACCCGACGTCTGACGCGGCCTGGCCAGCGGCTGGGGAAGGGAGCTGGAAAGGTCGGCTGGGGAGGGGAGCTGGAAAGGTCGGCTGGGGAGGGCAGGAGGAAAGATCGACTGGGGAGGGCAGGAGGAAAGATCGGCTGGGGAGGGAAGCTGGAAAGATCGGCTGGGGAGGGAAGCTGGAAAGGTTGGCTGGGGAGGGGAGCTGGGAAGGTCGGCTGGGGAAGGGAAGGAGGAAAGGTCGGCTTTGGGCGGCGGGAACAGTGGGAGGCGGACTGGGCTCGCCGCCGCTTGGCTCTGGGGTGTAGCGAACATCCCATGGTCTGCTTTCGGAAGCAGGCTGAAGGAGGGGCGGGGGAGGGGGCGCGGAGCGTAACAGAGAGGACAGGCTGCGGACGAGACTTCTCACATTCTACTGCGGTGTTTTTCCACCCTAGAACGTTCTCACTGAGTAGTTTCCTTTTGACCGACTCTCCGCGTCGGAGCCCAATTCAGCATCCGAAGCTACCAACGACGCGTGCCTCCGCTCCCCATCTGTTGTGCGCAGAATTGCTGGCGCTTGACTTCATTTTCCAATCGCTGACATATTTTTTAATTGTCTATAGCGGCTTTTGGAATAGAAGTGGTGCAGCTGCTATGCGGACACATTCATTATGCGGCATTCGATGTCCTTCGGCACTATACGCAATGCGTGTGCGCCTTGGTATCACATGACTACTCACCGTATTTCTGCCTGTTTTTTTATCCGTGCCTTTTTATCGTCAGGAGTTTTTTTTTGCGCAACAGCTTTGTGTGGCTGCTAATGTTATTGATCTACAATGATTTGCTTTGCTACTTACGAATGTGTGAGATCTTTCATTATTGGCTTCCGTTCTCATTTTCTTAAAGAACTAAGTAATGGCCAAGTTAAGGGTTAGAGGAGGCACGATACCTATTCAGATGCAAATGATACCAGTGTGCGCGATGTGGTTGTGTCTGCATCCGGGAGGTCCTCTCGCCGTGTGCCCGGTCCTGGTCTGGTCCTCGTCGGGTTCGGTAGGTCCTCCCGCCGTGTGCCCGGTCCTGGTCTGGTCCTCGTCGGGTTCGGTAGGTCCTCCCGCCGTGTGCCCGGTCCTGGTCTGGTCCCTGTCGGGTTCGGTAGGTCCTCTCGCCGTGTGTCTGGTCCTGGTCTGGTCCTCGTCGAATCAAGGGGGTCTTGTCGCCGTGTGTCCAGTCCCGGTCCATTCCTCATGTGGTCCTGGCATTGATCCTGGTGGGATACGGTCTGGCGTGATCCTGTTCCGGTCCCGGTCAGACCCGGCCCGATCCCGGTCTGATCCTGGTCTGATGTAATCCTGGCGTGGTCCCGATCAGGTCATGGTCCACCGTCCCCAGTGCCGCCCGCTTGCCCCGGTTCGGCGGCCTGCCCTGGTCCGCCCCGGTCCGCCCTGGTCCACCGTGGTCCACCCTGGTCCACCCTGGTCCACCCTGGTCCTCCCCGGTCCTGGCCCGTTCCGTCCACCCTGGTCAGCCCCGGTCCTGGCCCGTTCCGCCGTCCCCAGTGCCGCCCGCTTGCCCCGGTCGGTCGCTGGCTCGGCCGGCCGCCAGTTGGCTCTGCACAGCCAGCCGTCCCACCATCGATCGGCCCCCGGTCTCGCTGCGCCGCTCCTCCTCCCGCCGGCCGGCCCGCCACCCGCCAGACCCGAATTACAGTCGACTCCTCTTCCCGGCCGCTATCGACCTCGATTCGGGGCCGGGCCGTCGCGCCCGCGCCGCCGCCATGAGGCCCGGTCACGCGCCGGCGCTGGCCTCGGGGACGGGGTCAGGTCACGGTTCACGGGCCGGGGTGCCGTCCTGACCCAACACTCGGCCTCGGCCAGTCGACCGGTCAGCGGCCTGGCCTTCCTCCGTGCTCGTGGCGGGTGCGTCTGGTCTGGGTGACACAGCGCCCGTGTGGTGGGACAGATGTGGTTGGGGGGGGGGGGGGGGGGGGGGGCTGACTGGCGTGCGGGAAGGAGAACGGGAGCGGTCGAGAGATAAACGGAATCGGCAGACATTGGGGATTGACGATAGGCAATGATAACGAAAAGGGTAGTGAGGAAATGGTCGAGACAGCCATGCATTGCGGCGGCAATGCGGCCGGGCATAGACAAGAGCGATGGTGAGAGATGCGTGGAGGGGTGGGCGAGACGAAGACTGTGGGAGGCCGACACTGGCAGCACTGCTACTGACTGACATGTAGGCAGTGACTGCCGACGGGAGGGACACTGTGGCAATGGGCGCTGAGGCGAGCATTGTCGGCAGCCGCGGCAGCGCGGCAGATCCGGGACGGCGTACGCCACCACCGTCTCGTTGTTGGACCTCCCCCAGTGACACGTGCGCCCCGTGTGTGTGTGCGTGCGTGCGTGCGTGCGCGCGCGCGTGTGTACGTGTGTGCGTGCGTGCGTGCGTGCGTGTGTGCGTGCGTGCGTGCGTGTGTGCGTGCGTGCGTGCGTGTGTGCGTGCGTGCTTGTGTGTATGCATATGCATATGTGTATAACCACGCCGCGCCCGACACCGCTCTAACGTTGCGCCTCACCCCGAACGCTGCACTAGAGCAAGGAGGCGGGCATCAGGACACTGGTGGCGCTGGACGACCAGGGAGGTGGGTGTCGGCTCGCGCGGCTCGCGGCCCGCGGCACGCCGGCCCGCCCGCACCACCGCACCCCGCATGTCCGCCGCCTGCCCTGTCGCAGTGTGCCCTGTCGGCTGTAGTCGCTCCGTGTGGCGGCCGGCGCCGCACACAGCGCACCCGCTGTCTGTGACGTGCTCTGGTCCTCAGGTCTCGGCAGCGCGGCGAGCGGCGCTGCGGCCGCTGTCGTGTCATCCGTGTTGTGGCTGGCTCGGCGTCGCCTCTGTCGTGCCCTGCGCCCCCCTCCCCTGCCCTCTCCTCCCCTCCGCAGCCGTGGCCTCGCCGCCCGCCGATGCGGTCCGACGGCTGGCGTGGGTTGGAACACAGCCCGTGTCTGTCTGCGCGTCTGCGTCTGAAGCCACGCCGTCGCCGTCACGTCCAGTCACAGCCCGCCCTCCCCTGGCGAGCCGCCGCCCCGGGTGCCATATGACGGGGCGGTCGGCGCGCCCCAAAGCCCAAACGATCGCCATCACCCGCCCCATCGCCTTGGCGCCGGCCGTCATATTAGGCCGCATTTGTGACCGTAAACGACCCGGTGGCGCCCGGCTGGCCGCACCGGAGACCTGCGAACTCCTGGGAGGTCCGTGTCGGCCCGCCGTGTGGGCCGGGCAGTTCCGCTGCAAATGACGGGCGGTGGCCAGCGCGGGCCGCGGCGCGGTGGCGTCCTGGGTCACGCGTCCACCTGCACGTGACCAGCCGCCGGCGCCGCGGCGATTCCGGCGCCGCGATACGTCTTGATCGAAGGGACGCAGTGCTGCACGAAGGCGGCGGACGCGTCGGTGCCGGCTGTGCGCGTTCGCTTAGCTGTCAAATTAGTCATCGAAGACATCGTACGCCAGTGGTGAAGGCAATATCCGATACGGAATACCTTAGATATGTAACTGTCTTTCAGTTTTGTCCCGCTGCAAGGTTGTAATGCTGCGACAGTCCATCGTATGGAAGCCAGCCGTTATCGACGCGTGTGGCTAATAATCACGCAATGCCGCCTGACAGCGTCTGCCATATCGGTATGGACCATGCGCATTCGCTTGGCTGACGAAAGAAACGCACGCCAAACAAACTTTTGTCCTCCTGTGTGTGTGTGTCACATTGTATAGATGCACAGTTGTAAAAACGACTGAGCTCGTTGAAGAAGGATGGGCACACGGATGATGGTCGACGATCCAATTGACGGTGTTCGGAGGGGCAAGTGCTCGTTGACAGTCTTCACCGGCTCGAGTCTTGTCGCGGGTGGTTATACCTTTCGAGCCTCGGGACGCTTCATCGCGGCCCGCTTTCCCTCCCCACTTCACTCTACTCCACCCCACTCCACTCCACTCCACTCCACTCCACTCCACTCCACTCCACTCCACTCCACTCCACTCCACTCCACTCCACTTCACTCCACTCCACTCCACTCCACTCCACTCCACCCCACCCCACTCCAATCCACCCTACACCACACCACACCACTCCACTCCACTCCACTCCACTCCACTCCACTCCACTCCACTCCACTCCACTCCACTCCACTCCTCTCCACTCCACTCCAAGGTCGGCATTGACTGGGGTGTTGCATCGGACGGGGCTCTTCGAATACAGAGAGTTAGCTGACATACTCAAATAGAATCCTATAACTCGTGCCATCTGGCTGGGGTACGATGTCTACGCCACAGGCTCTCCGGGCTGAGAACGCTGCTACCGAAGCCGCGCAGGCGAACATAAGCTCGCTTGGAACTCCGAGAAACCCAGGCGCCGGAGGACCGGGTGGAACATGGTCCAGCTCCTGCTCGTCCAAAGTTCGGCGCCAAGCCTTTGGGCTGTGGATGAAAGGCTGTATCCGAAGACGGTTCGACCTTCGCGCTCTTCACACACTTCCACGCTTTTGAGAGGCCCCTGCTCTGCATTGCTGTGCTACGCGGCAGTGCGGCGCGTTCCCAGCCCATGTAGCGAATGTGGAGCGGGCATGTGGCGCTCCCATCGATCTGGCGGTCGACCGAGGGACGAGCAGACCTGTTTTCCCCGGACAACTGGACGGACCCATCCCCGGGGTACCGCCGCCGCCGCCGCCGCCGGCCGCCACACAGCCCCGGGGCGGTGTTTACTGTCCTGTTGCCGTGTTCGCGTTTCTGGGAAGGCGACATGTCGCCGCAGTCCCGCCCAGGGGACCTCCCCTGACCCGCCGCCGTGGTGGTCCTGACGAGGGGACCTCTCCTGATCCGCCACCGTGGTGGTCCTGCCCAGGGGACCTCTCCTGACCGGCCACCGTGACGGTGGTCCTGACGAGGGGACCTCTCCTGATCCGCCACCGTGGTCCTGCCCAGGGGACCTCTCCTGACCCGCCACCGTGACGGTGGTCCTGACGAGGGGACCTCTCCTGATCCGCCACCGTGGCAGTGGTCGTGCCCAGGGGACCTCCCCTGACCGGCCGTCGTGAGATTGGTCCGGCTCGAGGGAGCTCGTTTGACGCGCCGCCGTGACAACACGGGCCGTTACAGTGGTGCAACCCAGCGGACTGGGCCGTGTCGGGGCAGCCTGGCGTCTCATTACTAGCCAATCGATCGGACAAAAACCGCCGCCGCCGGCGGAGGCCGCGCGACGGGGGCGGCCCGGCGCCCGTGTCCGTCTGCGAGGCGCCGCGCCGCCGCCGCCGCCGCCGCCACCGCCACGGTCGATTCCCTGCCGGTCTCTGCTGCGCAGTCGGGTGCTCCGACCCCGTCGGCGGGCGATGAGGTCGCTGCGCCGGGCCAGGCGCCCGTGCCCGGTCCGTCGGCCCGCGGACCGCAGGGGCCTGCCCGCAGTCCGCCGGGGTGCGTGTGTCCCTCCCAGTGCCGTGGTCCTCCAGAGGGACGGCCGGCTCCGGAGCGGCACCCGTGCCGTCAGGAGCTGGGCGGCGGGCGACAGGGCTCCATCCGCACCGGCGGGAGAAGAGGAATGATGGAAGTCGCCGCCTTCGAGTCCTGTTCTGGTCGCCGTGAGGGAGACCACGTCGGTCCGGCTGCCCCCTCGTGGCCGGCGGATGGCGCCGCGCCGCGCCCGCACCGGCCACGGCCGCAGCGGCCCTGGCGAGGAAAGGCAGCGCTTCCTCCACCTCGGTGTCTCCATATCAGTGCAATGCACTGTCGCGCCAACTGGAGTCTTCCCACGCTGAATTCCAAGTAGCTCACAGTGGGGTGAGATGACAAATGATGACTGCGCCATGATGCTGTGGCGGTGGCAGGGACGGCAATGGCTGTCCGCGGTGCCCCGCGGCCATAGCAGCAGTGTGGAGGCCTGTCGCGTGGCCGTGACGGCGACCCACCCTTCCCCTGCATCGTTAACGGGGCCGGCCGCGGCGCCGGCCGGCACCCGCCGACGACGGCCGACCGGTCGCTGCATTGTTCAGAGCCCGCAACGCTGGCGTCGGCCCTGGCGTGAGACGAGTTCGTGACCGGCCGGCCGTGGCGCCGCTCCACGCTGTACCTGTTACGCGACGGCTGCCGTGGTGACTGGCGCGCCGGGCCGGGGTGGTGGCCGCGGCCCGGCTCGGGCAGCCGTCGACGCCCTCGGAGACGCCGTCGGATCTCGCGGCGATGCTTCGCCGCGGCCGGCGCGGTCGCCGGGGGCTGGCGCAGCGGCGGTCCGCGGCGCAGAAGCGGGCGCAGGGCGACGACCGGCGAGCGGGCGGGACGACTTCGTCCGAAGGACCGGGCGGGCGGGGCGACTCCGTCCGAAGGACCGAGCGGGCGGGACGACTCCGTCTGGAAGACCGAGCGGGCGGGACGACTTCGTCCGCGTAACCGAGCGGGCGGGACGGCTCCGTCCGAGGGACTCGTCGCCCGGCCTGGCCCCGCCGTAAATCGGGAGGCCGGTCGACGTTGTCATGACGGCGGAGTGTGACGTCACGGCTCAATATGTCCCGGTGTGGGGGCGGGCCGGGTTCATGAAGCGGGAGACAGCGCTCCGTGTCAGCGGGCGGTGGCGCGGCGCCTCCGCACAGTGCCCGGACACGTGCGCGGCGAGTGGCGTGGCCATTGGCGATAGAGACACGCAGGCGGGTCATGCAGGCCCGGTCCCCGAGGCCTGCTCGCGAAGCGCTTCGCCTCGAACTCGAGTCTGACTGAGAGCGCCGAGTAGGCACGCCGGTAGTTGTTGTTAGTCTGCTGCAGCCGCCGGCCGGCTCCTGTGGCCCGACTTTGGAGATCGACCCCGCCGGCCGGTCGGAGGTCGTGTGGTCCGGGCAGCTTCTCTGGGATGGAACACGTAGGCGCTGGGAGACAGACTTGGAGGAGCAGACAGCTGAAAGTGTCCACAGGCGACACCCGGACTTGTGCGAACGTCACTGGTGTGGACTGTAGAGCTGTTGCTGAGCTTCATGTCGCCCGTGGTATTGTCGGATTTGCACGTCATCTGCCATCCGGTTTATCCATGTGCGTCGCGGTCTGAAACGTTTTTAATCTCCAATTCATAACTCAACAGATGGTGCGGCGGGCCGTGATAACAGCCGCCCTACTGTCACGTGAGTCAGGAGTTCAGAAGCGTTTCTCTTAGTCAACCTGTCATAAGAGTTCCGTTGAATTTTGCCGGGTGTCTGCTCCTTATTTCATTCGTTCATCCAGACGTCTAGCGTCCGGCGGCCGTTTTGGAGCCTGTCGTTGGCCCACTTGCAGAACCAATGGCGCGCCATTTGGGACGATCAACTGCACTCTGCCGGGGGGGGGGGGGGGGGACCGAGACCCGGTCGGCGTCCCGGCGCCGCGGCCCGAGCCTCGTCTGCCCCGCACCACAGATGCCGTGCCGGCGCCGGCTCGCTCCGGAGGCGGGCGCCGCTGAACTCTGAACTCTGACCTCTCTGCGGCAGTCTCAAATGGCTGCCTGAAGTCCGAGGCCCGTACGTGCTAACGGCGAACGAGTCGGTGTGCTCTGAGAGCGCGCGCCGGCCGCCTCGCGCTCTAAAGACCGACAGGATGGCCGGCAGCGCTCTCGCAAATGTTATGGCCTGCTTCGCTCGTTTAAATCTTGCTCGGACGTGGTGGCGTGGGCTGTTTTGTGGGCCGTTTTGCGCATCCGCGTGTGAAATCCGGCTGGGAGTGGACGTCTTCGACCGGGGTGCGCCACGCGCCAACAGTGGGACCGACCGTCGAGTGGGCGGCTCTTGCAGCTGGTGCCACTTGAACCGGGCAGTGCCGAGGGGCGGCCGAGCCGAGGTCTAGAGAGCGGAGGCGAGCCGAGAGGAGGGGGTTAGGGAGGCCTCCCAGCGACGGCAGCTTCCTCTGCCTTCGCCCAGTGTAGGAAGCAGATCCGACAGCCGAAGGGGCACCCGAGCCGAGGTCTAGAGAGCGGAGGCGAACCGAGTGGAGAGGGTTAGGGAGGCCTCCCAGCGACGGCAGCTTCCTCTACCCTCGCCCAGTGTAGGAAGCAGATCCAACAGCCGGAGCGGCGGCGAGTTGTGAACTGAGTTGAAAACGGATTCGAGCAGTTGGCACCCAGCGGCCGATCCCCTCCTTGTCTTCGCGTAGCTCGCAAACGCCTGTACCTCCTCTCCGGCGCAAAATGACCCTAGAAGTCGACGCGCCCTAAAACCCCAATCATCATCATCATCTCCGACGAATCCTCGCGCTGGCTGGTTGTGACGTATACGTGTCTGCGCCTGAAACGTGCGGCTTCTGTCCCGTAGGCGAGTGATGCCGGCATTAAGGTTGTCTGTCTGTTGGATGAGCAAGGCGGTAAGTCCAGCGTGTGGGGCGCTGTGGGTGTTATGCGGCTCCTCCTTTTCAGACGGATTTTGTAAGCTGTGTGCTGTCATGATTGGACGTGTGTGGACGGGCGGTGTGAGGGTTGTTTTGGTGACGGGATCTGTGGATTATCATCGGGTTCCTTCTTATGGCATTGGGCTCAATACTTGCATATTTGAAACAACCAACGTACAGCGCAACGATCCGATTCAAAAGGAGCGATTCGACATCTAGGCCCCCAGTGTCACAGCGTCCAAGTGTTTCTCTCATTCAGCCTCGAGTTGCAGTGTCAGCATGTAAATAATTTGACTCACGTCTGGAGCTCCGACGTATTTTTGCCGCCGACGCCAGCCATACGCCAGAGTTTGCCGGTGGGGAATGTATCTTTCACAGATCCTGTGAATTTTGGCCACATGACTGCAAAATCGCGCAGTATGTGTTGTAAGCTTCTTGGCCCCGAGGGCGGGACGGGAGGGGGAGAGGGGGGGGGGAGGGGGAAATAACCCTCTGCCCTTGGCGGCGTTCCTGACTGACACCATCCCTAACGCGGTTTGCAAACGTGCAATCTCTTTAGTAATAGATGACGGGATCTTGGCATGCGCTGTAGACGCGCTGCGGGTAGGTGAGCCGCGCCCGTGAAATGGAACGGCCATTTCCCCACCATCGCACAACAGGTTCGGTCGCTCACATTGTCTGCGTGCCCGTCGGCAGACCGTGCTCGTAGATCTGCTGTGTGCAGCTTGTCACGTTTCCCCGACCTGGCCGTCCGGTGTACTGTGCCAATGGACGCCGAGGTTACCGGCCCCGCCAACGGGCAGCTGTTGGTGTGCTGGTGTCGGCTGCGTCAGGCCACGGCGCGAAATCACACACCACACGTCTGCTGTCACATCGTCTGCGACGTGCTCGTCACGACTCGCTTGTGTTTGCAGGGCATGGCTCAGGCTTTGTGATTGGCGAGATTATCGGAGCTTCCGTATTTATTATTTTCATCTGGCGATATGCACGCTCGTGTTGATTTCGTATGTTTTGTGCATTCGGGTCGATGTTTTGCGTTGAATTGGTTGCATGTTACATGTGTTATTCTTTTTGGTTGATTTCCGTTTCGTTTATTTATAGAGCCAAGACGTCGGCGCAAAGACCCTGGTAAATTTGAACAACCAAGGCGGTAAGCATGCCCCACTCCTTTAATCACACTGTTTCCATTTTCACATGGCTGCAATTTAGGCTCAATGACGTGCGTTAGCGTCTGTCATTTCTGCTAAGTTCTCTTTGCTCACAATCTTGCTGTATTGTTTGCCAGTTGCATTCACGGAAGCTGCGTGGCCATTGGCGGACGCTGCGTGGCCATTGGCGGACGCTGCGTGGCCATTGGCGGACACTGCGTGGCCATTGGCGAACGCTGTGTGGCCATTGGCGGACGCCGCGCCCTTAACTTCCCCCGTTGACGAACGTGGCCAAGAGTCAATTCGCTAGCCCGCTTTCATTGGGTGGTTTTTCAAGTAAACGTACTTTCATCTTCCGCCTGGATGGGCTCATAACTCATTTTTGTATGCTTTGGAGACTACGAGCGCCGTATGCTCGTGTTTCCCCATCTGGTGTTATGTTACCGCGGTGCCAGCGTGGCGTTCAGAGTATGCTGACGGCCGCGCTGGGAGTCATTCGCAGCGATGAAAAGAAGGCTGCAATCGATACGAACACCCTAAATTCATCATCGTCTTCTGTAGTCGCATCTCTTGGAGGAACTGATTGTGTGGATCGGTGTCTTCAAACGCTTTCCCGTTCTGACCTGCATTAAGCCAACGGGACTGCCGACCGACCCAACCACAGCGCGCCCGGCCTGTGTCGCCCTGTCGCAGCCGCGCCCGAGCCATGGCTGGAACGCGTCCAAGCCGCGCCCCAGCCTCGCCCAGGTCGCGTTTGGGTGTCGTTTGAGCGGGCGCTGGCCGCGTGTTACAGAGCAGCTGGACCGGATCGAGGAGGGCATGGACCAGATCAACGCCGACATGCGCGAGGCCGAGAAGAACCTGACCGGCATGGAAAAGTGCTGCGGTCTATGCGTGCTGCCCTGGAAGAAGGTAATGCCGTGCCGTCGGAATGGGGACAGGCGGAGATTACATGTTTATGCGTTTAAACGGTAGAAACTCTACGTGTGGAAAAGGCTTTCCGAGTGATGGGTGAAAGTTGCAAGGGTGAACACACACGTGCGACTAGGTCAAAGGGCATAAGCGTGGTGACACCGCAACGCTGCCGCTCAAGGATCTGGGAAGCCATGCACCGCACGTCTAAAAGCACTCACCGAGGAGTCGTGCAGTTCTGTGAACAGCAAGCTGCACAACAACGCAGTACCAAAAGCGCCGCCTGCCTGCTCCAGTCCCTATGCGGGGGAGAGCTTGAAGGATCCTCTCTCGTCACGGAATCTGGTTTGTAGGCTGTCTACTCTCGTTTAGGCTTGGTAGCTGTTGCGTCAGTGGGACGCTTATTTCGTTACCGCGGCTGCCTGATTGGATTTTGAACGGCGGGCGTGCATTGACGTCTCGAAATGCATTATTGACTGGGGCGAGTTTTGTCCGACCTGGACCGCTACTCGCATGCCACCAGTGTGGATCCGCGGGAGATACGTCCTAGCTTTCCGCATTGGTGATGTGGCTACGGATTCGAGTGTAGTCGGCTTACCTCCGGCATCGCCTGGTCCCGGGGAGGGACGCGACATAACGTACGGCTACTTCCATCGGACCGCCGTACCCTCCGCTTCGTCAGACTTCGTCAGAGTGGTACCCAAAATCAGAGCCTCAACCACAAAGTGGTCTGCTCTTGCGCGGCGGCCCGCTCAGTAGGGCCATTTGGACCAGAGCCAAACGAGCTCGGAAGGACCGTGAGCGTGCGGAAAAATGAACCGCGTGCAGGCTGAACGTTGCGTTTAACGGGCCCAGGTATGGCACGCCCCATCGTCTGGCGAAGGACGCACACGAAATGCAGGAAGACCAATGCGTTTAACTACGGCTTGTACGTGGGGCGGAGGAGGACTTAGCAACCTCATTTTCTTTAAAGAGCACAATGTGTGTGGGCCATGCCTATTACCATGCTCACCTCGACCTTTATCAACAACGCAGCACAAACTTTTTCGACTGAACGGTATTTATTTGACACCAAATTTAAATCACGTTGACGGTCCGACTGCAGGATATTTGGTTGCAGTCGGTGTCGCGCTAAAAACTAGGGGGCCGGGCATCGCCTTGCCACCGCCATCTGTTGACCGTCTTGACAACCAAGCTTCTCGCGCCGTCCGCAGGGCGGCCAGTTCAAGGAGGACGACGGCACCTGGAAGGGCAACGACGACGGCAAGGTGGTGAACAGCCAGCCGCAGCGGGTGATGGACGACCGGAACGGCATTGGCCCCGGCGGCGGCTACATCGGCAGGTCGGCACCGTCTCCGGCGAAGGGGGAGCGGAGGGGGAGGGGCGCGCGTGATCCGTGTGACCGGGCCGTGCGAGAGTCGAGACGAAGGTTCGGTTGCTCACGTTGTGACGCGCTGCTGGTGGTGCGCCATGGTTTTTTTCCTGCCGTGAGTTGGGTGGCGAACACCTGAGACACTGAGGCGTGAACGCCACTCCGCCTGCACTCCGGTTGACTGGACCACGACTTGCGGGTCATCGAACAAATCAGAAACGTTGGCGGAAAGTTGGCTTTCACAGGTTAGCCATGGAGGAACCCGCCGTGATGAAGTGGCGTTAATTAGTTGACAACAGTCGGGTCATAGAGATGGCTGCAACCGGGTAAACCCCCACAGTAACCAACCCCAACCCTGGTCATCAACCACTTTTCTTGTTTTCGAGTGGCAGCTTTTCCGCTGTACTCTGCTGAAATGCCTGTCCGCGGTGGACGTTGCCCTTCTGGCAAGTTTGTCACCATAGCTACCATGTCTAACCCCTGCAGCAAAAGTTTAGCCACGGATGCTCCACGACCCCGCAGTAGCAGCGCCCAAAACGCCAAACGAACAGCCCAGGAAAAGGTCAGCTGAATGTTAGCGGCGCCCGCCGCGATCTGACCTGCGAGGCTGCGGCTGAAGCGGGTGGTGCCCGCCGCGATCTGACTTGCGAGGCTGCGGCTGAAGCGGGTGGTGCCCGCCGCGCTCTGACCTGCGAGGCTGCGGCTGAAGCGGGTGGTGCCCGCCGCGCTCTGACCTGCGTGGCTGCGGCTGAAGCGGGCGGTGCCCGCCACGCTCTGACATGCCAGGCTGCGGCTGAAGCGGGTTGTGCCGGCCGCCGCCGGTTGCCCCAACTCCGGTCCTTCTCCGCCCGCAGAATAACCAACGACGCGCGTGAGGACGAGATGGAAGGCAACATGGAACAGGTGAACACGATGGTCGGCAACCTGCGCAACATGGCCATGGATATGGGCTCAGAGCTGGACAACCAGAACCGGCAGGTGGAGCGGATAAGCGCCAAGGTGAGCCAAGACAAGCCAAAGTGGGAATAACCGCCAAGGTGTCGCTGTGCCCTAACGGTGGCTCGGGGCCGCGGACTGCACGGGTCACTACAGGGCCCGTGTTTGATGCTGGTGCTGGTGCTGGTGCTGGTGCTGAGGGTTGTTTGGTGGCGGGATAGTGTATGGTGCTGGTGCGGGGAAGTGTCCGATGGTGGTGCTGGGAGTTGGGGCACTAATGTTTAGGCTAGGACCGTGGCTAGTGCTGTTTCTGGGCTTGTGTCCGGCGCTGTTTCTGGGATTGTGTCCGTCATTGTGTCCGTCTGTGGCGAGTGTATGGTGCTGGGGCGATGTGTGGTACGGGCACTGTGCTGCATGCTGTGTGACTATGTCTGACACTGACAATAGGATAAGTGTTACGACTGCAAGGCTGGTCAGTCTGATGCTGGTGCCTTGGTGCAAAAGCTGGTGTGCTGCTGCTGGGTTTGTCTGTTGTCTGAATTGTAGTCGGCTTGCGTCGTGCTTTGGTATGTTTCATGTCTGGTCCAATGCTGAGCTTTCCCCTGGCTGGGACTGGGGCCGTGTCTGGTGCTGCGACTGGCGCGGGTCGGCTTTGTGTGTTTCATGTCTGGTCCGATGCTGGGCTATCTATCCCCTGGCTGGGACTGGGGCCGTGTCTGGTGCTGCGAATGGCGCGGGTCGGGCTGTGTTCATGGTGCGGTGCCAGGTCTGTGTCTGGTCTAGCTCTGGGTCTGTATCTGACCAGATGCTGAGACTGGCTGGGATTGTCTGGGGCGCTGGAACTGGAGCTATCAGCACTGGGGCGAGATCTGGTCTGGTTTTGACCACGGCTTTGTACTGGGCCTGCGTTTGGTCTGGTGCCGGACCTCTGTCTGGTACAGACGGAAAGCAGTAGAAACATTACTGTGCCGACGTGCCCGGGTTCATGTCGTGACGTGTGATGCCTATAGTCGGATCGAGAGTGTACTGCAGGTAGTCAGTTGGCTGGTGTGGCATGGGGAGGTGGGCAGGCTAGGCCTCCACCGCCAACATCCACCGTAATGCTAGGTGTTTGTTGTTGTCTGTGCGTCGCTGGGTGAAAGGACATGGTCAGGAGGAGGTGCCTGCAACTATATGATTTACTTCGATGCTTGTGGCGTCTGTAAGTCGGTAGCTTTGTGGTTTCTTGTGGGTGGCTTGTCTCTGACGGCGCATGCCGAGTACAGGCCGCGGCGTGTCGGGGTCGGCGCTGGTGTCTCGTGTCTGGGTGTGGTTTGCCGGGGTCGGCGCTGGTGTCTGGGTGTGGTTCGCTGGAGTCGGCGCTGGTGTCTCGTGTCTGGGTGTGGTTTGCCGGGGTCGGCGCTAGTGTCTGGGCGTGGTTCGCCGGAGTCGGCGCTGGTGTCTCGTGTCTGGGTGTGGTTCGCCGGAGTCGGTGCGGGTGTCTCGTGTCTGGGCGTGGTTCGCCGGAGTCGGCGCTGGTGTCTGGGTGTGGTTCGCCGGAGTCGGCGCTGGTGTCTCGTGTCTGGGTGTGGTTCGCCGGAGTCGGCGCTGGTGTCTCGTGTCTGGGTGTGGTTCGCCGGGGTCGGCGCTGGTGTCTGGGTGTGGTTCGCCGGGGTCAGCGCTGGTGTCTCGTGTCTGGGTGTGGTTCTGGGGTTATGCGAGGCGTCCGGCGCCTGCGCCCGTCGGACCTGGTCCCGTCACGTGGCCCGTGCCATCGCGCCGTTTGGGCCCGGCACGGCGCCGCCGCTAGAGGGACTCGCTGCTGCATGGGCGCGGCTTGCAGTCTAGAGAGGGCGGCGGCCGCCGCGCGCCGCCGCCGCCGCTGTACAGAGGACCGGGAACCCGGCATGGCGTGTGACCCTTCGGCACCGCCCGCCGCCCCGCCCGCCGCACCGCCCTCTCCGGCTCTGCGTGTGTCGTGTGTTGAGCCGGCCGCCACCCACCGCCGCCGCCGCCGCCGTCGGCGGCGGCGCCGGCTGGCCCAGCTCCGTAGTGTGCCCTCCGCTCACCGGCACCGCCGCCCTGCGTGACCATCCTCCGGCCCTCTGTGTGCGCCCCTCGGTGTGTAGACGTGTGTGTCGCGGCACGCCCCTCCCTGCGCGTCACCGCCGCCTGTGCAGACGGCCGGCCCGCCCTCACGTGCACCGGGCCCGGGCCCGCCGCGTGCCTGCCTCCCCGCCTTCCCCGCGCCCCGGCTGCTAGGCGCAGTCTGCCGCGCCGCACCGCCAACACTGCTCCCGTCTGTTTGTAGGCCAACTCTAACGCGTCGCACGTCGCCGCGGCATCCAACAGAGCTGGAAAGCTTTTGAAATCCGCCTAAACGCAAAGTAAATGTATGTTTCTCGTACTTGCTCTTTCTTCCCTCCTCTCTAGCTCCCTGTTTCTTCTTCTCAACCTCAATTTCTGTTACTCTTCTTTTCTTTCCTGTTTTCGTGTCGTGGTCATGTAATCATTCCACTTGTTTTTTTGTAATAATGTTGTTATTAATATCCATATATCGTCCCATAGTACTTGTTTTTTTTGTGTGGTAATAATGTTGTTATTGATATTCATATATCGTCCCATAGTACCTGTGTTTTGTCGTAATAATGTTGTTATTAATATCCATATATCGTCCCATAGTACCTATACATATTTTCAATGGAGCCCCTTGTTGCTCCACGTATCCTTTCATTAAGTGACGAATGAGTTGTTCTCGCACATATCTTTGTTCTGACCTTAAAACGAGCCCTCAGACCTGTCTTTTTTGTAAACCTTGTTTCGGGTTTTTGTTCTGAGGTGGCATCAACTTTCCGTTTTCGTTAGTTGACAACTTTCTGTGTTCCCGGGTCTCAGTGCTTTTTGTGACTTGCCCGTCGATCGGATCCTTTTGATATTTCTCGAACTTGCTTTCTTGTCTCCCTAGCGCTTTTTCGTCCGTCTTGATTTTCCTCTGCTATCTTTCTTCCGTTCGGTTTGATGTTCGTAATGCTTTTGTCCGTGTTGAGTTCTCCCGCCCATCTTCCTCGGCTTTGGTTTGGTCTCCGTGGCGCTCTCGTCCGTCCGTAGTCTGGCGCGCTCGCCCGCCGTGGGCAGGCTACTCGCTGCTCTTGATGTTGTCTGTTCTGAGCTTGTAGTCCCTGTGACACGGAACACCATGCCTTGCGGTTGAAGGATGGCTAGCCGCCCGAGGAGCCCGCGTACGGCTGCATTGTAGCCGCAGGCGGTTACACGAGTCCGAACAAGACTTAGATTAGTCTGTCGGCAAGCCTGTTGCGTACGGTCGAATGTAGTCGGCAGACGTTGGCTACACGGACTCCGAGTCCAGTGCAGATAGAACGCGATGACGTAAGCGTAGACGAGCCGTCCGCAGTTGAGTTTTGTCGTGGATTGGCATGCAGGCAGCGTCTTTAGAACCCCTGACAGACAGGTGTGCGGTGCGCACAACTGGAATTTTTCGCCGTCACCATAGTCGAGAGACGGCGGAGGCGGGATCTCGTGATCCGGCGGCACTATGTGCCAACCCTGGGGCTCGTGCCTGGAAAGTAAGAAGGTGTGGGACGCCCGCTGTGTCGCTTCACTCGATGCGAAAGAGGTCCCCCGGTGTCTTGCCCGATTAGAATATCGGTGATCACAGTGTGGTCTGCCGTAGAACGCGCTGTTTGGAGGATGGGCTCCAGAAGCACACAGCATTCTCTTCGTTTCTGGCTTTCCGAGCCGGGCGCCGTCAATGCGGTTTGTTAAGATTAGGTTTTAATGAGAAAGAGGTCATTGCAATCGAGTTTACCCGCGTATACAGTGCAGCGTGCTTGTGTGGGAGAGCCTTCAGTCTATCCAGCTCACACATTGGCCACGGCGTCTTGATCGTACCCGTCCTCTGCCCAGTCTATACCTGTCCCACCCACCCGTTACCCATCCGTCCGCCGCATTCGAAGGCTTGGGCTTAGCGGCAGAGGAAGAGGACCGCTTGCCATATTTTTGGTAATGCGTGGAGCATTTGCCACGCAACTGATGCTCATGCCCATACCCACGCTCGTGATCTTCCCAGAATTTCTCTCGAATCCAGCCTGCCACCCATTCCATACGGGTACCCATGGGTCCCCCTGACCATTGGAGGGCTCTATTGTCCCAGCTCTGCTGTGCACCCGAAAAACCACGTCAGCACGCGCCAGTCTTTTCAAAACAGCGGGCGCTGGTTGCACACCGGCGCTTCCCGCAGTTTTTATCTCGCATAATCAGGCATCGTACAGGCCACTTACGTACACACGCACAACAGAGGCTGCATGCAGCCCTATGATTGTCAGCAGACGTTTGCCGACGTTAGAGAAAGCCGCACCGCCTTACGGGGAGGTGCGTTTTGAACAGTGAACACGAAGTACGTCTGCTACCAAAATAAGCGATCTACCGTCCATTGGTATTTTTTCCCAAGAATTCATCGGTAAATGATAGTGAAATTGAGACAAGAAATGAACATGACGCGCACTATGAAGTTGCATGCCGCGGTCTATCCTAATTCGTGGCGCGTAAATTATACAGCCCGTCTGACTGAGCATTCGATGGGGTAGCCGCCACCTGCCGTCGGTCGGGGACATCCCTGACGTTCAGGTCCAGGGCGCCGCAGCTCGCTGAGGCACGTCTCGGCGCCGCCGGCGCTCCGTGCCTGCTCCCGCCCGCTCCTCCCACTGCATGACCGCCACGTCCGCTGCCTGCTGCACTGGACTGTTGCGCATGTGCTTGTGTGCGCTTGGCGCGCAGTAGCGGCGGCCCGCCAGCTGACGCCGCCGCCAGCGACCGTCCCACGCGTCGTTCACGTGCGTGGTGGCCCCTGCAGCGTCGCGTCGGCGACGTTGGCCGGACCGGGATCGGGGGGGGGGGGGGGGGGAGGGGGAGGGGGGGGGGACGGAGGTTGCGACGGCCAAGTGTTGACTGTGGAGCCGGCCTGGCTCGCTGCTTTGTTTGGTGTAAATATGAATGGATTCGCTGCGGATGTAGAGCCGTCCTCGACTGGCGTGTGGAAGCGTCACGCTTCTGTGACCCGTTGCGGGTTTGAGGGGTCGCGGGTCGCCGGCTTCACCAGCGATCGGCCTGGCGATTGTGACGGTGATCGGCCGGCCTGCCGGCCGGTGACGCGGCGTCTCCGCGTCGGTCGCGGCGGCCGCGGACGGGCGCTCTGACGCGCGCCGAGGCCCGCCCGATCGGTGACGCCTGGCTCCCACTGACCACGCCCCGAACCGTGTTCCAGAGCCAGTCGAACGAGGCCCGCCTGAAGCTGGCCAACGACCGGGCCAACAGCCTGCTGAAGAACGCGTAGGCGGCCGGGCGGCACCCGTAGGCTGCGCCCGGCAATCCGCACCCGCCGTCAGCCCCGCCCGTCGACGCCGCGGCGGCGCCGGCCGGTCGCGATCGGCTGGCCGGGGACGCGCCTGTGGGCGACGCCGCCTGTGGGCCGGAGACCTGTCCGCTACCGGTCATCGGGACGGCCGGGGGGCTAGTCTGCGGTCGGCGGTCGGTGCCGTCCAGCAGCCCGTCCCTGGTCAGCCGGCACGAATGGTGTCTCCCTCGGTCTATCTGTGCCGGCTAGGGGGGATAGGGGCTGTTGCCTCCCGCCTACCAGTGACACCTCGCGGCGGCGCGGCGTCGATGCTTGCCATCCTCTCTGCTCTCCTCCGACACCCCCCTTCCTTGCCCGCCCCTGCCGTCGCCTTCCCTCTCGCCCCGTCCTGCCTGGAACCCCAGCTCGCTAGCAGCCGGCACGGCCAGCTCTGGCCGTCCGGCGCCGGTGACGTTACATTCCGGCCGCACCACTGGCGGCGGCGGCGCGCGTGGTGATCGCCGTCGCCGCCGCCAGCGGCGCGGTCAGCGGAGCGGAGTGCTCGCCTACATCGAATCGGAGGGGCCGGCGCCGCCGCCGCCGCCGCGGCCGGCGGCGCGCGCGCGGGCCGCGATGGAACGGTTATCAAAACACGCAGATAACGACTCGTTTGTTACAAATCGTAGTGAATTCCGTTGCGACTGGTGCAACCCGTTGCTTCTACATCGTGTGTTGTTGCGTTGTTCGTGTCGTGTGTCGGGGCATGGGGCGTTTTGTCCCCGTTTGTAAGCGTTAGGTAGCTGGTCACTAGCCTCTAGCACGCACCGGAATCGTCGCCGTTGGTCAGACGTCTGTGATTGGTCGGACACGCAATACGAGCAGTTCTCCATTGGTGCCGGCTGCGCCTCTGCTTCCCTATAGTAATACTCCGTGGGATCGGGCCTGGAGTCGTTGCGTCGGTGGGGAGGGTTTATCATAGGCCAACATTAGGACGGGCTGGCCGTCGGCATCGCAAGTCTCGATCAAGCGGGCGGCGAGGCCCCTGCTGGCCATACTTTCCCGTGTTTAGAGAGGGAACTGCATCGCTCGTTGGATGTTTGTTTGCTCCTTCGGAGACGCAAAATACCATGTTTACGCCGTTGTTTGCGTTGTCTGTTCATCCTACAGCAGATTAGGCGATTTTACTAGCGTATTTATTGCCGAGCGGCGGAGCAGTAGGCTGTAGTGTAGTGTTTGCACAAGTTTAAGCGCCGTTTGTATAAACTGTACATAGTCACGACGGTCGTCTGCCTTTGTGGTGATTCCTCTCGAGTTGAGCCTCGTGGTGATTTTCCTCGTCTTTGGCCGGTCTGTAATGCTTCCGTTGCTCGCAGTGCTGTCCGGCTAACAGTTGGACACGGCATTATGGAACTATACAGCTGGCAGTTTATCAATATAACCGATATAACAGGACGGTGGTGTTGCGGTAGCGGCGATTGACGGATGTCGCCGTCACTTGTTAATCAAGGCGGCGCATGTGTCTGGCCGCTGTACCGATGTCACAACCTCGAACGCGTCGGAAAGAGTAAAACAGACAACCCGCCGGGGCCGTAGCTGATACTGCCAAATGCTGTGACGGATGTTCACAACGGGTCTCCTACCCATAAACTTCAGACTTCAAAATCATCATCATCATCATGAACCGCGGCCGTGAGAGCGCGCGCGCCAAGAAGACCGCTGCGAACGTCGACACACCGTCTGGGGACTGCACGAAGGTTGCGTGCTCCCGTCTGGTCCGGAGTCGTACGGGGTGTACAAGTGTACGCGGTGCACCCCGGGGTACTGTTCGAGCACAGCTCCGTCAACACGGGGGTGGTAGACTGCCGTGCGGCTAGGTTCCTCCGCCACCAGAACTGGAGTGTACGGCGCAGTCGCGTGTACAGTGAGCGTCACCGGCACCAACACGCGAGACTAAAGCCACCGTGACAGCGTCTTTGATGAAGGTGGTAGGGCCGTGTCGGAGTCCCATGCGGGGGGTCTCGGGTTCGTGTCCCGGTCTCGGATTGGCATCCCGACGCGAGACCGACATATTATGACGTAGCAAGGGACGGACATCGCGCTGGCTGAGCCTGAACCGTCCACCCGTCAACCCACGAAGGCGTATACGTGTGCCAGCGTCATGCGTCCCTCACGCAAACCATGGGTCCGCCTGCTGTGGGGTGTTAGCAAGACCGAGATCAGATCACAGTAATCAGGCCAGATAAAGACGTGAAGTCAGCTGCACGGCGCGGGTCAATGCGGACGCTGTCTATAAATTACAACAGTGATCCCGTCACCCTCCTAGTAATGAGTCAACGGCCTCCGACCAATAGGTCAGCGCCCTCCGACCAATTGATCAACGCCCTCCGACCAATGGATCAACGCCCTCCAACCAATGGGTCAACGCCCTCCGACACCGACCAATAGGTCAGCGCCCTCCGACTAATGGATCAACGCCCTCCGACCAATGGGTCAACGGCCCTCCGACCAATGGGTCAACGCCCTCCGACCAATGGGTCAACGCCCCTGATCAATGGGTCAACGCCCCTGATCAATGGGTCAACGCCCCTGATCAATGGGTCAACGCCCTCCGACCAATGGGTCAACGCCCTCCGACCAAAATGCGTCAACGCCCCCGACCAATGAGTGCGCCAGAAGTGCACAGGACAGCGACCACTGTGTTTCCAAATGTGTTTGTGAACAGAGTACGCCGAAGTGAAAAGATATTGGGCTTGAAGCTGCGTGGACGTGTTGCTCAATTTGTTGTGACTAACATCCAGCGAAAATGATTTCAGTCACAGTCACCAAAAATGCCGACTTTCCCAAATGCATGGCATTCGTTGATGAAATCTATCAAATGTTGCCAGGCTCCAAGTCAACCAACCAATCAAACATCTATTGCAAATGCGCACGGGAATGCCTAACATCAGTGCGCATCTGCCTGCCAAGCTCAGGAAGAGAGAAAGTCCAACGCCTTGATCAGACCGATCTGCTGAGGGTAGCCAAAGCCGACAGGTAGCATTGTTTTATGTTATGTTATCAGACACAGGATAATGACAGGTCTGTTATCACCCTGCTTGTCGCATGCCGCAAAAGGTGTGCTTCCGTGTTCTGTAACGCGTGGCATATGTTTAACTCGAGTGATGTACATCTAGCTGCAGCTGACGTGCTGAACCTATCCTAGCACGCAAAACCGCACCGAACCTAGCAGCTGACGTGCTGAAGCTAGCCTAGCCTACACAACCGCACCGAACCTAGCAGCTGACGTGCTGAAGCTAGCCTAGCACGCACAACCGCACCGAACCTAGCAGCTGACGTGCTGAAGCTAGCCTAGCACGCACAACCGCACCGAACCTAGCACGGCGCAGCCGTTTCCGTCTCGATGTTCAAGCACGATGTCAATGGGCCGTCCTCGACAGGCGTGATCATGCTCACTACAACTGCACCCGACGGCGGCGGCAAAGCGCGCGGCGCGAAGCTTCCGTCACACCCGGAGCTTCGGCCGGCACGGGCAGGGGGAGGGGGGGGGGGGGTAGCACGCGCGCGCGGGCGTGTGGGAGTGGTACCGGCCGGCGGCCGGAAATTCCCTGGCGGATCTCGAGATGCTCGCCCTCTGGCGAACTCTGCGTCTTTGCTGGAAGCCGTGATCGTAGAGCGGTCCATCCGCGGTGAGCGGCCGAGTGTAATCCGGGAAACGCCGCTGCAGTTTTTGGCTCTGACCGCAGCCATCGCAGCCGGGAGCGGTCCTCAGCAGGTGTGTATGTATCATGAGGTCTTGAGGGTGGATGGCGGTCTGTGGGTTTGAAGGTGTGGCTGGGGAGGCAGGATCCTTTCACTCTTGGAATAACCTCATTGGATCGTGCTTTGCATGTGTACGGGGTTCCGCGATCCGAACATTTCAGACGAAGAAATGTGGGGTGTTTTTGTATCTCTGAGTGTTCTAAAGCTTTCATCACTGGTGTCGACAGCCTCTTTCGAAATATGTGCCCTCCGGAACAGTTTGCACCCACAGTTTGTATCCAGTTGTTCTTATCATGCAGTTCCGCTTCTGTCCGATTTCGAATTTTCTGGTCGGACAGGACAGCTGTTCACGCTCCCCTGGGGTAGCGAGGGCCAACAATATTGTGCTATACGATCGATAGCTATTTAACTCGTGGCAAAAATTTGGAAATTCGGCCTCATACTACCGCTTAAGGCTGCTGTGTTCTTTTCCGCGTTCGAGACGTTGTAGGTGGACGAATCTTCGGTGTCCTCGGCACGGGCCGACCGCTGGTCAAAGCTGCGCATGCGAACACTGACTAACCTCATATACATGCTGTGATGTTTGAAATTGCCGAACTGAGTGCGAGATGGGTCAGCGCTCAAGTCCTTGTCAGGGCGCGGGCTTCAGCGGAGTGGGACCTATCCATGGTCTTGTTTTAACCGCACGGCCGGTACGTCAATGCGCGAACGGGGTCAGCACAATCATATTCTTCTCCGGGAGGCGCCCTGTTTGGGATGGAACGAGCAGGACAGTGGCTCAGGTGCGTGTTCTCGCATAAGGCGGCAACAAATCCGAAGGAATGTTGTTAAGTGCCTCCCCGTCCCATACTTAGCCGGCTGGAGTACGTACCTTCCGATCCGTCTGCTTATGGCGGAGTGGATTTAAGTTAATTCAGGCGCTCGTCCTTGCCCCTGACTGTGATGCCCTGCGGCCGGTGGCAGCGGCCGCGCTAAGGGTCAAGTGACGTGACGCGACACGATGGACCGTGCAAGCATAGCGGCACTTTAAAGGACACGGAATTTTGACAGATTTGGGGATATTAGTTATAACGCTTGGTATACTTTTAAATGGAATAGACTGCACTAGACAACACAGTATCTCCGTTTAGCAAATATGCTCCGTAATACGTCATTGTTTGCGTAAGTCATTTTACTGTGCACAACATTAATTAAGAGTCAATTGACAGTCATAATATCAGAACATCGTGCTCACGAACGACTCGACGATCATATTCTTATTAGCCTTGATTGCCGTATGCGTTATGGAACGGTATGATTTGAATGACGTGATTATGACGTCACGTATGCCTGGGTGACCTTGAAATAGGCTCCCCGAAGAAGTGTGCTTATCTTCGCGGACGTCTATCTCAGAAACTAAGGGGTTTGGGTCGAAGAATGACAGATTTGTGAACTGCACAGTATGATCTTCAAGATGGTTATTTCAGTTCAAAACCCCATACAAATAAGAAACACTGCCTTTGAGTGTTTATCGCAAGTCGTTATCGTCGTTTAGCCGGCATTTTACGACCGGGCGGTGGGGGTAGGATTGGGGGTTCATGACTCCGCAATACTCACTGCTAA